GGCCGGAGGGCTCGGACTGCGGGATCGTGAACGTGAACATCCCGACGTCTGGCGCCGAGATTGGAGGCGCATTTGGAGGGGAGAAAGAGACGGGAGGAGGACGAGAATCTGGCTCTGACTCGTGGAAACAGTACATGAGACGATCCACCTGTACCATCAATCATTCCAAGCAACTCCCCCTCGCCCAGGGCATCAAGTTCGAGTAGTTCAGCCCTTTTTTTGCTGTACTCCTTCAACTCGTCGGCCCGCCCCCTTTCCATCAAGTTCGAGCAGTACAGCTGGACTTGGTGCTGCACTCCTTCAACTCGTTGTTTTGCTCTTTTCCACCAAGTTCCAGTAGTTCAGCCCATTTTCTGTTGTACTCCTTGAACTCGTCGCCCCCCCCCCCTGTTTTTTCCTCGTTGCCTTGTACGATAGAGGACGACACTGTACGCTGCGTGGCGTCGCGTACTGTAGCGTACTTTTACCCCCGGTTTTTGTGTGATTTTTAGTGGTTTTTCGACCCCGACGCCGATAGTTGAATTCTGCAATTTGTAGCCCTCGTTTTTATTTCCTTGTTTGAATAAACGAGTTTTTAGCTGGTTACGCCGCAAAGAATTGCTGCTAGCTTGCGGTGCATTTTTGGATTTTTTTCGAGTTTCCGAGCCATTCCTCTTGACGCCTAGGGGTACTGTAGCGGAGTGATGAGTACGGTTAGAAAGAGGAAATCGAGTTCTATCAGCTTAGAAATTATTAGCGACCGGATCCTAACGTAAACCGATTTTAAAGGGGCGTGCAGTTGGGAAAAATCGATTTTTTAATTGTCATTTTTGAGATTTAAATTTATTCATTTATCAAAACTAACGGGCATAAACAGAATTTTCTGAGCTTTCCCGTCGCTACCGTAGACCTGGAAAACTTTGAAATTCCCGGGCCAAAATGACGCTTACCGTATGCCCATTTGGGACCCAGCGTAGCATCGCGGAATTCCGATCATCCACACAGTAGTACGGTAGAATGGCCAGCCCAGGGTTACCGTACATTTTGGCGGCAATGTCTTGCATCAGGTGGGCGCTGGAATTTGTAGTTTGTAGTCTACCGATCACTCCGCCTTTAAGAGGCTTTAAATCGGTGCTTTGTAGCCTGAAATGTGTAGTTTGTGGCTGTCATATCACCTTTAAAGCACGTTAAAATGGGGCTATAGTTTGTAGCCTGTAGCGTAGATTTTCCGGATTTTGTAGTCTGTAGTCTGCAGCTCAAATTTCTAGTTTGTAGTCTAATGGCCACCTGTCCTTATCCATTTAAAAGTCTAAATAATACGTTTTGCAGTCTGTAGTTTCAGGTTTTTGCCGATTTTGTAGTCTGTAGTCTAGGGTTTCGGCTGTATTTTGTAGTCTGTAGTCTACTGTAATTTCTATTTTTCGTATTTTGTAGCCTGTCGTCGCTCTGGATTTTGTAGCTTGTAGCTAGTTGTGGTCCGTCCTTTGTAGCCTGTAATCTGTAGCCCGCCACCCACCGTATCCCTTTTCCGCGATGCTCCGGCAGTACGTGCAGATGTTGGACCATTCCCCGGTGGTCTACCGTAACCCAGCCGGCCAGCTGCTCGCCGCCGCACGACCGCACGCACGACGAGGGGAGGGAGGAGAGACGAATTCTAGAGACTACAAGCTACAAACTACACAAACTGGCGGCCAGACGACAGACTACAGATTTAGGAACGACATTCTGAGCGTTCGACTCCAAACTATAGGATACCAGACTACAAACTCCCGGTCCCGCACCTGATCCTCTCCGGCTCATCCTCGGCCGAATATGCCCATCTGGCGGCGACCAGCTCGGCGTCGTCGGCCCGTAGCGTGTCCAGAAAATACCTGAAAAAATCGAACGATTTTTTCGATTTTTACGATTTTACGATTTTTTGAAGATTTTGCGATTGTCTTGGCTACCGTACCCCGGGGGCAGCGATTTCTCGGCCAGCTGACAGCCATTTGGAATGATGAACAGGGCGTCGAGGCATACGGTAGAATGGGTACGGTAGTTGTGGACGGAGACGAGAAGGGTGGTGAGCTGGAAAAGGGGACAGGCTACAGACTACAAAATGGGCTGCAAGCAGAACTACAAACTACAAAACGGTTACTGGTTGCCGGGCAACAAACTACAGACTACAAAACGATATCCTGAGCGCCAGACTACAAACTACAAGCTGCAAAACGTGTTTTGGAAGCCAGACTACAAACTATAGACTTAAAATTGTATACTGCCTGCCAGTCTACAAGCTACAGACCACAAAACGTGTATTGGGTGCCAGGCTAGAAACTGCAGGCTACAAATTGCTATTCTGGATCGCAGACTACAAACTACAACCCCGAAACCGACCTTCTCGATCGTGTCGGCGTCTCCCCAGAGGATCACGAGCTCGCGCTCCCGCAACACGGAGCCCATTTTTGTAGTCTGTAGCAGGTAGTCGAGTCCGTCGGCTAGAAGACCCTCATCCCTTTCGCCCGCATTCTGGCAGTAGAGAAACGTCCTGAAATACCAGGGGCAGGCTAGCAGGGATTTTTGTGGAAATTCCTGAAAGATCCGGGCTCGGCTACAGGCTACAACCTCTCAAAAAAATGAATTTTTCGGCTGTCGCCGACCCTTTAAAAATTCCTAAATGATCCTGCTAGCCTTCCCCTGATTTTAAAGGCACCCGCACGCCAACGGCAAGACAACTAGCACAGATTTTTGCGGAAAAGCCCAAATTTTGGATTTTAAAGGGCCCGGCAAATCCAAAACTGAATTTTTCAGCGCTGTCACCATCCCTTTAAAATTTTCAAAAGATCCCTGCTAGCTTGCCCTTAATTTTAAAGGCACTAAGAGGCGAAAAACCGTACAGCTAGCAGATATTTTTGTGGAAAACCTCAAAAATTTCGATTTTAAAGAGATTAGCAAGTCAAAATCTTCTAAATTCCCAAAAAATCGCTGCCAGCCTACCCCAAATAATCCATCAAATAGCAATAATATCCCCCGGGGAGACGCCAGACTTCAAAATGGCCTTCGGGAATTAGGCCGGCCAACGCGATTTTGAGCGCCGACTTCAGCGGGGTCAGCTCGGGGCCCACGTCTTCGGGGAGTTCAGCCAAAAATGAGGCAAATTCAGCGGGAGACGCAGCGTATTTTGGAGCCATCTGGAATGGATTTTCATGAAACTAAAATTTGTCTAAAAATTACATTTTAGAAAGCAAAAAATATTTTAAAATTCGAATTTCTAAATTTCGAGAAAAATTTAGTTTTTCTAACAAGGGAAGGGCACGCTCACAGGGTGGAGTTTCGAAAAACGCTCGCGGCTACCCCCGGGTAATCGACTACGGAGAACACGATGCCGCTGTCCGATTTTGCTACGGAGGCCTGTGGACAGAGATACAGCACTTCCGGAAAATGATGATTTACATGCGAAAAATTAGCATTCCGGGGAAGCCTTATTAGGGTCTCCCATGAGCATGGAACCACCAGTTGAATGGCCGAGTGGTAAGCAACTAGCTTGATAGGATAGTGGCCAGGGTACGGATCCGCCCACGATTTTTTCGTTTTGCTTTTTGACAACTTTTTTTTGCACATATCCAGAACCTTGTCTAAATGTGTCAAAAGTCATTCTTGATGCCGTTTTGTCATCATTGGTCCCCCACAATTTTTTTGATGGTTTCACTAGCCGATGGGTGGATGGGTGGCAGGTCGGAAAAATAAAATTTGCGAAAAAGTGTTTGTTTGTTCGCTAAACGTTTCATACGGCATCAAAGAATGACTTTTGACACATTTAGACAAGGTTCTGGATATGTGCAAAAAAAAGTTGTCAAAAAGCAAAACGAAAAAATCGTGGGCGGATCCGTACCCTGGCCACTATCCTATCAAGCTAGTTGCTTACCACTCGGCCATTCAACTGGTGGTTCCATGCTCATGGGAGACCCTAATAAGGCTTCCCCGGAATGCTAATTTTTCGCATGTAAATCATCATTTTCCGGAAGTGCTGTATCTCTGTCCACAGGCCTCCGTAGCAAAATCGGACAGCGGCATCGTGTTCTCCGTAGTCGATTACCCGGGGGTAGCCGCGAGCGTTTTTCGAAACTCCACCCTGTGAGCGTGCCCTTCCCTTGTGAGTGCAAAATTAAACATAAATTAAACGTATTTTCGAGCTTTTTAGAATATTCCTAATGTAAAATTTAATTTGACTACCCCTAGAAATTTAAAAACTGATTAAAAGTTCAAAAATTACACAAAAAAAGTAATTTTAGCAAATGAGAAAAATCAGAATAAAAAGGCTATTTTCCTCAAAAATTTCTTGTTTGATTCGAAACGAGATCCGATTACGCCATGTAAATGCGATGAGCCAGTTAAACGAGAAATGCGAGGAAATTCTTTATCGAAATAAAGCTACAAAATACACAAATTTTTACAAAAAAAAACAAAATGACCATGGAGAAAGTGAAAGGATAAAGAGAGCAAATTCCAGAGGGGATACACGTAATTTTAATTGTATAATTTAATCCATTTAATAAATCGGAAAAACACAGTAAGAAAATCGACTTTTCCAAAATTCTCAAAAGTTCTCCAAATTTCGAAAAACTCGGCAAAAAATGGAATTTTCGGTATTTTTCAAAAAACAAACAAAATTTAAAAATTAGGCTGAATCTATCCAAAAAATAAATTAACAATTTTTGAGCACAAAAAATTCGTAGTCAGGAAAGTGGCGGAATTTCGTAAAAATTGAGGAAAATCGGGTTTTCGAAAATGTTCCAAGGAACTGAATTTCCTGAAAAAATTTTCAAAAAAGCAATTTAAAAATCAATTATCGATTTTTGAGCGTAAAAATTCATCATTAGAAAAGTCGCGGAATTTCGTAAAAAAAGTTGGAAAAATCGGAATTTGGAATTAAAAATCGTCAGAAAACCCCAAAAATGAATTATCGATTTTTCAGGGCGGAAATTCGTAATTTGGCGTGATTTGTAGGGTGTAGTCATTTGTTGTAGCGTGTAGTCTGCTCAGTCCTTCCTCCGCAACACGGCAATCTTCTCGGTGATTTGGATCTCGGGGTAGGCGAGGGGGAAGGGCAGATAACGGCCAATCGACGGCCCTTTCAGCTTTCTGAAAAAGATAACGTAATCGATTACGCCACGAAATGCGACCTCCAGGTGACGCCGTGGAAGGCGGGCACGACGAACAGGACACGGTGCGTCGAGGTGTAGTTGGCCTGGACGAGCTCCTGAAAAAACGGATTTTTTTCTCGATTTCTCTCTCTCTCTCTCTCCCTCTCGCGCGCTCTCTCTCTCCTCTAGCCTTTAAAAACGGGAGCGAGCAAGAGAAAAGCACGAAAAAGCAAAAAATTTCAATTTTCGAAAAATCGGGGCCAAAACCCGTGGCCAAGTGGCTAGCGGCCTTGTCTACCAATCTGAGGGTCCGGGTTCGAGCCCCGGGACCTACAAACTTTTTGCTTTTTGCTCCAAACGCTCAGAATCGGCTATCTGGGAGCCAGAAGCCGCAGAAAAAGCTTGCTTACCCTCAATTTCCCGTCATACGACCCGACGGCGAGAAAGTCGAAGCGGGCCAGCTGGGCGGGCGTCAGATTCTCGGTTTTGTTGTACCTGAAATCGCGAAATGTACGTACGGTGGAATGAAACGTACTCCCAATCCGGATAGAGATGGAGGAATCGAGAGACCCCCGTCTGGCACGTCATCCCGTCCATATGAAGCGTCAGGGGTTTCGCGGCGTCCATTCGTTGCATGTACTGAAAAAAACACAATAGATTACGCCATGAAAAACAAACGATTACGATAGGAAAATCATTCGATTGCGCCATGAAAATCAATGGCTAAATTTCGCGAAAATTCCGCAAATTTTCTGGCTGTCTCCGCGCCTTTAAAATAGCGTAATCGGTCCCCAAAACGCCATTTTAAAGGCGCTGTGACAGCTGGAAAAGGGGCGGGCCAAGAGGGCAAGCTAGCAGCGACAATTTGCGGATTTTAAAGGCGCTGTGACAGCTAGAAAAGGGGCGTGGCAAAAAGGGCAGGCTAGCAGCGAGAATTTAGGAACCGATTACGTCATTTTAAAGGGACGGCGACATCTAGGAAAGGGGCGTGGCCAAAAGGGCAAGCCAGCAGAGACAATTTGCGGGTTTTAAAGGCGTTGTGATATCCAAAAAAAGTGGGCGTGGCTAGTAGCAAGCTAGCAGAGACGATTTGGGAAACGTTTACGCTATTTTAAAGGGGTGGCGACGCCTAGAAACGTACCTGCAGATACGCGACGGCATCATTTCCCGGGTAATTCCTGGCCGATGCGTAGAGGATGAAGGCGGAAATGAGGGCATTGACGGCCAAATGACTGGCCGCCCCCCAGGCGAGGGCCCATCGTCGCCAGCTCTTCTCCTTGTTGATCCACCTGCAAAAAAAAATGTAAAACCGAATTTTTCCAGGTGTCCCTGCCCCTTGAAAAATTCCGCAAAGCGCCGCTGCTAGCTTCCCGGGCTCCTAAAGTGTCTTTGCAAGCTTGCCCCAATTTTTACGAGGCCCGGCAAGCCAGAAAAAGCCAAAAGCTTCTATTTTAAACGGGTCGGGAAGTCAAAAATTCGACTTTTCGATGTGTCACTGTCCCTTTAGAGCGTCCTCAATCAATCCCGCTAGCTTGCCCTAATCTTTAAAGGGACCGGGAAGCTAAAAAAATCGATCAGCTGGCCGAGATTTTTGCGGAAAATCAAAAATCGTGATTTTAAAGGAACTGGAAAGTCCAAAAAAAACAAAATTTCCGTTTTAAAGGACCCCGCAACCCAAAATTCGACCCACATTCTAGCAGTGAAGACGGCGGCGGGGAGGCTGAGAAGGGGGAAGGCGTAGATGATGAAGCGGAGCTCCTTGTGGGGGAGCAGCGAGTAGAGCGAGATGAAGATGAAGGCAGGTAGAAGGAGAGGGGGCAGCCTGCAAAAAATGGGTTGGAAATGACGCCAAAAATCCACAAAAAAAGCTAAAAATTCCCAAAATTTCCGCAAATAGTCCCTTCTAGCTTGCCCAAATTTTCCTCAAAAATCACTGCTAATTTGCCCAGAATTCTCTAAAAACCTCTGCTAGTTTCCCAGGTCAGCTAGCAGAGGTTCTTGAGGAAAATTCTAAAAACGCTGCCAGGCTACCCAAAATTTCCGCAAAAATCATTGCCAGTTCACCCAGAATTTCCCAAATAATCGCTGCTGGTTCGCCAGGTTGGGGCCAACTAACAGAGACAATTTGCGGAAAATTCCATGCTCCCTTACCTTCTATCGATGAGACACCCGAGGGGAATGAAGACGATTGAAGACAGCAGGGCTCGCGGGAGGGCCGAGTAGAAGTACCACAGCAGCGGGGAGACCTGAAAATAGAGAAATTAAATTGAGAAAAACAAAAAAACGACGCTGAAAACTATGGTCAAGTGGTTAGTGACCTTGCCTGCCAATCTGACGACCCGAGTTCGAGCCCCGGGACCTACAAACTTTTTGCTTTTTGCTCAAAACGCTCAGAATCATTGATCTGGCAGCTAGCAAAACTCTTTCCAAGGTTTCAAACCAGATCTTAAACCGATTACGCACTGAAACAGGGTCTCGGGTTCGACCCCCGGGACCTACAAACTTTTTGCTTTTTGCGCCAAAAGCTCAGAATCGGTTATCTGGCAGCCAGAAAGCGAGAGAGAGAGAGAGAGAGAGAGAGAGAGAGAGAGAAACTGACCCCATATTCGTGACTTCTGTTCTGCAACAGGTTAAAGTTGATGACCATCCCCTCGGGCCAGATTGGGTAGCCCCACAGCAACGAGTCCACGGGTACGGTAACAACTAAAAAATCAATTTTATTAGCCCAAAAAACTCGATTTACCTAGCGCCTTTAATGCCGTGGAAATACCGGTGTAAATTGCGCCATTCTCGCCGAAAAGCGGGAGCTGGCCCCGGAGAATCGAGGGGAGGAAGAGAGGGGCGAACAGGAGCACGAGCTCGAATCTGAAAACGAGAAATTCGAGGTGGCAGGCTAGCAGGGACCATTTGCGGTATTCAAAAATCTCAAAAACGCACCGAAAAACGAATGTAAAAGCGGTGGCCCAGCGGACGGCAGACTGTAGATGGCCATCCAGCCATTTCTGGTAGACGAACAGCACTGCAAAAATGGATTAAGTAAGGAACTGGAGTTTAAAGGGATCGTGACAGCTAAAAAATTGACGAAATACCGAAATTTTTGAGTCCAAAAATTCAAAAAACTGTTTTCTTTCAATCCACCCTATAGAAATTTCACTAAAAAACGGATTGGCTATGGAAATTACCCGAAAAAATAGATTACTCCATGAAAATCATCCGGAACAAACGATTACGACATGAAAATTTGCTCTAGAAAACCAATTACGCTATCAAATTCTGCCCCGAAAAACGTCTGAAAAATTCACCTCCAAACAGGGCGAAAACGTTCGGGAGTGTGCGCGACGCGTAGAAGAGGAAGTGGAACTGCGAGGCGATCACCAGCCTGAAAATCGGAATTCCTCAAAAATCGCTGCTAGCTTGCCTCAAAAAGGTGGCGGTCTCGTCGCCGAAATGCTTGCGGACGCAGCGGCAAAAGTTGAGCAGCGCGATCACGATTGCCGAGCCGAGCACGAAACGGACTGAAAAAACTTGATTCCGCAAAGTTTCTCCGCTAGCCTGCCCCTTTTTAGATGTCGTAATCGGTTCTCAAAGTGTCTCTGCTAGCTTGCCCTCGTTTTGGCAGGCTAGCAGAGGTTATTTTGGAAGATTTTCAGCGATTTGCGGCGTTTTTAGTGATTTTAAAGGCGCTGTGACAGCAAGAAACGGGCCGGCTAACGGCGAAAAATTCCTAAATCGTCCCTGCTAGCCTGCCCTCGTTTTGGCAAGCTAGCAGAGATTATTTAGGAGAGTTTTCAGTGATTTCTAGCGTTTTTCAGTCATTTAAAGGGACCGTCCCCCCTAGAAAAGGGCAACCGAGCAGAGACCATTTCGGAACCGATTACCCCATTTTAAAGGCGGCGTGACAGCCGTGAAACGTACCAAAAACGAGCATCCACACCTTGTGGAGACCGAAGAGCCAGAAGAACGGGCGGGCAGGGAGGGAGGAGAGGGCCAGGCAGACCGGGCCCGAAAACGACCGAGGGACCACACCCGGGAATTCGTGGTGGTCATACTGAAAAGAATCGAATCGATTACGCCATGAAAATACCTACATTTTCGAGTGCGATATTGTGGTATATGAGGTCGTGGGTGGCCTGCACGTTGAACGATTCTTCTACCTGAAAAGGGCAGATTAGATTTGGCTATTAAGAGGAATTTCACGCTTAATCGATTACGCCACGAAATTCACGAACGCGGGATCGATTACGCGATCAAAATAAAAAAAAACGCGTTTAATCGATTAGGCCATGAATTTCGAAGCCCCGGAATCAATTACGCAATTAAAATCTCATAACTACCTTAGTGCCGGGGGTGAGCAGAAGATGGAGCATCATCACGATGAACACCAGCCATTCCGAGCCGGCTATGTTGTCCATCGGACCTGAAAAAAGAGCTAAAATTAAGCGCAAGCCCACGAAAAAATCAAGGTGGCCGAGTGGTTAGTGGCCCGGCCTACCAATCTGGCGACCCGGGTTCGACTCCCGGCCGCGGCAACGTTTTGCTTTTTGCTTCACACTTTCAGAAACGGTGAACTGGCAACCAGAAAGCGAGAAACAGCGAAAAATAGTGCCGATTCCCCATCGTAACGCAACAAAACCGCCACCAAATATTTCAGCCCACAGCGAAGAGTTCCCGAATCGATTACGCCACCAAAATATCACAGATTTATTCGCACAATTTACATGTCGTAATGCAATAGAAAAATCTCGAAAATTGGACAATTATTCGGGGTCTTCGGGTCGAGATGAAGCAGCGGTGGTGGGGAGGAAATCGACGCCCGGGAAGATGGAGGAGAACGAGTGACGGACCTGGAAATGGAGACAAAAATAGGTGGTAGGCTAGCAGAGGACGTTTGGGAATAGGTTACGCTATGAAAATAGCTCAAGAAAATCGATTACGCTATAAAAATGGCGCTTGACAATCCACAGCATTCTGCCCTTTACCAGTTGTGTTCGTTTGACCGGGACAGGATGGCAGGCATACAGGGGAAGGGAGAATCTGCGCTCTGGCCTCGCCCCCCGTTCTCTTCCCCCGTGCCCTATAGTCTAGTCTCACTCTTTCGCCGCCTACTCCGCGCCCCACCCCTCCCCTGTGTGTCTGCACCCCGTCGTCTGGCGCACTATCCGCCAGCCTACTCACGAACACCGCGGAATCATGTGCAATCGCTTACGCTATAAAAATCACCTAAAAAACCAATTACGCTGTAAAAATTACCTAATTAAATCGGCTACGCTATGAAAAAGTCCTAGAAAATCGATTACCCTATGAAACGGCCCAAAAGCAATCGATTACGCCATTAAAATCGCCAAAAGCGGGGCAAGCTAGCAGAGACGATTTGCGGAAATTCCCTCACCTTCTCCAAGACCTGGATGTAGTCCAAATTCCTGTCAATTCCCGGCAACACGTGGAAATTCGAGGGGGTTGACGGGCCCGGCTCGAAATCCGTCGAAGCGGGCAGGGAGAATCGTAGTTTGTAGGGCAGAGGGGTATCTGAAAACGGCGCATTAATGGGAGAAAAATGGACGGACCCGGAAATAGACGAGACTCGGCCTTTCGGATCGATTCCTCGTCGTCGGCGATCAGATGGGTCACAACTGGAAAAGAGGGCGAATTCCGCAAAAATCCCTGCTAGCTTGCCCTTCGGCTAACCGATTACGCGACGTAAAAAACGTACAGTATCCGGGTGCCGTCATCCGGTGCCCCATTTGCATCAGACGGGAGCTGCCCTGGTCGCCGAAACTCGTCAGGGCCACCTGGAAAACGAGAAAATTTTTGCGGTCTAGCGGAGATCATTGAGGAATTTGGGGCAAATTCAGGACAGCTAGCAGGGATTCTTTGAGGAAAATCAGGCTATCTAGCAGTGATTCTTGAGGAATTTGAGGCAAGCTAGCAGTGATTCTTTAACGAAAGATCTGTGGCCAACTAGCAGGGATTTTTGCGGAGATTTGGCTGGAATCGGCCGATAGTTTTCGGGCATTTTCAGGGCAATCTAGCAGAGATTTTTTGAGCAGCAAAAACTGACATCAGCCTCCTTATCGACAAGTTGATTGCCGGCCTCGTTGGAGATGACGATCGATCGATATATCCTTTTCTTCACATCGCCTTCTTCAATTCCTCTCCATTCCCTTGGCACGTATTCTGGAGATGAGAAGACGACGTCACAGTTGATCTTTCCCTCTTCGATTAGAACGGCCGACAGCCTGGAAATAATCAATGACGCCATCAAATTCGGACTATAAAATCGATTACGCACAGCGTTCAGAATACTAAGAAAAAGGTTCGTCGGGCGGGAACAGGATGGGAGAGGCGAGAGAGTGGGCGGGGGGTGGAGAGCCCAGAGACCCTCTCTGTTCTCTGCGTCTCTGCCCGGCGGCCTCCAGCCTCTTTTGGCCGCGGGTCGCAGCCTAAAGGGTGCCCCAACCACCATTGGCTGCCCCCAGGGTGCCTGCCCTTGTGTCTGCGCTCCGCATCGTGTACCCTTGGGGCCCCCCTTTTCTGAACCATGTGATACGGATACGACGTCAAACTTCGCCCGGAAAATCGATTACGGCACGAAAATCCATGAGAAAAATAGATTACGCTATAAAATTCTACGTAAAAAATCGGTTACGCGATGAAAATCGCCTCGAAAAACCGCTTACGACAAGAAAATTTGCTCGAAAAATAGATTATGCCATGAAAATCGTCTCAAACACTCGATTACGTCATGAAAATTCACCTGCCCTCCTTGGTGACGACGTGATCGATGGGGTAGCCGACCTTGTAGATGGCGCCGAAAACGGCCGCGTTTCGCGCGAAGGCTTGGGGCAGCTCGCCGCATCTGGAAAAAGGGAAAATTATGAATTTTTCTAAAAATTCCAAGGACGAAAATAGCGCCTTTTGCAATGGCAAGCCAGCAGCGATTTTTGGGGAATTCACCCCGTTAGGAGGGCGGAAAACCAGAAAAAGCCAACCGAATTTTTCAACAAAAAATCAACGCCGAAACCCGTGGCCAAGTGGTTAGTGGCACGGCTTGCCAATCTGGGGACCCGGGTTCGATTCCCGGGACCTACAAACTTTTTGTTTTTTGCTTCAAAAGGTAGGAATTGCTAAAAATAGCAACAAAAATCATCACCGTACCCATATTCGGGGAAGAGGAAGGGCGACGGGCAGTAGACACCGACACTGTCCATGATCAGGCAGATCGCTGTCAGACCCTGAAAAAATATTTTATTGGCTCCCAAATGGTCTCTGCTAGCTTGCCAGGGTGAGGGCAAGCTAGCAAAGAACATTTGAGGAAATTCTAGCAAAATTTAAGTTTTTGGGCAATTTTCAAAGCGTAATACAGGGTGTCCCAATAAAAAAGGTCACGCTGGCATTTTGCTATTTCAAATCCGATCGACTTGAAATTTTGCACAGAGATGCGGAAGGGAATTCAAAATGTTCACAGAAACTTTCAGCCCGATCGGTACAGTAGTTTTCGAGTTATAACAAAAATAAGCTTTATTTTACGTTTTTAACCTGGATTCCGCCGGAATTGAGCCCCGGAATGTATGCAGAAAATGAAGCGTCGACCCTTTTTTATCCTAGAAATTTTTTATTTCGCAAAATTCGGGTCGAAAATAGGCTATTTAAGTATTTTTTAACAAGGGCTAACGACGCCAATGTTAAGAAGAATAAGGGATTTAGAGCCGGAAATTTATGTTAATTGATGCAAAGTCCAAAAAGATCGCCGAAAAAATAAAGCGAAAGTGTGGGAAAAACACTATTTTTACAATAACCCGGAAACTACTGTACCGATCGGGCTGAAAGTTTCTGTGAACATTCTAAATTCCCTTCCGCATCTCTGTGCAAAATTTCAAGTCGGCCGGATTTGAAATAGCAAAATGCCAGCGTGACCTTTTTTATTGGGACACCCTGTAGTTTGAATTCGCGATTTTAAGGGGACAGTGACACCTAGCTAGATCCTCAAAAACCTCTGCAAGCCTGCCAGGGCCAGGACAGGCTAGCAGAAAGAATTGGGGAAATTGTACCTGTAAGGTGGTCGGTTGGGGAGCCATCAATGCAATCATTCCATGAATCAGTGCCTGCGTCTCTGCCCCCATCGAATATTTCCTCGTGAGAAATTCGCCCAGCGGCCGGTGGCAGTACTCTAAAAACCATTAAAAATGGGATTTTTCGAAAATGGCAACCTTCGAGTAGGGCGGGGTCTTGCGTGGCGTTCCACCCCGTGCAGAACTCGAGGAATTTCATGAAGCGCCGCCGGTCGATTAGGCTTCTGAAAAAATGGGGGATTGCATGGCGTAATCGATTTTCCTAGCCAAATTTCCTTGCATAATCGATTCTATGGTTCAAATTCCATAACGTAATCTTTTTCTAAGTCAATTTCATAGCGTAATCGACTCCCGAAGACGAACTATATGTCGTAATCTATTTTTCTGAGCCGAATTTCATGCCATAATCGATTTTCGACGACAAATTTTACGCCCAAATCGATTATCTAGGTTTGAATTGCCTATCGTAGTCGTTTTTAGGTCAAATTAAATAGCGTAATCAGTTTTATACGACGAATTGCGTGCCGTAATCGATTTTCAGACGAATTTCGAGCCTCATTCCTATCGTAATCAATTTTTTGGCCCAGTTTCCTTGCGTAATCGATTTCTAGAGGCGAATTTCATGCCGTAATCAATTTTCCGACTTATTTTCATGCCGTAACCTACTAAAAACCGCAAAAAAACCAACTTCAATCGATCCGTAGATGATATTTGATTCTTGGTGAGGGGTATGGGTTCGAAGGCCATCGTCTGGGGTTCGGGCTCGAATAGCACCTTCCTGATCGGCTTGAATTCGAGGTATTTCGAGACGCCGGAAGAGAGGAGCGCCTTCACCATCGCGTCTCGCGCCGTTAGCACCTGCAAAATGGGTTGCGTAATCGATTAATTCTTCAAAGAATCCCTGCTAGCCTACCCGGGCAAGCTAGCAGAGACAATTTGCGGAATTCCAAAAAATTCCCCCAACCTTTGGCATCAAATCGAACTGAACGCGGCGAATCTTCCTGTACTTGTCGAGGGCGTCGTCGAGGATGTTGGCTGCGGAGGGGCCGCATCTGCAAAAAAAAAATTGGTTTTCATGGCGTAATCGATTTTTGAGACCTTCAAGCACCCTTTAAAGCAAAACTCACTGCTCCAAAATCGTGCCCTCATCGCTGAAATCCCGGACGGCGCACTCGCAGCCAAGCATCACCGCTTGCTCGCCTTCTTCTAACTAAAAAAATGGGGAATTTCATATCGTAATCGATTCCCCTACCGTAATCCCATCCGGTAAAGGGGGCGTGGCGGGGCGTGTGAGCGCGTCGAACCACTCGCTGCGCGCCGTGTGCAGGCTAAACGAGGCCCAGTCGCCGCCGTAGTAGTTGCGTCTGCAAAAAAAATACATTGTTAACATTTTCACGAAATTTTTATGTGGTTTCTGGGCTTCTAAAATTCTCAAAGGATCTCTGCTAGCATGCCAACATCTAAGAAATTATTATTTGAGCCAAAAACTTGCAAAAAAATAAAATTTTGCAATTTTTTGGATTTTCCTGCCCTTCCAATCTGATTTTATTGATTTTTCTAACATTTTCGGGAGCTTTGTTGAGCTCCAAAATTCTCTAAGAATCTCTGTTAGCTGCCTAGGCCTAGAAAATGGATTTTTTAGCCCAAAATTGTTTAAAAATCGAATATTTTTAATTTTTGGCTATTTTTTTGTAATTTCAGCTTTAAATTGGCTCAAATAGGCCCTAAAAATTCAGAAAATTGGGTTAGGAATCTAAAAAGTGCTCTAAAAGTCGGGCAAACTAGCAGAGACCATTCAGGAATCCCGAAAATAGTTTTAAATACTTTTTTTTTAAGACGAACCGATCCAAGTGCAACACGGTTTTGCCGGCCTGCGCGCACGCCGCCGCCATGATCGTCTCGGGGAGCCCGGTGCCGAGGATGATCACGTCGAAATGGGTCGGCAACGCTTCTGTTGACGCCATCTGGAAATGGAGCAATTAAAAAGCAATAAAATAGGCAATAAAAATAGAGAACACCCTACAAATCCGAGCCGAAAATTCGAAAAAATTCCGAAAATCGGTTTTTAAATGCTCTAAAACTTTATAAAACCATCTTGCTAGCCTATTTTTAGACGCTGATTCTGAATTCGAAACTTATTTATTGAATAGAGCAGTAATTCTTGCGATATTGCGTTAAATGGAGAAAAATCAGCGTAGAAAACGTTCAGAAAACCGAAAAATGAGGTAAAAATCTATTTTTTAACTTTTAAAACTTTTCAAAACTATTTTTCTCACCTATTTTTAGACGCGGACTCCGAATCACAGGTTATTTTCACTATGAAGCAGTAATTCTCCAGTTTCAACCGATTTTCTCCACTAAAAAACCTCCTGCATAGCTTTTCCGCTAATGAAATTGCTCAAAATATGAAAAAATGAGGCTCCCAGCCGACAACAAACTCCGCATTCGGAATCAGCGTGAAAAACTGGTCTAGAAACACTATTTTTCGTTGCAAAATGTTTCAAATAACCAAAAAAGAAGGCGAAGCCAGACCGACTCAGAAAAACCCAAAAATCTCTACATTTTTTAGCAAAATTATGGCAGTTTAAGGCATCAAAATGCTCGTAATAAGCTGCTGTATCTTTTCTGAATAATATTATAGCCTAAATATAACAATTCAACGTTGTAAAGCGCATTTTATTGGTCTAGCGCCGATCTCGATCTCATTATCGGGCTTTCCGGGGCCTAACGCTGCAGGGAGGGCACAGAGTCGCGGTGTGCTGTGTAGCGCGCCGTACCCGGTCAGAAAGCAAGGAATGTCCAAAACTTGATAAAACTCGTTAAAATAAAGCTAAAATAAAATTTTTTTAATTACAATAGATGCGCTACTTGGCAGTTACGGCGATGCCACGCAAATATTTCTAAAAAATCGTTCCCGCTTTGCGCTACAGCTTTTTTCGTCAGGTCGCTCTTGCAAATTCGTAGTTTGTAGCCTGTAGCCTATAGTTTTCAAAGCTCAATCAGCTCCAATCAACGTCCCGGTTGACAGTTAGAACGTTTCCACAAGAATATTTCTCAAAAATCGTTTCCGCTTTGCTCTGTAGCGCTCCTCGCTGGTCCGCCGGCCCGAAATGCGTAGTCTGTAGCTTGTAGCCCATAGTTTTCAAAGCTCAATTGGCCCCAATCGACGCACTGGCCGTCAGTTTAGCCAAAGACACAATAAAAAGTATGCCACACGTAACATTAAAGCGTTTATTTCATCGTCGGCCCATGCCAAGCATCACATTACGTTATGAAAATAGTAGGCAGTCGGGGTGGAAGGCAGGGCAGAACATTTCGCGGTAAATTTGGGTGTGTCTTCTGTGTGTGTGTACTTGTGCATTAATGGGGGGGGGGAGAGAGAGGGGAGAGGCCTTCAGAAGAATCCATCGCCCAGTCGATTCATCTGCAGCTGGTCCCTCTGCGCGTATTTCGTCAACAGCTGCAGGAAACGCGAAAACTTGGACTCCTTCTCGGGGAGGATGGCGTCGACGCTCTGCAAATGGAGTAGTCGGTTGGGGTTTAGGCTGCCAATCTGAGGACCCGGGTTCGAATCCCGGCCGCGGCAAACTTTTTGCTTTTCGAAAAATCAAGATTTTTTGGCGAAAACGGGCTAGCTGGATGCACATACCGGTGAACATCACTAAAACTATGACGCAATTGGTAAGTCCATGGATCCCCAGGAAAACGGCCCGGGTTCGACTCCCGCGGGTGGCAAACTTTTTACTTTTTAAAATATACAGATTTTTGGATGCTAATGGGCTAACTGGCTGCCAGTTAACAGCTCTGCGGCAATGGCGCAGTCGCTAAGCCCCTAGATCCCCAGGAAAACGGCTCGGGTTCGATTTCCGGCCGCGCATCCCTTTGCCTTTTGCTTTTGCCCTTCCCCTCTGGATACCTGCATGGAGAAGATGTGCTTGGTGATGGCCAGGTAGAGGAATTGCATCTGGACGGCCGACTGGACTGCGTGCATCCGGAAATTGCGGGTGGCAGTGATGCAGCTGGGGATGGAGACGGCCTCCACCTTCGCCGAGTGCAGACGCCAGTGGGCAAGCTGCAATGGGCAAATTTTCTTTGCTAGATAGGTTAACTGGATGCCAGTTAAGCGATTGGGTGAAGATTTTGGTTTCCACAAAGCGTCCTTGCTCGTTTGCCCCTCGTTAGAACCCGAATTTCGCATTTTTGATCGAAAAATCGACTTTTTCCCCAATTTTTCAAATTCCGCAATGTTCTCTGCCGGTTACCTGGAAGGCAGCAAAAGTGCCGGCTCGTCCCCCTCCACTCAGGCTCATATAGACGTGGGGGTGGCGGTAGCGGCGGAAGATTGCCTCCAGTTGCCACATTTCCTGAAACAGACGAAAAAGGTGTACGGTAGTTGTCATTTTTGGGTTTTTCGAGGCTAATTTCTCATTTTCAGGCCAACTAGCAGACAGGTAAGCGAACGGCATACCGCTTGTAGCAAAAACTACATCCGCTATCCCCAGAACTACAGACTACACATGACACCAAACGACACGCACCTCCATTTTGCCGGGCCGCCCGTTGTGCAGCCAATCCGAGTAGTGATGGACGTGCACGTACCTCTGGCGATGCCCGTGCTTGATGGTGTAGACGGAAAGAGACCAATTGGCCGCCACCTCGACCCTCTTCACGCAGCCCACCTTCAGGTGGTTACGGTAGTGGATGAAGTCACTGCAAACGCAGGCAAAAGGTTAGATCGCAAATTTTTCTGCCGGAATGGCTCAACTGGCTGCCAGCTAACTCGAAACTACCGTACCCCTTGCTGGGGAAGACGTGCTCGGCGCCGAATCGGCCGTACTCGGCGGGGCTGAGGATGAGCAGGATGCCCTGCACCTCATTCTGGAGACACATCTCCCAGAAATCGGGGGCAGCAGAGGGCACCGGCAGCTGCGTCACGATCGCCTTTCTGCAAAAGGCAAACAAAATCGAAAAAATTGTGCAAAAAGGGCAAAAGTCAAAACATTTTGCCGCGGGCGGGGGTCGAACCCGAGACCCTTATAACTTCCAAATCCCTTGAGGAAAAGTGATGACATTTTCAGAAGCGCTAAACTGCTAGGCAAGGAAGCCAATTCGGCAAATATATTACGAAAAATTTCAGAATTTTTCAAAAAGAAAAAAAGTTTGCCGTGGGCGGGGGTCGAACCCTCGAGCCTCATACCTCGAAAACCCTTGAAGGAAAAGCTTCCAAATTTTCAGAATCGCTGAACTGGCATGCAAAAAAGCCAAATTCTGGAAAAATGGTCAGGAAAAGCAAAAAGCAAAAACGTGGCGCCGGCAGGATCCGAACCCTCGACCCCTGCGATTATATGGCGTAATCTATTCCCCCCAGCCACTGACCTATCCTCGCCGACAGCCACCCACGACGCGTGAATGTAGTCAGAGTGGGTCTGCTCGAGGAAGACGCGTGTCTGGTCGATGCACACCATGTCTGCAATTTCGTGGCGTAATCGATTGTCGCAAAGTCGTGGTCCCCGGGAAATAAGGCTTCGAAATGCCGATTTAAGCGGCCAGACAGCTTCACTGGATGCCAGTTTAGCAAATGCGAGACGCCAAACTACAAACGACACTCCCTAACGGCCACTGGAATTTCCTGGCGTAATCGAATGCCCCTGGTTGGCGGAAAACCCCATTTAACTTTTTGTAAACCTGTTGAAATTTTGTTCTAACGGTTCGAAAAGATGAGCAGTATGCCAGTTTAACAAAATCCAGCCTCCAAACTACAGAATACAAACCACAGCCCCCGTTCCGTACCCTGGAATCGATTTTTGCCCGGGTTGGCGTCAAAGTCCATGCGGGTGGCGGCGACGGGGAGGTGGTCCTTCACCAGGCGCCACTGCGTCTCCATTCCCTGCAAAACGCCGTGGAGTTTGTAGCCCAGATTCGATCGCGTAATTGGTTGTCATCCGCTGCCTCACCTCAATGCCCAGCTTGAGGGTGTTGTCGACAAAGTTGCGCAACTTGGCCATCTGCCGCTCATCAGGATCTCGTCCTCCTCCTCCTCCTCCCTTTCCCTTCTGCGACTCCTTGACCGTCTTGTCCTCGTCACGCGGCGGGGCCACTTGCTGGAGTTGTGGCTGGGTGGAGGCGGTCGTCGACAGGGCCGAGCTGGGCGGGGAAGGGGCGTCTGAAAACGTGAATTTCACGGAGTACCCGTTTCGGAGCGGGGTTTTCGTGGCGTAATCGGCTAAACTGACAACCAGTTCATCCCTAGAAATCAAGAAAATCCAAAAATTTCAACTTTAAAGGGATGGTGACAGCTGCTTTTTGGATAGTCGCCAAGCAATTACATCGCGTAATCGACCAAATTTTGGGGTTTTCGTGGCCTAATTAGTTAGACTGACATCCAGACCATAAGTTAAAAACCAAACAAATTTAAAAAAATTAATTTTTAGCAGTGTGGTGCCAGCAACTTCTTCTAGAAGTTCAGGCGCGTAATCGGTTAAATTGTTGGGTTTTCATTGCGTAAACATTGAAACCGGCTGCCAGTTAGCCCATTCAAAGGGGTGGTGCCTCCAAAAAGTGGCCCACTCTGCAGCTGCTGCTGCTGGAGGAGGGCTGTGGTGTTGGCGGTGGTGGTGGCCGCGGTGGGCAACTCGGTCGGGCGCTCACTCTCCGAGGCCGGGCGAGCCTAGGGGGAAATCGATTAAGGCACGTAATTGGGTTGTAGTTTGTAGCAACAAAGTGTCACTGCTAGCGACGCAAAAAATCCGATTACGAAATGTAATTTTTGTCGTTTGTAGCGGATTGCGAGAGAGTAAGCGATTACGACAGGTAATTTAGGTGTATCTTGTAGTCTTCCACAGATTATCTCTGCTAGCCTGCTTTAAAAATCCATTACACACGCCAAATCCTACCGGCGACGGCGAGCGTGGCTGCCCTTTTCCGGTTCCTCCTCCGGCTGCGTGGCTGCCCTGTTTGTTGTGATGTCGTGGGGATGGGTAGAAGCCGGGGCTGACCGCCTTCCGGTGGGCGTGGCCACTGCTCAGCTGCTGCTGCTGCTGCTGTTGGTGGTGGTACTTCTTCTGGTTCGGCTGCAACATCCGGTTACGACATGAAAAAGAGTGAAAAGGACCGCTGAAAAAAGTCTCGTGACCCCCATATTTTTCAGCCCAAGTTTGACCGATTACGACATGTTATTCGAAATCTTCCAAAAAGCCCAGTTTTTTAAATGTAAAGCTTGGAAAAGCTGTACTGCCCGCCAGTCGACCCCCTACCGAAGTGCTGGCGTTGCGGTCGCCGCGCGGTCCGGGCCCTCCGGGCGCCCTCTCGCTGGCGGTGGCCGTCACGATGGCTTGGCCGTGCTTCGTCGGCGTGCCGCGGCTGTGCGGGGAGCGCCCCGGGCGCGTGGCCTTCCGCGGCCGCGAGACGCGAACGCCCTGAAAAACGCTGGCCTCAATGCCCCAATGATCTCTGATCGGTTGCCTAGGTAATTACATCGCGTAATCGGTTGCGAAACTCGTGCTCAATCCGTCAAAACGTGCTCAAAATTGTTAATGTCATGTTTAGCTCAACTGCCATCCAGTTACGCCATATAAATCGAAAACTCGACGGAGCGTAGCGTACAGCGCGCGGAGAGTTGGGGTAGACGACCTGCTGCCTGGCCTCTTGGTGTGTGTCCCTCACCAGCACCACACCACCAGCCGCACCACCATTCTTCGGGCTCGGCTGCTTCGGGGGAGCTTTCTGGAAAGCAGGGAAAAGTGTACGGTATCCAAATCGATCTCTGCTAGCTCGCCTGCTCAAAAAAAAAGTAAAAAATATTGTTGCTGAATTTCGGGGGTTTTCGCAATCCATTACACCATTAAATTCAGAATTCGATTGGAATACTGTAGATTTGGTTTGTCTGCCTGTCAGTAAAGCCAAATTGGCACAGAAATTTCCGAAATTTCCACAATGTCCTCTGCTGGCCTGCCTAGAGCCCTCCAGCCTTTCCAGCGAACCGATTACGTCATTTAAACGAAAAATTGCTGAGGTTACTGTAGATTCGGGTAATCTGCCTGCCAGTAAAGCTGAATACTCCGAAAAAAAATGCAAAAAACTATTTTCTACCGGAAATTTGCCCTTGCTGGCGCTCTTGGGGAGTGGCGTGGCCTTCTTCTTGCGCATGCCCGACATCGACGAGTACGAAGAGCGAGAAGGGGGCGATTTGGGTAGGAAAAGCCGAGTGGGAGGGGCCGAGATATATGGAAACTCGAATTTCGAGCTTGACCTTTCAAAAACCGGGATTTCCGGAAAACTCGAAGCTCAAAATCAAGATTTTTATGCAAATTAGTCCAGTTTTCGTGAAGCTGGCTAGCAAAGACCGTTATAGAAAATCAGGTAGCCTAACTGGTTGCCAGCTAGCCTATTTACGACCCAGGCAAGCTAGCAGGGACCATTTAGGAGATCTAGTGATCGAAAATCATTCACTCTAAGCTTCTGATAAGCAATTTGGGGTGAAGCTCCCGAAAAAGCGAAAAAGGGCAAACCGGGACCACCCATTGTTCGTTTCAGTTTTTTGGAAGCTTGGCGTTTTTTTTTTACTTATCTCGGCGCCCTCTATCCAAATGCGTTCCATTGTTCTTCAGAGGCTACATTGTACACCTATTGACACCATGGCCCATCCCTGAAAATTGAGATTTTTTGGTCTCCGGAAGTGTTTTTTTCGCCTAACTTGGAATTTCATTGCGTAATTTTGGCGTTTTCCTTCAGTCGGCCATCCAGCCAAAGCAACGCGATAGTTTTGACGGTGCCTCATTGTTTATTTTTCCGATTGACGCCTGATTCCGACTGGCTGGAAATTGACCCCTCGAAAACCATGATTTTCACGTGTACTTTGTAGCCAAGAGGAAATTTTAGCATTTTTTGAGTGCATTGTGTGATCTGGTATCCATAAAAACCATTCTGATCGTTAAACCCTTTTTTTAACACGTTTAGCTGCCAGGCGAACGACCCGGGTTCGACCCCGGGCCGCGGCTAGCTTTTTGCTTTTTGCTTTTTCCAAGAAATTTTTGTGATATTGGCTCAACTGGCAGGCAGCTAAGATTGTCCCGTCATTGGCGCAATCGGTAAACGCTTAGATTTTGAATCACCAGGCCCGGGTTCGACCCCCGGCCGCAACCATCTTTTTGCTCTTTTGGAAATCGACGATCGCAACGATTTGTCGTGCTCCTGGGAGCAAATTTCCCGACCGGGAAACCGGCAACACACCGCACAGCGCGTGGAAATCGGAACATTTCTATGCGAACCGGCTGGTCAGGGAGTGAGAGGGAGAGAGACAGCTGAGGAGCCAGAGAGACAGACATCTCCGATTTTGGAAAAACCACGTTCTAGCCCGTCGTCCAATTTGATACGGGGGCAAGGCCATTCGGTCCCCCTCACGTGCTGCTCCCCAAAAAAAATTGACCCCCCCCCCGACCCGAGTAGCCAATGCCGAAAACAGTCCAAACAATCCTTCCCGTGTGAATTTTCTGGTCCCTATTCCCTTTTTATGTTTTCTGTCTGCCAGTTTAGCGATTTTTGTTGTAATTTTAACAATAACTACATTTTAAAAAATTTTCGAACAGCGTTTTTGCAACTTTTCGATTTTTCCCATTTTCCGGCTCATTTCTCTTGACGCGTCGGGGTACTGTAGCGGAGTTATGGATACCATTCGAAAGAACAAATCGAGTTCTATCAGATTGCTAAGTATAGGTTACCGTATTTTACAGTAACCCAATTTTTAAGGTCCCTAAAGTTCGTAGAAATAGCTTTTTTAGTTTTCTTAATTATCCGATCGATTTATCTCGGCGCCTAAAGGTATCGTAGCGGAGTTATATACACCATTCAAAAGAGGAGATCGAGTTCTATCAGATCCCAAATTTTTGGCGCAATCGGAAACACTTGGATTTTGACCCCCCACAACCCGGGTTCGACCCCAGCCGAAGCGGAATTTTTGATTCTTGCTTTTTCGATGAAATTTTTGTAAAATCAGTGTATATGGATGCCAGTTAGCGCATCCAAACGACTAGCGCCATCGGTAGGCACATAGTTTTTCTACCGGATTTTCGTCAAATCTTGATTTTTCCCATTTTCCGGCCAATACCTCTTGACGTCTACGGGTACTGTAGCGGGGTTATGAATACCAGTCGAAAGAGCAGATCAAGTTCTCCAAGATCCCCAATGATGAGCTATCGTATCCTACCATAACTCTGTTTTTAAGGGCCCTAAAGTTGGTAGAAATTGCGTTTGACGATTTCTCATTTTACCGAGGGAGTTATCTTGATGTTTAGTCGTACTGTAGCGGAGTTATGTACATCATTCGAAAGAGGAGCGCGAGTTCTATCATATCCCAAATTTTTGGCGCAATCGGAAACACTTGGATTTTGACCCCCCACAACCCGGGTTCGACCCCAGCCGAAGCGGAATTTTTGATTCTTGCTTTTTCGATGAAATTTTTGTAAAATCAGTGTATATGGATGCCAGTTAGCGCATCCAAACGACTAGCGCCATCGGTAGGCACATAGTTTTTCTACCGGATTTTCGTCAAATCTTGATTTTTCCCATTTTCCGGCCAATACCTCTTGACGTCTACGGGTACTGTAGCGGGGTTATGAATACCAGTCGAAAGAGCAGATCAAGTTCTCCAAGATCCCCAATGATGAGCTATCGTATCCTACCATAACTCTGTTTTTAAGGGCCCTAAAGTTGGTAGAAATTGCGTTTGACGATTTCTCATTTTACCGAGGGAGTTATCTTGATGTTTAGTCGTACTGTAGCGGAGTTATGTACATCATTCGAAAGAGGAGCGCGAGTTCTATCATATCCCAAATTTTTGGCGCAATCGGAAACACTTGGATTTTGACCCCCCACAACCCGGGTTCGACCCCAGCCGAAGCGGAATTTTTGTTTCTTGCTTTTTCGATGAAATTTTTGTAAAATCAGTGTATATGGATGCCAGTTAGCGCATCCAAACGACTAGCGCCATCGGTAGGCACATAGTTTTTCTACCGGATTTTCGTCAAATCTTGATTTTTCCCATTTTCCGGCTCATTTCTCTTGACGCGTCGGGGTACTGTAGCGGAGTTACGTACACCATTCGAAAGAGCAAACCGAGTTCTATCAGATCCCCAATGATGAGCTATCGTATCCTACCATAACTCTGTTTTTAAGGGCCCTAAAGTTGGTAGAAATTGCGTTTGACGATTTCTCATTTTACCGAGGGAGTTATCTTGATGTTTAGTCGTACTGTAGCGGAGTTATGTACATCATTCGAAAGAGGAGCGCGAGTTCTATCATATCCCAAATTTTTGGCGCAATCGGAAACACTTGGATTTTGACCCCCCACAACCCGGGTTCGACCCCAGCCGAAGCGGAATTTTTGTTTCTTGCTTTTTCGATAAAATTTTTGTAAAATCAGTGTATATGGATGCCAGTTAGCGCATCCAAACGACTAGCGCCATCGTTAGGCACTTAGTTTTTCTCCCGGATTTTCGTAAAATCTTGATTTTTCCCATTTTCCGGCCAATAGCTCTTGACGAATAGGGGTACTGTAGCGGAGTTATGGATACCATTCGAAAGAGCAGATCGAGTTCTATCAGGTCCCAAAATATCGCTTACGCTATCCTACCGTAACCCGACTTTTAAGGGCCCGAAATATGGTAAAAATTGCGTTTCACAATATCGCAACGTTCCGAGGGACTTATCTTGACGTCTAGACGTACTCTAGCAGAGTTATATACACCATTCAAAAGAGGAGATCGGGTTCTATCTGATCCCAAATTCTTGGCGCAATCGGAAATACTTGGATTTTGACCCCCCACAACCCGGGTTCGACTCCCGGACGCGGCAATTTTTTGCTTTTTGCTTTTTGCTTTTTCGATAAAATTTTTGTGGAATTAGTTTATATGGCTGCCAGTTCACGGTTTTAGAGCATTGGCGCAGTCGGTCAGAGCCCAGATTTTCAGCGACAGGGTCCGGGTTCGATCCCGCCCGCGGTAATTTTGGTTTTTGCTTTTTTCGACAATTTTAACGGAATTGGTTTGATTTTTGCGTTTATAAATGACCATAGTCCATTCACCAAACCCACGTGCCCTCCACATTGCCGTTTTTGCGGCTTAAAGGGGTGCCAAGGGTCATTCGCCCAAATCGGGCGAAACGGCGCGGAAAAAGATAAGTCTAAGCCCCTGCCGCCGCTTATCGCCTCGTTTTTTATTTCCAGCAATTCTCACCTCTTTTCTGCCAACTAGTGCACCCAAAAATGCCCTCAAAACGGAAAAATTCGCGGAAATGACGTTACAGTACCCCTCGGCGGTTTTGGGGGTAATGTAGCCCCTCCATTTTGCAAATTTTGCTATTTCTGAAAAGTTTTTGAAGGGATTCACTAAATTGCTAGGCAGTTCATATTTTACAAAACTTTTTACAAAATTTAATTGCCGATGCATTAAAATAAATTGAATTTTGAGGAGCTCGAAAAATCACATTTCCTACAATCTGTTTTTTTTTTCGAAATTCCCCTATTTTTTAAAAAATAATTTAATGAGATCTATTTCATTTACAGACAGTATATTCTTTTGAATTGTTTAAAAAAAAATTCATTTTCTAATTCTTAGAAAAATATCCAAAAATCCGATTAGCTCCGGAATTTCAGAAACTCCAAAATGCTGTGCCGCCGGAAATCGCTGGAAATTGTGACGCGCTGCTGCCGGTGGGTTGAATTTACAGGGTGCGTCAAAAAAAAAGAACCAAGTTTGCACCAAAATATCTCGCTTATCTTTGAGAATCGAAGGTACGTTACCATGCCAGAATGCTTAAATATGCTGGGTATGAAGATTTAACACAACTTGATTTTTTCGATTTTTGGCGACGTACCCATACAAATGACACCCGAAAACTGTGCGTTCCGGCAAAACTTCGTTTGCATTTTTTTGGATTGCTGGTGGTCGAGCGGTTTCGGTTTTGACAGGGTGGTTAAATAAGGACTGCCCCTACGCACATCCGGAATTTTGGAATTTTTGAAGGTCAGGTTGGCAAGTTATAGCGTGCTCAAATTTAATATGGAGAAATTTCGTAGATTTCGAATATTACAAAAACCTATGGTGGAAACCTCAATATAAGCTGTTTTAGCATGTCTATAGGCTCGATACAATCTCGCAAAAATATCAAAAAAATTTTTCAGATCCGCGGATTTTTGAGTTTTTCAACGACCCCCTGGTCATGGATTTTTTCGAGGTCACGAAACTGAACTTTGGAAAAATATTTCTAAAATTGCAGATAGGATTTCGGTGTTTGCTTTGCTTGGTTGTGTAGGTCTGGCGTCCATCTATCATGTAGACAATTTCTAGCTACCGTACCCCTTTGGAAGGTTGCTTTTTAGCGCCTCCAAAACGGTTGGTTCTTGCTATTTCGCAGATCTTCGTGCCAGTCTATAAAATTCATTTGCGCGGTTAGAATTATTGTCATAATTTTATTAAATACTGCTTAATGGGCGCATTCTAAGATTATATTTACAAGGTTATTGGGCCATCCGATCTCTCAAAAGAAATTCATGAAGAGTCCAAATATACTCGAACTCGAGGTGACGTAAAAAAATTCTCGAGGCTTTAGTAGCCTCAACTTTTTTGGCATAGCCTCAGCTTGGGTAGTCAACTAGAACCCATGCAAACACAAAATCTTTTCATGGCAAACGAATTTAGAAGAGTTCCCCAAAGTCGGCTTTTCAAAAAACGTTATTTTCGTGTTTTAAATCAAAATGAACCATTAACTTCAGCCAGATCATTCCAGTATTCCGTTCTCATACACAATTCGAAACGTGCTTTAATTGTATCCACCAAACCCCGATGCCTTTTTCATTTTCAAAAATTCGATTTTCGAGCCAGGGCGTCGGGTCGAAAATCGGGCCCCTGGGTGGGTTTTCCTCTTTCCCTCATAACTTTGTCATTTGCCACAGGAATCAAGTAATTTTTTGTAGGTGCTCTTACAATCACCCAGAGAACACTATAGAATGGAAAAATTGGCATTTTATGGCATTTTGTCTTGGCATGCTAAAAAGCGCTCCAGGCGGGTTACGGTAAAAAACAGAAAATCGCCGTTTTCTCGTTCTTTTCACCATGGAAACGTTTCGATCTTGCAGGAAAACAAATAATAGTAGTTTTCGGTCCGATGCATCAAAATATTTAGAAATTTCCGTGGCTAAATTCAAAAATAAGTTTTTTGCATATTTTGGGAAGGTGTATGGCTAGAACTTCGCGATGTTTCGCCCATAGGTGACCCTTACTGGTGTTTATCAATGATAAAATTTTAAGAAAAATCGCAGCTTACAATAAAAAGAAAAACGCGAAAAACGAAAACTACAGTATCCTTCTGGGGCACGTTTTAGCAAGCAATATTAAAATACCATAGAATCAGGTAAAATTTGGTGTTGTGCTAAAGATTATCATTCGGAGACACCATTTTCAAAAGATCAGCCATGGGCAGCGTATTTGAAGCAAGTTGCCAATTAAAATGTAAAAAGATACAAAATAGTGAAATTTGTTTTGCTTGTAAAAAGAGAACTGGAGCTTAAAAAATTCTAAGACTTTGCTTTTATTTTTCTACAAATGTCAACTATTTATAGGCCAAAAATCAGAATTTTCCCACCACCGGTTCAAGAACGCACAATTTTCGGTCGTAACCAGCGTCAATAGTACAGTTTCGTACTCAAAAATCGAAAAAATCAAGTTGTGTTATATCTTCATGCCCAGCATATTTAAGCATTCTGGCATGGTAACGTACCTTCGATTCTCAAAGATAAGCGAGATATTTTGGTGCAAACTTGGTTCTTTTTTTTTGACGCACCCTGTAAATTATTGGAATATTTTACAAAAACAAATAATTTTAAAACAATTTCATTTTCCACTTTTAAAGGGACGGTGACACCCAGCCGTTCCAAATTTTCCTGGCTTAATCAATTACCGCATGATGTTTTCGTGTAGATTGGCCAGCAGCAGCCAAGCGCAGGCCCTACGCGACAACTACGACGTTTCAAGGGACCAGGAAGCCTTGGAGGGCTGTGGATTCTACCCCAAGGTAACAATCGGTTACGACATCCTACTATATATAAAAAAATAGTTTCTGTGTGTGTGTGTGCATTTGCATGCAACTTCCGTCAGCGTGTTCCAGTAGTATCTCGAGAGTGGAAGGTTTTTAAGATACGTATGATACGTCATTAGGTGCGTAATGCTCCCGAGATGACTGCACAGGTATAAGATTTTGCAAATTATCTTATTTTCAACATTAAAATTGGTTTTTTGTTTGAAAAAACGGGCTCCCTTTTTGTTAGGAAAAAATTAGCATGCACCGGAAGTGGCGATAGCCTATATAATGGGAGAGAGGGAGCGTTTTTCATTATTTCTTATCACAAATTCGGACGATTTATGCAAAGGGTAGAATTTCATGGGCTTATACGGGGCCAGGGTTGAAAAGTCGCGAAGCGGCTTTTCAACCCTGGTTAAAATTAAAAATTAAAATTCGATTTTTTGAGAATTTTTCTTTTGAACTTAGCCTAGCTGGACGCTTTCTAGCAAAATGTTGACGAAATTAGGTGTGTTTCGTACTATAGGATTTTCATGGCGTAATGGATTGAGCCGGGGGAGAAAATAAGATTTTTTGGATTTTTGAAAAAAATTTTTGAATTCAAAGATGGCAGATTGTAGTCGGCTTGCCAGTTTTATATTGAAAGCCAAGAAATCCAATTTTTGGAAGCACTACGCGGGAGTACCGTAGCGGAAAGTAACGTACTGCCCAAAAAGGAAAATTTCGATTTTATGGATGTTTTTCAGTCGGCCTTCCCTCGTCTGATCCCTCCCCTCATCCGCACTCCCTCCACCTCCCCTCCCCTTCCCCAATGGCCTCTGCAGCTGAACTGCTCGAACGCGACGCGACTCCTTCGCGACGTCGATACCTATATTTTTGATGGGGATGGGGTACTGTGGCTGGGGGATGAACCGATACCTGGAGCCCCTGAGTTTCTACATAATCTCTTTCTGCAGGTGAGAAATTGATTTTGGAACAAAAAGCAACAATCTTTGACCTCGGACGGGATCGAACCGTCGGCCCCGGTCTAACTCGTTAACCACTACGCCAATCGTCTTGAAAATTGGGATTTAGCCTAACTGGTAGCTAGCTAGCCGGATTATAACAAAAATTTGTTCGGAAAAGCAAAACGCAAAAAACTTTGACCGCGGAAGGGATCGATCCCGCGACTTCAATTCCATGGCGTAATCGATTAAATTTTCAGGGAAAACGCGTGATCGTGCTCACCAACAACGCAACGAAAAGCCGGGCGGCGTTTGGCGACAAACTACGAAATCTACAGTTTCCGGAGCAACTGACGGCAGAGGCACTGGTGGGTCGAGGGTTCAATACTTTTCGGGGTCAAATTTTTTTGCTTTTTGATCTTGTGTAAAGCTTTTTTTAGTATTCGGCTATCTGGGTGTCAGATAAGCCAGATCCAAATTTTTAAGCCAATTGACGCAGTGGTTAGTGTATTAGATGGAGCCCGAGGGTTCGATTCCTTCCGAGGCCGAAACTTTTTGCTTTTTGCTTTTTCGAGAAAAATTTTCAAGAAGCACCTATTTTTCTGCCAGTTTAGCGCAATCTAAACTTTGAATCCGATTGGCGTAGCGGTTAGCGAGTTAATAGAGGTCGAGGGTTCGATTCCTTCCGAGGTCGAAACTTTTTGCCTTTTGGATTTTAAGCTCGAGTTTTTCAGGTGAATCCGGCTATCGTCGTGACCGACGTGTTGGTCAGGGCCGGGCTGGCTCATGCTAAGAACAAAAAGGTGTTCCTCATCGGCGAGAAGGGCATACGGTAAGTGCCATGAAAAACTAATTTACGAAAAATTTTAAAATTTTTAGAGATGAGCTAAAAGCGGCCGGAATCGAGTATTTTGGGAGTGGACCGGAAGTGATGGCAGATACGAGCGATCAAGCATATTTATTCCAATTGGACCTGGCCGTACAGGTAAATTCGTCAAATGCTCTCTGCTCGCTTGCCCTTGCTTCCTATGGAATATCTGCTAGGTTTCCTAGCTAAGCTGGTGGCCAATTTATCGATTCCACACCTTTAAATCATTAAAGGTAACCGATTAGGCTATGAAATTTCCGCAAAAGGCCTCTCCTACACAACCGCCCATGGGTTCGGTCCCAATGGCTCCCAGGAAAAGGCGTACTGTACGGGTTTTTGCCTGGGGCGCGAAATAGCAGCATGATTTTAGCTGCGCAGGCTTGATTTCGCAATGGCGCGACGCGTCTATCGCACGCGTTGCGGTCTTTCTTCGTTTCCAATTCTACCCGACGTTTTATTAGGCGCCGGGCCGCTGTGCCTAGCCTGTCCCGGCTTTTTCAATCGATTACGCCATTAAATTCGCTTTTTTTTCAGCGCGAACACGTCGCAGCCGTGGTCGTGGGCTATGAAAAACACTTTAACTACCAAAAACTGATGAAGGCGGCAAATTATTTGAAGTAAGTACTACGGTAGGCTACGCGACGCTCCGCTACGTAAAAATCCGAAAAACAAGCTAGCTATTTTGGAGTTGTCGATTGAAATCACTAAATTGGCTGACAGTTCAACCGATTACGCAATAAAAATCGGGCGAATGTTTTTCCAGAATATCTGACGAGAATTTTAAGTTTTTGAAGTTTTCGACTTAGGAAAATTGGCTTTTTAGAAGACGCGAGACGCTATTCGTGGCGACAAATGAGGACGAGACGTGCCCATGTCCAGATCCGAAGCTTGTCGTACCCGATGCGGGCCCCATTGTCGCAGCAGTACGGTAGGTGTCACCCTCCCTTTAAAACCAACATTTTTTAGTTGCGCCTCGGGCCGTGAGCCGATTACGGTGGGAAAACCGAACACTGCTTCATTCAACTATATTTGCAGAAGGTGAGTGGGTTTTAAAGGGATGGTGACATCCGAGGTTTCAATTTTTCCCAACTTTACAGCCCTTTAAAACCAAGTTACGGTAGGCTACAGTAGCGGAGATTTTGGGAGCTCGTAGAACTCGATCTCCTCTTTCTAATGGTGCATATAACTCCGCTACAGTACCCTCAGACGTCAAGATGAATGGGCCGGAAAACGGGAAAAATGGAGTTTTCGCGATTTTTTCGATCAGCCCAAATGTCGTGTAGTTTGTAGTTATAGCTTCGTTTTTTGCGGGAATCGCTTAGCTGGCATGCAAATTATTTAAAATAGCTGTTAAATCCGCTACAGTGCCCCTAGGTGTAAGGAGGAATTGCTCGGAAAATGGGCATAACTTTTTCTAGGAATTAGCTACCGTAATGGTTGAACTATCATTCAAAAGCCCGTTAAAACTCTACAAAATCCCAGACCCGAAAATTTCAAAATGACGAGTTTACGTGATCAGGTGGAAAATCGACCCGAGTCGCACGGTGATGGTGGGCGATCGGCTGAATACGGATATCGTTTTCGGCAAGAAGCACGGGCTGAAAACGCTTCTTGTGTTATCTGGATGCCATCAGGTACAAAAACCACATTTTCAAAGTGTTTTTTACTTTTTAAAGGGCCCGCGAAGTCAAAAAATGCGTAACTCGAAAAATCCTCCAAAAATCGATTTTTCAATTGAATTTTTCGATTTTAAAAATCAGATTGATAAATTGGCAGCCCGTTTGGCGATGTGCCAAAAATCTCGAAGAAATTCATTTTTTAAAGGGATCGGCAAGTCAAAATCCTCGAAGAATCGATTTTTCACTAGAATTTTGTAATTTTTAAGAATCAATTTCGATAAAATGGTAGCCAGTTCAGCAGTATGCAAAAAATTAGCAAGACATTCCCACCAAATCCCAAGTTACAGCTCGAAGACGTGCGGCAAGTCGTTGAAGGGCAAAGCGGAAGTTCTGAGGTTCCGGACCTGTTCGCGACAAGTCTTGGCGCTTGCCTGCCTCGGGGCCAACCAGCTTGGCATGCCCCGCCTGAATGGAACGTCGATCAGCCGATTTAAAGGGGCAGGGACACCTGGGATCCAGCCGTCTCGTCTCAACACAATATGTACAGATTGTATAGTAATAATTGGTAATAATAAAGTTATTTATGCTGTACTGTGCTTTCTGCATGCCAAACAAAACATTTATCAACTTAGAAATACAGAATAATCGATTTTAACTGTATTTTAAAGGCAAGTGACAAAACGCGAAGACCCAATTTTTCCCAACTTTACGGGCCCTTAAAACGGAGTTACGGTAGGATACAGTAGCCGATAATTGGGGACCTGATAGAACTCGATCTGCTCTTTACAATTTTGCCTCTAATTCCGCTACAGTACCCCCAGACGTCAAGAGGAATGGGCCGGAAAATGGGAAAAATCGCATTTCATAGTAGTTTCATAGTATTCACAATATTTTGTAGTTAGAACTTAGTTTTTAGCAATGTCTTAACTAACATACAGATTAGCAAAAATAAGTGTTAAATCCGCTACAGTACACCCAGGCGTCAAACGGAATGCCCCGGAAACTGAAAACCGATTTTTTTCGATGTTTTTGGCAATTTCAAAATTTTCCGATTTTTGCGTTGCGCCCAGCTACCGGAAACGGGCATCCCTGTCTAGCAGAAGCCGTTAATGACGCGATCCATCACCCCAAAATTGTATATTTAAGATTTTCCGCCGGCCCCAGGGAAAAAGCGTCATTTGGAGCGGCGCGTAGCCCCCCGGCCTTCCAGCTAGCTGCCAATTTATTTTTCGGCTACGAAACGCCCACGCGCGACTTAAAACGGTTTCAATAGCTTAACCTTATGCTGGTTTTTGTCGTTAAATTTAACAAATGCCTATCAGGCGAACGATCCGGGTTCGACCCCCAGCCGCGGCAAAGTTTTTTGCTTTTTACAATTTAAGGTTTTCGATATTGGAAACGCTTTTCTGACTGCCAGTTTAACGATAACTTACCTAAAATTTAAGCTATGTCCTTGAAATTTTCTAAAAATCCTATTTTCCCCCAGAAACCGACAGAAGGACAGGGGTTATTTTCGAAAATACCCCCTCGTTCTCGTTCTGTCGTTTTGTAGCGTCGCGTAGCCCTTCAGGGCGCTATTCGGCTTGTTGGACGCCAAAAATAAGCTATCTGGCCGTCATTTGGCGCCTCTCGGAGCCGTGGCCCGGCTACCGTAACCTCCAAAAACTTCAAATAGAAGTAAAAACTTTATTTTAAAAAATTTTCTAGATTTTCCTGTCGTAATCGATTAACTGGCTGCCAGTTTAGCGGCTCCTTAAAAGTTTCATCGCGTAATCGAATTTTTTAGGAATTTTCCTCTCGTAATCGATTACCTGGCAGCCAGTTTATCGATATCGAAGGCCATTGCAAGCGTGGGAATGCCCGAAAAGCCCAAAAGCGACCCCCGCCTACGCGACACTCCCCCGAACACCCCCTTTTCCAAGGGGGGTTTTTACCCGGAAAGGGCCATTTGCGTGCCGCTTAAAAAATAGACAATGCGTCTAGCTGCCGGCCAGCCAACCGGAACAGAGTGGACTCTCGCAAAAATTGCAGCAAAAACGTGATTTTGGCTTTTTTGGGTCCTGGGAACCTAAATAGCTTCGGCGGGCACAAAACGAGGCCGTCCGACGACTCGAACGTTTCCGGGAGCGTTTCGGAATCTACATAAGCTGGCAACCAGGAAGCAATTTGCCGGCTTCAGTTTAGTTTGAAAACGGGGTTTTCGTATTCGATTACGCGATGAAATTGCATTTTTAGGGTACGGTAAAAATTAATTGATTTTTTTGAAAATTGGATTCGTAAAACTAGCTGCCAGTGAACCGATTGCGCTAGAAAAATCCTAAAAAGCCGCACTTCGATACCGTGTCCCCGGCTTAAAAAATGGCGTAATCGATTAAGCGTCGTTTTTCGGAATTTCTTCAATTATCTCCGCTAGCCTGCCTTTTGGAAATTTTGAGCCCAAAATGATGACAGCTGTTTTTTGATGACACTTTTGCGGATTTTTTTGAAAATTCGGAAAAATCGAAAAATAGCGCGGTGAGCCAGTCAAAATATTCCCCGACGGGACCCCGGCCCACGCATTTTTCAATGTATTTTTGTGAAATCTATTTTTTATAGTGCTCATATCAAGTTATTCGATAGTTTAGAATTTAACTGGCGTCCAGTCTCTATTTTGGCACTCATTTCGATCCAAGGCAAGCTAACAGGGCTTTTTGAGGAATTTTTCGTCGACTATTCTCTTGTCTGGCTCACAGTTCGCAAGCTAGCAGAGACAATTTGAGAATTTTTCTAGTTTTGAGGCATTTGGCTTTTAAATTGGCATTCAGCTCACCGATTGGCGCTCAATTTAGACTCCTGGCAGGCTAGCGGTGATTTTTGAGGAATTTTTTTATCGACTTCGCTTGTCTGGCAGAGAGTTGGCAAGCTAGCAGCGAAAATTTCGGGAAATTTCGAAGTTTTGAGCCACTTTGCTTCGAAACTGTTTGCCAACTGGCGTTTTCACACCAACACAAAATCTGGGCAGGCTATCAGGGATTTATCAGGAATTTTTTTAGATTTTTGGCTTTTCTGACATGCATTTGGCAGGCTAGCAGCGCCAATTTGCGGAAAAACCTCAAGATTTTCGATGCGCAACCCATTTCCGGTTTCTGCCTGCAACTTGTAGAAAACAAGACGAGTTTCCAGAAATGCGTGGGGCGCTTGGCGGGCTTTAAAATTCGAGGAATTCCCATGGAAAAGAGGGTACCTAGCCGACTCCGTCACAATCCACTCCCCGGACACTTCACAACGCCTTTAGGAGGGGATGGGAAAGACACGGACCGGCAGTCTGGAGGCCAGTTTGCATTTTGCGTCACTAAAACGGTTCATTTTCCGCAAATTGCCTCTGCTAGCGAGCCAATAATTCATCTGGCCGCCAGTTCGCAGATTTGTGGAGCTCAAATGGTCTCTGCTAGCCTGCCCGGCTTTAAAACTTCTTGAATGGGTAAAATGGCAGATTGAAAGGTTAAGGTTAGGCGTCACTTAAATGGTTCATTTTCCGCAAAGGGTCTCTGCTAGCTTGCCAAACGTCGCTCTGGCCGCCAGCTCGTCGATTTATCATTTTCAAATTGTCTCTGCTAGCTTGCCTTTGTCTGAAATTCTCAAATTAGTCAAGCTGGCTGCCATCTAATCGATTGGTCAGCAAAAAATTCCGCAAATTCTCTCTGCTAGCCTGCCTTCCCCTCTCAATTTCCGGATCATCGACCCCTGGGGGGGGGGGGCTATAGAATGCGTAGTTTAATTATTAATGCGTTCTCGCATTTCGTGGACTCAGGGCATCCCCTTATTTTGAAAAGTCAACAATTCCGGGCAAAAAATCTTAAAATATTCGAATTTTGCTATTTTTCGCGTTTTTGTACTTTGTAGTTTGTAGTCTGTCTTGCTGCCAGAAAATAATTTAGCATTTCTGGTTTACTATCTGATATTACTATTCTGATATTTTTTTAATCCCAAAAATGTAGATTTCGCAATTTTTTACGAGAGCTGTAGTCTGTAGCCCAGAAAATCGTACTTTGTTGTCTCTAGTTTGTAATTTTTGCTAATAGGAAATCAATTTTAGCTTAAATGCCTACCAGAATAGACGTAGAAAACGGGAAACTCGATTTTTGAGTTTCATGGCGTCATCGGATGGAGGGCGAGGGGTCAATTCCGCTAATTCCCCCCGCTAATTGCTCCACGTCTTCTTTTGTATCGTTTCCGGTGAAATGTTTCAAATTTCTCTTTGGCATTGTTTTAACTGCCATCCAATTTATGGAATTTTATCAGAAAAAATGAAAAAATTCGATTTCTCACAAAATTACAGTATAGCTTAGGCAAAGGGTCGCGGGTTCGACCCCCGCCCGCGGCATTGGGTTTTGATTTTTAGAACTTTGATAGCGGAATCGCTTCTTTAGCTGCCAAATTACAGTCTCCTTACCAAAAATAATATTAACAATAGCACGCAAGCGAGCAGAGGCAATTTAGGAAAATTCACGTATCCCGCGGGTTACGGTACTTTATAGTAATTTTCCCACATTTCCGGGATCATCCAAATGACGGCTGGGTGGGTGGGGATGCGTAAAGAAACGTAATCTCATCCCCTCCCCTCCATTTCTTGCCATATCCATCCATTATTCCCTCATCCCCCTCATCCATTTTTGATTCGCATCATTTTCACGGCGGGACACCCAGTCGTGACAAAAATAGGGTAATTTTTAATGGGATTCGCTGTTCTGCCGGCCAGACTAGAGGATTCCGCTTGAAATTTTGAAAAATATTGCATTTTATTGAAATTACAGTAATCTGAATTTTTCGATCCAAGGGTCGAGGGTTCGATCCCCGCCCGCGGCATTGTGTTTTGCTTTTTAAATTTTTCATGTGGAAAACGCTAATCTGCCAGCCAGACTACCGGATTTTGCTTGAAAATTTTAAAAATATCGAATTTTTGTGAAGTTACAGTACCCTAAACGCATCGGTCCGCGGGTCGTGGGTTCGACCCCCACTCGCGACATGCTTTTTGAATTCTTGATACGGGAATCGCTTCACTGCTTGACAATTTACCGAATGACAATGAGATCTTCAATTTTCCAATCCGAAAACCACTTTTGCTGCCACTTGTGTTCTTCCGCTTTTTCTTCGCTAACTGCCGCCCAGGCCAGTTTTTACGATTCTATAGCCAATTTCTGGGGGCCGATCTGCCATGCATACCGTATTTTCAGACGTGTGCCCGACCTCAAACGCTTCAAAATCATCGAGAATGTGGTATCGTGGGCTGTGGCTACTGTCGATGATGGCCATCTGTTGTCTATTAGTGTGCCAGGGACAGCCATTAGTCAGGAATAAGATGTTCGAAGGGATGGACCCCTTTGAGGAATATATTCAGTAAGTTTTCGTCTTTTTTAAAGGACCACCGAAGGCAAAATCCATGAAAACTGGTAAAAAGCGTTTCCTCAAAAATCTCTGCTAGATTGCCCGAAGCTTCCAATTTTCCGTTTTAATCCACTTTACTGGCTGCCAGTGGAAATGACACTATAAAAAAAGGAGTTTAAAGGACCCTTGAAGGCAAAAATCTACGAAAACTGGTAAAAAGTGTTGCCTCAAAAATCTCTGCTAGCTTGCCTGGAATCTCGAATTTTTTGTTGTTATCCGTTTAACTGGTTTCCAGTTAAAACGTTATACCACAAAAATCCGGCTTTTAAAGGACCGTTGAAGCCAAAATTTACGAATTCCCTCGCGTAATCAGATTCCCCGGGTGCATTCGATTACGCCCGGAAATTTAGTTTCGTGTTTATTTCAGGCGATTTCAACGCGAGGCAAAGTAAGTCACAAAAACGCATAATTTTTCGGGTTTTTCGGGTTTTAAAAATTCGTCCAAAATCGAAAAAATCGGAATTTTCAGGACGTCCCAACCGCTGAAGCGATCTCGGACATGCTTTCTGAATGCCGGACTTTCACAGGGATGCGACATCTCAGATATCATTTTTGCCAGACAACAGGTACGACGGGAGCGGGATAAATCGATTACGCCAGGAAAATAAGCGATCAGGCTATCGAAAAACCGGTTACGCAATCCAAAGGACCGATTAGGCCATGAAATTCAAATTACCCTACTAGAATAACCCAGTAGGCCACGAAAAATGAGCTTTTTCTAGTCAACCAATCGATTACGCCATAGAAAAAACCGTTTACGCCATTTAAATAACCAATTAGGCCATGAAAATATCCCTCTACGTACTGGTCTATTCGATTACACCCTTGAAAAACCGATTACGCCATTTAAGTATCCAATTAGGCGATTTAAATAATCGATTACGCCACAAAATAGCTGAAAAAAACTAAATAGGCCGTTAAAATAACCGGTTAGGACATCTAAAAATTAAATTAGGCCATAAAATTATCAAATTACGCTACTAAAAAACCAATTACGCCATGAAAATAGCCCTTTAGTATTGGATTACGCCGCTTAAATAATCGATTACGACATGGCAATGTCGATTTTTTGCCATTTTAAAGGCACCGTGACACCTATCAATTCCTGCCATTTTCAGGCGAACAAATTCAACAGCTTCGCGGGGCCCGGCCGGTGAGACCGAGAGACTGTTGAACGTCTTCAAAAACTTCAAAAACAACGCCAAATTCTGACCAAAAAGTGATCGATTTCTCTCTCTCTCTCTCTCTCTCTCTCGCTCTCTCGTTTCTCTGCCCTCTCCTCCCTTCCCACGATCTCTCGCTCTCTCAATTGCCACGCAAAAATTAGCAAAATCCACCCCCCCCGAAAGTGAACAAGATCCGCTCCCCCTCCCGGTGTGTGCAGGCAATAAAGGACACAGTCTGTTGATTAAATCTAAAAATTCGCCAATCGAGTCGGCCGGAACGCTGGCCAGGCAACCGATTACGGCATAAAATCGACCAAAAAGCAGAAAAGACTTATTCTATTACGGCATTAAATTCAAAATCAAATTCTAAAGCTGAAAAATTAAATAAATATATATATATATAAAAACATATTAAACCAAAATTTTCGTTTTTCGCGCCGCGCAATCGATTACGTCGCGTAAATCGGGCGGCTAATCTTAATCGGTATTTTTCGTATCGCAATCGATTGAATCATAAGCTTGGCAGAGGCACTTTGCGGAATATTTATGCTTGTAGAAATAATCGATCAAACCGGTAGAGCAATCAACTTAAAAAATTGCAACAATAAAATTAAATTAAAAGCCGGGGGAAAAGTGACTAGAAAATCGGGAATTTTCGAGATAGAGAAAAGGGGGCGGGGCCAGGGGATTACATGGCGTAATCGAGGGAAATTGGGGGAATTTGAGCAAATCAAAGTGACAAATTGAGAAATTTACAAAAATTGTCAAAAATTAAAAATGAAAATTCGGGGGCGGGGCTACCGTAATCCAGAGCGGATTTTTGAAGCTATTAAAGGGCCAGGGAAGTCATGGAAATACACCCGAAATTACAAAGATCGCCAAAAAATCGAAATCGATTCGAAAACATCGATTTTTAAGGATTTTAAAGGGACTGGGAATTTTAGAGACCGGGGCAGGCTAGCAAAGACTTTGCGGAAACCAGGAAATCTCCTAACTGGCCAAAAAAGAACCCGAAAACGCCAAAAAATCCAAAAAAAACAACGAGATTTTCCGATTTTAAAGGGACAGGGAAGTTTCCAAAAAGGGAGCAGGCTAGCAGAGACCTTTGCGGAATCCCCTAGGCGGCCAGAATCGAGGCATTGGCACGCTGCCAATCGGGCGGCACGTCGATTTGGGCGCAGATTTCGACGAAAGCGGCCTCGAGGAGGTCGGCGGGGAGTTTGTTGAGCGGCCTGGAAAGGCGTATTAGCCAGAGCCCAGCTAGGGGCAGCCTAGCAGAGAGGATTTGCGGAAAATCGGGGGGAAATTAAAATTGCAAACAATCGGGGCCCAAAACCGTGGCCAAGTGGTTAGTGGTGGCGCCTACCAATCTGAGGGTCCGGGTTCGATTCCCGGGCAGGGCAGGGTTTTTGCTTTCTGCTCCAAACTTTCAGAATCCGTTTTTTTGGTAGCCAGGAAGCTCGTTCCAGCTTTTAAAATACGATTTTAAACGGATTACGCAATGTTTTTAGGGTCTCGGGTTCGACCCCCGGGACCTACAAACCTTTTGCTTTTTGCTCCAAAAGCTCAGAACGGGTTTTCTGGGAGCCAGCAAGCCGAAAACTGACCCATTGGCATAGCCGAGTCCGCTGAGCACGGGGCCAAGCCGCGCGAAGCTGGGTCTCTTGAGTACGGTATCGGTCGTCTTCTTCCCCGAGCAGCCGGCAATTGAACTCAGGAAATACGCGAAACGCACCAGGTCCCAGGCGTCGAAACTGAAAGAAAGAGTAAAAATGGCAAATCCGAAAAAAATTGAAAATTAAAATGAAATCTTGTAAATTATGAAATTTAAAAAATTAATTTTTGTAAATTTTGTAAAATAGCTTGACATTTCCGTAAAAATCCCCTGCTAGCCTGCCCATAAATAAAAACCTAAAAATGTCAATCTACAAAAAAATAAACGAAGAATAATGTTTTTGAAAATTAAAAAAATTAAAATTTCGTTTTTCAAAATTTTTTAAAAATTAAAATTCATAAATTTTTACAATTTAAATTTTATAGAATTTAATTTCCGCTTCAATCGTTTAAAAATACCTGTCATTTTTTCTCTGCACCAAGACGGCTTTCCCTCCAATATTGATCGAAAGCCGGGGCCGAATGGCGACACCGTAGTACCCGTCGGGGCGGACGAGTTTCTGGAAAAAAATCGATAAATTCCAGCTGTCACGCCCCCTTTAAAAGGAGCCAAAACGGCTTCTAAAGGGAGCCGGACACTCGCCAACGCCCTAATAATTCGAAAAAAATGTAAAAAATACAGTTTTAATTTTTTTTCAAATCTAGAACCATGAACTCCGGGGTGTCACCATCCCTTTAAAACCTCGGGGCAGGCTAGCCGAGATCATTTGAGGAATTCCGGTTCCCAAATGGTCTCTGCTAGGCTGCCGCTAGATTTTAAAGGGAGCGTGACAGCTAAAAACGCACATTTTTGAGCTTTGCCGGCACTTTTATTGGGTCGTGGATCGGAGGGGAGAAATCTCTGAAAAAGAGGGCAAGCTAGCAGCGACAATTTGCGGGCGAACCTCGTATTTATCGGCCATTTGTGCTTGGTGAAGTTGTCGACCGGGTCGACGTGGAACAGCTTGTGGAAGAGGCGGGACAGCCTGAAAAAAAATAAAAAAAATTGCAAATACGAAAGTAAACTCAATAAAATTTAATTTAAAAACTAAAAAGAGTTAAAATTCAAAAATTTGGTAAATTCTTTTAGTTTAATCATGCAGCGAATTTTTAAAAAATTCATCTCCAAGAAAAATTTTGAATTTCAAAGTTTAAAGTTCCAAATTGTAATTTTAAAAATGGTAAAAACCCAAATTAAATTTAGTTCTTTACATTTTCTTGGCGGCGGTGCTGGCGAGCGAGTCGTCGAGGGCACACATCAGCCACGCGTAGTTCCTAAAAACCATTTTAGCCAAAAACCATTTTTAATAAATAATTTTAATTACAGAAATTTAAATTATTTAAATTTATTTACATTTTTTTATTAATAAATATCAAAAATATAAATTTTTCGACCAATATCTCTCCTAAAAAATTTTCCTACCCATTTTTTATGTTTTTTTTTGCATTTAAAGTCTAATTGGAACTGATTAAAAAATTCTGGGCTTATAGAAAAAAATTGGCTCCCCCCGATAACGCAAAAGAACCAAAAAACGTACGTAGCGTTGAAGAAGGTGAGAAACTCGACGGGCCCGTGGCTGTAGATGGTGGGGAGGGCCGGGTCGAGGTGGTGCTGCAGCAGGCTTCTCCTGGAATGGGGCAAACTAGCGGGGATTCTTTGCGGAAAAAGCCAGAAAATTACGGCCAAAATCGAAAAATAATTTTCGGCGTATTTTGGGGCATGCTAGCAGGGATTCCTGGCGGAAATCCCACAAAAACCAGCCCAAAATTACCTGATGACGTCGAGCATCTTCAGCTGGTACAACGACTTCGGCAGGGTCAGCATTATTAGCGGGGACGAGGCGCGGATTTCTGCAAATTTGAATTTAAAGGGAGCGTGACAGGCCAGGGGGAGGCTAGCAGAGACAATTTGCGGAAATTGGCGTACCGCTGTCCTGGTTGGCGTCGTTGCCCTCTCTCAGCCAGCTCTCCTGCGTCGATTTCGTCCTGGTCAGCGAGTGGCACGCCTTTGGGTTCAGCGATTTTCCTGCAAAAAAAGATAAAATGAACTTAATTAAAATTAAACTACAAAATTAATAAAAACTTAAATTGTACATTATATATTTTTACAATTTAAATTTATTTTTATTAAACTAAAAATTCAACAAATAATATTTAAATTGCAAAAATTAAACTCTACGAAAAATTTAAGTTAAATTAAATTCAAATTAAGCCAAAAAATTAATAAAAGGTCAATTTAAGTTTTAAAGCTTTAATTTGAGTTAAATAAAATTGAAATTACTAAAAATTTGTTCCAATAAAATGGAAAATTTCAGGTTAAGGGCAGGCGAGCAGAGAGCATTTGCGGAAACCCAAAAAGTGCGCTACCTGTCCGAAATAGCCTCATCTGATCGCCTCGTAGCGCCACCAGTTGGCCGCCGAATTTCGCGAATTCCTGCTAAAAATAGGATTAAATAGCGTAATCAATTCGCCCGATAATCTCGTCAATTAGATGGCGTAATCGATTGGCCTTTTGTCCTGTCACGCCGCCTTTAATTTAGAGCTTTCCCCCCATTATCAACCCGAATTCCAGGGCAATCCAAATGGCAAATATTTTCCCTGTGGTTATCACTTCAGGGCAAATACACAGGCCACGCCCCCCTTTTAGCACAAGGCATTTCCAGGATTCCCAAATTCCGCTCTAATGCCTCTCGAATTTCCGCAAAGGATCTCTGCTGGCTTGCCTCGCATCTTTCAGACGAAAGGCAGGCTAGCAGAGAGCGTTTAGGAAGTTCCAACCCTTGGTTCCAACGCCTTTAAAACCCAATTTTAAGGCGTCATTTTCGCCCAGTTTTTTCCTCAAATGATCGCTGCTCGCTAGCGCCGAGTTTTTGGCACTTTTTAGCCCGCTAGAACAAGCAACTACTCACCCACTCGACACCCCCGGCTAACTCGAACGTTCTCCTGCCCTGGGGGATTTCCCCAGGGGGTTCAAAATGTGAGTGAATGCTAGAGCTACGTTCGATGTATGCGCGAAAACCCGAACCTTCTACCCCTCTATCCCGATCCATCTCTCTCTCTCTCTCTCTCTCTCTCTCTCTCTCTCTCTCTCTCCCTCTCTGTCTCTCTCCCTCTCTCTCTCTCCCTCTCTCTCTCCTCCCTCTCTCTCTCTCTCTCTCTCTCTCTCTCTCTCTCTCTCTCTCCCTCTCTCTCTCTCTCTCTCTCCCTTTCTCCCCCTCTCTCTCCCCCTCTCTCCTCTCTCTCTCTCTCTCCCTCTCTCTCTCTCTCTCTCTCCCTCTCTCTCCCTCTCTCTCCCTCTCTCTCTCTCTCTCCCTCTCTCTCTCTCTCTCTCTCCACTACCCGAGACATATGTCTCATTTGCATATTTCGACTGGTCGGTGGGGTTTGCCAAAAATATGGCCCGAAAGGAGACGACAGATGGCTGGAAAGGGCGCGGTTTCGCGCATTTTCAGGGCCAAATTTAGTAATCGGCCAATGATCTCCGCTAGCTTGGCAGCCATGGGATGTTCTCTGCTAGTCTGCCCTTTTTCAACCCAGATTTGCGAGAAAATGGTCTCGGCTAGCTTGCCTCCCGGCCAGCTGCCCCTCGCCAAGCCACGCCCCTTTTTAGGCATCTCTCCTTGTGCCCGAAAATGAGTCAACGGCCCTCTAGGGACCGCGATGCTTATTATTATTGTGGGTGTGGGTGGGTGTGGATAGATATGTCCAATTCCCTCCGCCACGACACTGCCAATTTTCTCTCGTCTTCCATTCTGCCTTGCTTCTTTCTCCACGAAATTCCGCAAAAATCTCTGCTAGTTGGCTCTGACCTGCAGATTCTTCAAGAAGCCATGCCAGCTCGAGCCAACCTAGAAAATTCCCCAAATCTCTTTGCTCGCCTGCCTCCTTCTAGAGAAAAAGTCTCAAAAATTCCAAAAAGAATCTTTGCTGCCTGCCTAGCCTGCAGATTCCGCAAAAATCCCTGCTAGCTTACTTCTTCCTAAGAAAATTCCCCAAGTTTCGGTGCTCGTTTGCCTCCATCTCGAGCGTCGGGCCGATTTTTCTCAAAGGTTTTCTGCTCGCTTGCCTCCTCCTCAAAAATCCCACAAAAACTATACCTGGACCTTGTAATTCCCTAAAAAACTCTAATCGCTCAGCTTTTAAGTTTTTCCTCAAGAATCCCGGCCAGCCTGCCCCCCAGAAAGTCAAAGAATGCCCCCCGCCACTCTTCCATTGTTTACACTCCCCTAATACCCGAATGTTGCCTGGGGGCATGTTCTCGTCGGGGTTTCCAAAATGCTTCAAATTTCCGCAAATTGTCTCTGCCAGCTTGCCTTCGGGGAAAACTCGCTAATATTCTAGACGAAAATGGCCCTGGCTACAGTGTTCCCACGCTCATTAGCGCAGCGAGGGTGCTTTAGACGCGCTTGAGAGTCATTTTCACCCCCTTGGGTAGCGAGAGTGAGAGAGCGGGGGAGAATGAGAGAGATAGACAGGGCAAACTAGCGGAGAGCCTTTGAGACAGCCCATCATTCCTCATTCTACGTGTGCCTCGTTTTTGAGTAGTCTGTCTGTCTGTCTCTCTCTCTCTCGCTCTCTCCCGACTCCCTAATCTCCCATCAATCAACCCTCAACTAATGCCCTTTACCCCTAAATAACTCGAAGGGCCATAAACGGGTACTCTTTCTGACCTTTCAAAAGGTATTTGACATCGGGTAGACAATTTAGGACCCTGGCAAGCTAGCAGAGACCATTTGAGACCCCAAAAATGAATTTTTCTTGCCAGTTTGGCCCTTGGCAAGCTAGCAGTGATTATTCCGGAATTCCACGTTTCTCCAGGTCGTAAAGCGCCTTTTTCTGTCTGTCTATGATCCCCCCTAGCCGTCCGCCAGCCATTGGCAGGGTGATGAGATCCTGGCTTTGGCAACACAATTAGCATCGTCAGTTTAGGGGGCAGGGCAGCAGGATAGGGCGAGAGAGGAGGGTGTCAGGAGTAGCCTTGCGGAATCTACTATTTCTCTCTCTCTCTCTCTCTCTCTCTTCCCCGGTGTCAAAAGACCCATCAGATGCTTCTCCCTTTTCTCGACTGAGGCTTCATCTCGGCTTCACCTTCCCCCGAAAAAAGCGCTCGCCGAATCAAATTTCGACGGCGGGGGCTAGTGTTCAATGGCTGTTGCTCATCCTCAACTTGATTCTCCTCAAAGATCCATGATTTTGGGCTGATTTCCAACACAAATGGCCTCTGCTAGCTTGCCTAGTCGATTTTCGGCCTTCCATGGCCCTTTAAAAGCCTTGTGGCGTCATGGCGACACCACTTTCGGTCGTAGTTTGAGGTCCCCTTTCGGGCCTTCAGTAGCTTATCCTTTTATCTATGGCTCCGCCCCTTTCGGCCGCCCTCCGATAGGTAGGCCTGGGCAGAGAGTCGGATGGATCTCCTCTAGACCATCTAGTAGGCATTCTACAGTAGGACAATCGTAGCTTATATATTAAGGGGAAACCTGGTTAAACCTAAATTATGTGGGGACTAATAATATTGGGAAGCCGCGTCTATTAATGGTGCCTAATAAATGAGTAGTTCACTAATCTATCTAGAACGTTTATAAGATTAATACATAAAGCTCAACTACACGAACAGTCGGGTACAATCTCCTTGCATACAGAGGAGATTGAGTTCTGCTCTCCCCCAAGGGGCGACAGAAATGGTGCACCGTCCGGGAACCATTGAGCCTGCGTTACCCGCTTACCCACCAGTTCGAGTAGTTAAATTTTAAATTTTAAATTTCTATTTATTCGATTTTATACAACATTTTTAGATAGACTTACCATAACCATCAGTACTAAGTAGCTTTCTTATTTCACTTTTCCACTCTTTTCTCCTCCAATGCTCACTTTCTCTACTTTCCGCTCTTGCTTTGCCTTTCCTTCAGTTTTTTTCCTATTTTCTTTCGTTGTTTTCGTCGTTCGTTTTGGTTTACAGTTTTCTCCGTTTCGGATCGATTGGCGGCTCCGGAATTCTTTTGTTTTCATCTTAGCATGTTCTCATTTCTGAAGGGGCAGTTTCGGAAATTTTGGGCATTACCTTTTGGAACTTGGGGCATCAGTTCGTTTTCTTTGTCCTTCCCTTATGCACTCTTCGGGCGACGCACCAGCAAGGCTAGTAGTTGGTGACTTACCCTATAGGCCACGGGTCGGGCCCCCGCCAACCTCGACCGCACAGGGTCTGAGCTGCATGGCCGGATAACCCGGGGTTGTATTGGTTTCAGAAAAAAGGAGGTACCCGCCGATACAACTTTTGTCGACCCTCTGCTGACTGTACCAGGGATCTGCCATACAGTACGCACGAGCCATATCCTGTTGTCCCCCCTGAGGAGCTACTCATTTGGCGCAATAAACAAGGGCGCGCTGGTTTCCATCTTTCCATCTGATTAGCATTTCCCTTTTTGACAACCTTCTTTTCAACCTTGTTAGTCAAATTTCTGTTCCCTTTTTCTCTCTATTTCCCCCTTCTCTCCTCTTTTATCTTTTTTGCTCTTTCTTCTTGCACTCGTATAGCACCCTTCGCCCTTCTGCAGTAGCCTGCTTTGAAATTCGCCAAATCACGCCACCTCGGTCCCCACTTTCCCCATTGTTTTCTACAGTAGCCCGCTTTTCGAAATTCCGTAAATCACGCCACCTATGTCCCCACTTCCCATGTCTATTTCTCTCTTCCGTCGACAGTAGGCCTTTAAAATAGTCGTCAATTTTTGCAATCGTACAGTAGAGAAGAGGCCTGGCCCCCACTTAATGCTTTCGCCACCCCGGCGGGCCATCTTCTCGGCTAATGGAAGCCCGTCTGCATGGATGTTTCATCACCCGCTCGCTCTAATGGTCGACCCGCAGCCACCCCCACTTTCTGGTATTCCCATCCTGGCTGCCAGGGACATACCGGATATTCCGAGCTACTCACAACCGCCAATTGGTTCGTTTTTCTTTCCTTCTTTTCCAACTTCATTAAGCTGCATTGTATTTCCCCTGTCATTGACTTTTATATCTATGCCGGTCACGCGTAACCTCGGCTACGTCAAAACCCAGTTGCAAGTAGTCAATTCATACTTTACAAAAGTACTCGATGACGCACGTAAGGACCTGGCAGCTATTAGAGCGCCCGGACCGACTCGTCCCGAGGAGTGGGCGCCCTATTTTCTTAAGGGACGCGCCGCCCTAAGTAGTGGTTTGGTGACGCTTCCAGATGCGCAAGCTAACTGCGAAAAACAATTTGAGGCTTTTGACCTAGCAGTAGCTGAAGTGAATGAGCTGAAGCGCCCCGAAGTAGAAAAATTCCTCGAAGAACAAACCGAGGCCTTCGCCGCTTCCTTGAGTAGCGTCCTCCCTATCATTGCAGAAATCAAAGCATTGGTACAGAAGTTCGACTCTGAAAACGAGCGCATTACTGCAGCTGACCGGCTTCTCGCGGCCCCTGTTGAGGGCACACAGCCGCTGTCTCAAGTTTTCGAAAACAGCCTTGAGAAATTGAGACTTCTCAATCTTTCCAACCTTAGTAGCCCTAAATGGACCGGTGTCGCCTCCGATTTTGACTATTTTGTCGAAACCTTTGAGAGTCATTGTCTCCAGCATCAACTCACTGAAGTAGAAAAACTTCGCGCCCTTCGTGAAGCTCTCGAAGGCACGCCTGATGAAATCATTACTAAAGCCTACCCCCTCAAACAGGGCTTTTTCGCCGAGGCTTTTGCACAATTTCGATTGCGCTACAGTAGTAATGATCAGAACGCACTACAGTTGCATCGGGACCTGCATCAGCTCGCTCCCATTAACGACTCCAATTCAGTAGCTGACCTCAGGCGCCAGTACCACCTCACCTTAGCATTGGTTAATCGGCTCAAACTAGTAGACCAACATCATGACAATCAAGGCATACATTTTATCTTGCTTGAAAAATTCCCATCTTGGATCCAGCGGAAGCTTGCCCGGGAACGCCTTCAGGCCCAAAACGGAGGTAAAACCTTTCGTTTAGACGACCTTTTCAAAAAACTGAATGAAATCATTCTCTTTAAAGAAAATGAAGTAGCTCTTCTCCCTTCCAGTAATTCCAATAGAGTCACCCGAATTTACCACACCTCGGTGACACCACCTAATCGCCGTCGAGACCTCTCGCCACGCGACAGTTTTCTTCACAAATGTCCTTTGTGCCGCCAAGAGCATTCGCTCTACAAATGTGCTCGATATCCGACACCTAGCTCCAAATATGACTACCTTACTAGTAGAAACCTTTGCCCTAAGTGTTTCAAAAACCATCTTGGCCGCTGCCAGGTGCCTGGCCAATGTCGCAATTGTGGTAGCAATGCCCATTTCGAAGTAGCCTGTTTCCGCAAAAGTAGGTCTTCCGACTCTTCCTCAAAATCGCGACCGTACTCAAGTCCGGCCAGTGCTGCCTCGGAGAACAGCACTTCACCCCGCAGCCACCGCAGCGTTAGTCGCGAGTCGTTTGATAGTAGACGCGGTGACGGCTCCCGCTTGTCATCTCTTTCCGAAGAACAGCGTTCTACGGCGGCGCCTTCGGATCGGCATAGTAGTCGCTCTCCTCATCGTGATTCCCAATATGAGCGTCACAGTAGTCGTTCCCCACGGAGGGACCCCCACTTGACGAACGGTCGAGGTCAATCTCCACTTTGCAATTCCCGCAGAGTCAAATTTCGAGGTGAATAAGTTGTTGTAGCCGTTGAATAGACCTCGGTGGCTCCTTCTTTTGAGCCAAGTAGCCCAAATTCCAACAGCTCTGGTGCCCGGAGCACTAGCCTAAGTCGCCCATGAAGCTATTCATAGTCCGTTTTTGCTCGGCAATAGACTTTTGTTCTCTCATCCCGGTGTTAATACCGAGCCGAGCCATAGACGCTCCGATGTCAAGTAGATTCTCGCGTCTACAAGCTTCATAGACCGCTTCCGAGCTTGTAGGAGTAGTGACTTCCTACCAAGATAAAACGTAGCCGTACCAGTAGAAGGCTTTCCTGCACCTAGCCGTTCCCAAAAGTAGGCACAACTTCTGCCGCTTATGTCACCGTCATCGCCACCCGTCAAGACAACCAGCATTCGTACGATAATATTTCTTTACACGTTTTTCATTGGTTTTTCATTCATGCTTCTGACGGCGTCGTAAGGTTCCCCCCCCCCTTTTTGTACCTTTTCCAGGTTTTTCCTGTTCTTTTTAGGCCGGGAGTGTGGCGTCATGGCGACACCACTTTCGGTCGTAGTTTGAGGTCCCCTTTCGGGCCTTCAGTAGCTTATCCTTTTATCTATGGCTCCGCCCCTTTCGGCCGCCCTCCGATAGGTAGGCCTGGGCAGAGAGTCGGATGGATCTCCTCTAGACCATCTAGTAGGCATTCTACAGTAGGACAATCGTAGCTTATATATTAAGGGGAAACCTGGTTAAACCTAAATTATGTGGGGACTAATAATATTGGGAAGCCGCGTCTATTAATGGTGCCTAATAAATGAGTAGTTCACTAATCTATCTAGAACGTTTATAAGATTAATACATAAAGCTCAACTACACGAACAGTCGGGTACAATCTCCTTGCATACAGAGGAGATTGAGTTCTGCTCTCCCCCAAGGGGCGACAAGCCTAGGATTCCGCAAATTGCCTCTGCTAGCTTGCCATTCGCCTAACTGGCTGGTAAAATGCCGATTTTCACTTCCCAAATGCTCTTTGCTGGCTTGCCTTGTTGATTTTTGCCTTCAATGGTCCTTTAAAAGGCTAGATTTCCACAAATTGCCGCTGCTAGCTGGCCAACCGGCAAACTGGCTACTAAACCCTGATTTTCACTTCCCAAATGGCCTCCGCTAGCTTGCCCTTTTCTCTGCGTCTCTCTCTCTCTCTCTTTTCTCTCAAAACGCAAATTTCTAGCCTTTCTGCCATCCAGAAAATGCGGCAAAAGGGAGGAGGATGAGGTTCGCACTCCTTTTGCTCATCATCCACGTGATGCCAAAAATCGGGGCGTGGAATGCGAGAAAAGGTGGGTTTTCGCGCTCTCTCTGTCTTCTCTCGCCTCTGAAGCTGCCAGATGGACATTTCAGAGAGCTTGGAGCAAAAAGCAAAAAGTTTGTAGGTTCCGGGAGTCGAACCCGGGTCGTCATATTGGAAGTCCGGCACGCTAACCACTTGGCCACGCGTTTCGGCGCGGATTTTTGGAAAACCGTTTCTCCCAAATTCTCGCTGCTAGCCGGCCCTGACCCATTAAAGGGACAGTGACACCTTTTCAGTGCCAGCCCCCTACGTGGCCGCTTCTTCCTCGATCACGAATCCCTCGACAAATCTGATGGAATCGTTTTCTCTCTCGTGTCCACATGTCACTGACGCCGAAAAACAGGAGGTACGGTAGCCAGGGGACAATCGATTACGCCATCAAAATCCTAGGTGGACATCGAGGTCACGTGGACGCTGAACAACGCGATATGGCTCAAGATTGGGAACGGGAATCGGATGGTGGACAACAAGTTGACGTCGTACAACAAGAAGACCATCACCGGTATTTTCCGCAAGGGGTTTCCGCTCGATTGCCTCGAATTCCTCAAGAATCCCTGCTAGCTGCAGCAGCAGCACCAAAAAACCGCCCTAAATTCCGCAAAGAATCTCTGCTCGTTTGCCTAGCCAAATCAGCCGGATTTCCGCAAAGAATCTCTGCTGGCACGCCCCCAATTTCAGGCAAAAACGTGTTGCGAATCTCGGAAAACCTGGGGCGGTACATGTTCGACTACGACGAGCTGACCGGCGATTTCTCGATGGAGATCATGCCTGTACTGCTTGAAGGTGAGGGCGGAGGCTTCAAGGGGCCTTTAAATGGTTCTAGAGAGCTTTAAAGGACCGTTGAAGCCAGAAATCCGTAGAAACGCGAAATTCTACGCTTCAGTGGCCCTTTAAAATGGTTCTAGACCCTCTTAAAGGCTTATAGAAGCCAGAAATCCCTAGCAACCCCGAACTTGCAGAAGACGCGGGGTTGTGGCAGTGCCACGTCACCGTCCACGACAGGGGGAATACGCACACGCTGACGTCAAGGAGGAGGGTCAAGAAACCGCATCCGGTAAGGAAGCCAGAGGGGCAAATGATCTTTGCTAGCTTGCCCGGAATTTTTGGAATCGATTACGCCATCAAAATACGGACATTTTCTGCCGTAATCGGTTTTTCGAGCCGATTTTGACGTCGTAATAGATTTTTCTAGCCGATTTTCATTCCGTAATCGATTCCAGCATCGCCACCACGCCCCTGCCGCCTCCTCCAAAGAGCGTCTCCCGTCGGTGATCATCTACAATGAGCAGCAACCACCACCCAGGACCCCGTCCCCCTCCAAAATCAACGTCTTCAACCGGAATCAGCCGGGGATGGTGCAGATTGAGAGGTAAATCGATTACGCCATCAAAAAAGCAAAAAGCAAAAAGTCTGCCGCATCTGGGAGTCGAACCCCGGACCCTGCGCCTGACAGCCTAACTAGCTAACCACTCGGCCATGCTCCCTAGAGCTCATAAAGTCTCTGCTAGATGGCCCTGCTCTAGCTCGCAAAAATTTCCGCAAAGGATACCTGCTAGCCTGCCCAAAAAAAGTTTATTAGCCCTAAAAATCCTCCAAAACGGCCAAAACTCGATCCTCAATGATCTCCGCTAGCCCGCCCAGACCCAGGAGAACCGCTTTCGACATAAAAAACAAAAGCAAGAAATTTGCCGCGCCGGGGAGTCGAACCCGGACCCCGCGCCTGACAGCCTAACGCGCTAACCACCAGGCCACACCTTTATAGGCCCGAAAAAATTAAAAATCTCTTCAGAGACTCCGCGGACAGCACCCAAATGGTCGTTTTCGATCGGCGGGTGCCGCAGAAAAAGTACCGTAGCCAGCTGAGGGATACGGTAATCGATTACGAGATGAGTGTCCAGGAGGAGCCGATACATTACGGTAGGTAAATGCGGGCCTTAAATGGCCGCTGCTAGCCTGCCCCGAACCCGAAAAATCATTTTAAAGGAACGCTAAAGTGAAAAAAATTGAAGCAAAATCAATTTGAAGCAAAACCCCGTCCCAAATTGTCTCTGCTACCTTGCCTAGCCCTTTTAAAGGCACCGGTAACCCTAGGGGAGCCTAGAATCCAAAACGCAAACAGTTTAGCGCGGCCAGGGGTCGAACCCGGACCCGCAGATCGGGAGGCAAACGCACTAACCACTAGGCTATGGGCGAAAATCCGAAAAATTCCAAAATTCAAAAAAAATGTGATTTTTGTCGAAAGTCTCATGACGGATTCCCATATCCGCATGATTCCTTTCGAGGGAAATCCATTACCTAATCCAATCCGGGTCCCGCCGCGGGGCGCTTAGGAGGAATTTCCTACCGTACCCGCCCCCGGCTCAGAGGGTCCCAATTCAGTCCCGCGATTTATGGGCAATTCTCACGGGAACTGAACCCTTGTCGCTCGTTGATCCAACACCCTGTTCTGGACCCCAATCCCCGTGACTAGCATTGCTGGCGCGGGCGATTGGGTGTCTGATGAACAATGACATTTCCTCGTGCTCTCAATTCTCTTGTGTTCCGGTAATTGTGTGTCTACTAATAAACCTTTTGTCTCTATTCCTTTTCTATATTGGTAATCGCATTGTAAGCATTGGGAGAATCACAGAAATACTAAATCCACTGAACAACCGATGCCTCGTTATGGGGTTACTCTCTCATAAGGGTGACAGTGGCAACCTTCTTCATATAGTTGATCATATCCTATATGGGGAATGGAGTGTCTCCCTTTTGACATGGTGCGTCTGGGATTCGACTCGTGTCTTCTTTGTGTTCTCCAATATAGTTTTCACCCTTTTCACCAACTCTAGGTTTTTTTGTAAATACATTTAGCGAGGTAAGTTTATCCAGGTTTGCGTGCAATGGCAGCACCGGTATGCCGTTGCCGGGCGGATTTCGTCCCTCCCAGAAGGGGATTTCCGCGGCTGCGTCTAGTCCGTGTCGACTCCTCCCAGAAGGAAGGCCGGATGAAGATTGTCGCTCCAACGCGCAATGACGTTGGCCAGGGACCAGCCCAAGCTCATCATCGTCAGTGGGCCTCGAGCCTCCACCCCTAAGCCTGACTGGAGAGAATTGGTAACCGTAGGGGTGGCCCGGTCGGATGGAATGATCCGGGTTGGCCAACTATCCCCTAGTAGGGATTTATCCTTACGCCGCGGTCCTAACTCTCCAGGAGATGGGCACGGTAAGTCGTCCGAAGGGGGATGGTGGTGTGCTAATCAAAGGTACGCAACTTTGAATAGACCCAATTCGCTAAAACCAGAACCGCCGTTGGCCAACGGCAAGAGATTGGGGAGCAGCTCGGTGGTTTGCTTTCGAGCGGCCCAGCTCCCCCATCGGGAAGGTATGCCAACACTCGATGAGCCTTGCGCTCTGGTAGTTAGGCAAAACCTCGTCGCTTGAAACCAAAACCGCCGAAGAAAGAAGAAGATGCTACGAGTGTTGGACAACAAATTCGACAAATCGGCAAGATTTCGGCATGGTCGGCTCACGGAAGGCAGCAACAATGTGACGACATCGCTGTTGTTGGAAGGGAAGTTGTCCATGGGTGCCAAATTAGGTTTTCTTGACGCTTGTCGCAGGAATTACTTGATTTGCGCATTTTTCTCTTGCAGAATCCCATCAAATTCAGCACCTGCGAATTTCGCATTACCAAAAACCTTTGCTTTTTGTACCAAAACCGAATTTCGATGCAAAAAAGTCATCCAGTAACGCAGGAACTAACTGCCAATTGCTGTTTGATGTTCATTCCCCCTTTTCCGGAATGAAAACATCGATTTTGAAACCAAAACCGAAGAAATAGCTTCAACCCGTAGCTTATTTTTTCAAGGAATTGCAGCTGTTGATTCTATTTATAGCGTCCTCAGCGCAATTTTCGAAGAAATCATTTTTCTTCAACCAATTCCATGATCAGCACAACGTTCGCTTACTTTTCCAAACGAGCGAAGAGAAAGAAAAAGGATTTCTCGAAAACAACACGGAATTCGCAAAGTTTGGACGCCTAAAACACAAGGGGTGTACGAACTACACCGCCGGGGTACGGTAGCCGCGGGCTAACGGACAACCCCCTCTCTAGATTTTCTCCCAAAATTTGCGAAGAGGAATTTCCCTCGCCCGTGTATTTCCGATCCTTTTTTCTGTGAAATTTCCTCATTTCACCCTTTCTCTATCAAATTGCTCTATTTGTTGCTGATCATGTATCCAAAACGAGGTTTGAACCAAAACCACTTTCTGATCAGTTTTCGGCAACAATATGAATCCCGTATTGCCCGTTAACTGGGGAAATCTTATTTCCTTATGTCAGAAAGCTTGAACCAAGCCAAGACTTCGGCAGTGAACGTGGCGATTGCTATATTGGTTGCCCTCTCTGCCGATATTCACAACCAAAACGAGTTTATCGACGTTGAGCGACATTTCTCGCCTTCGAAGATGAATTCAACAGGACAAGTCTTATGATTGCTGTTGACGATTGCTATATTGGTTGTCCGCGTCATAAGATTTTACTGTATTTCCCTCAGGTTCTACTCTCACGGTAGAATCAAACAGTTCCTTTGAGAGCAGTGAGCATAGTTTCACCGAGTGTGAAATAAGGTTCGCGGCACGCATTAGTGTGCGCTCTCAAATTTCAACGCAAAACCGTTTGGGAACAGTGAGCATAATTTCACGATGCGTGAAATAAGGTTCGCGGCATGCATTTGCATGCGTTCTTCAAATATCAGCAGGGGCCGTTCATATGCAATTTGTGGTTTTAGAACTATGTGTTCTTTTTTAAACCACTTTTTGCCGTGGCTTCCAATTCTTGAACCAGTCCCTCTCGTGTCTTTTCAATTTTCCGCATTCTCTCTTCTGTTCTCGCATCCGTGTTCCAGCTCCAGCGCAAAGTAGATGGGTTTTTTCAGGTATCTTTACTTGGAAAGCTGCGAAATGCCTGGAGCTGCGGACGTCGCGATGTTTCGCCGTTACCTGGACGAATGGCCGGGTTTGCGCGAGGAGATCAAGACGTTTGCGGAGAAGGAGGACGAGCTCGTAGGGAATCAGAACCTGAGCAAGTTCAAGAAGACAGCAAGGTCTCTTGCCGAGAAAATTGTGAGGCGCATTAATGCGATCACAAAAGCCAAAACCTTTCGGGATGAAAATCCTGGAACAAAACCAAACCCCCCTGCCTGAGCTTCATCAAATATTTGAGGAGTTTCAGGTTGAGGAAATCCTAGCCCAGTTGTTGGAGGACCGAGTCAAGATCGGTGCTTGCTACGCCCGTATCATTGGCTCGGAGCTGCAACTGTCCGAGGTCCTTGAGCAAGTCGTGGAGGTCGTGCATACCAATGCCAATGATGCTGATCAAGCTCATATTGTCAAAGATGAAGGTGAAAATGACCTCACTGGAGACGATGAGCTTGATACCACGGTCCGGCACCTGCCTCCCTCCGACGGCCCAGTGCCATCACCGGTTGTGGCGATCCAAAACCAAAGGGGCTTTTCCGGAGAGGCCTCTACTGGGGCCGCTCCTGCCCCGCAAGTACCCAATACCATGTTCTTCCCAAAACCTGAACCTGCTGGACAAGCCGATGGAGACAACACGCAGATGGATCGCTTCCAGCACCTCCTGAACAGCATCCTCGATGGCCAACAGCAAAGTCAACGCGAAGCCAAGGCCGCGCATCAACAGCTGGTTCAGACCCAGGCCACGATTACCCGGGCCATCAACAACCTCAACGAAGAACAGCGTAAGTTGCGTAGCGCCCAAGAGTCGTTGTACACACGTACAACGAAGCTGGAAGCTCGATTGTTGGCTCTCGAGCGTAAACCAGAACCGGCAGTTGGGAAGTCTCACTTCCCTGCTGTTCCTTTGCAGCCTCCGGGCTACTCTTTGAACCAAAACGATCTCCCATTTCGGCCTGTGCAAACCAATATGACCTTTGGTGACCTGATGAATTCACGTCAGGAAGCCAATTGGAATTTGGAGCAGGAATTCTCCGATTTGAGGAAGATTATACCAGACCAGATGTTTATCTCTGATGATAACATCCATCTGTTTGAGGAATTTAACTCACAACAGAGCCGCGAAGACAGGGGCCGAGCCAGAAAAGTAGGGTTTTCCGTCAATGACGTGAAGCTCCCGAAATTCGACGGCAAAGCTTCTGGTTTCCGAAATTGGTTTTTGCGATTCCGTGAACGGGCTAACCAGGTCTGCGTCACTAATGGTGAAAAGCTGGATTTGCTACGCCTGAACACGGAGGGTCATGTCGCTAAATCATTGGAATACTTCGCGATGAATACCCAAGGCCTATACCAAGCCCTCGTCTATCTCTTCAAGGATTACTTCGATCCTAGCCAGAGACAGAACCAAGCACAGGAGGCTATCCTCCTATTGCCCGAGGTTGACTCCGACTTTACCCAAGCCGAAGAGGTTTTCGGAACCTTGCATGGAGTGGCCACTGAATTCGATGACCTGGGAATGAATGATTTGCGAATCAGGGAGACAATCCTTGGCAAGTTTCCCAAGAGAGTCGGTGAAACATTTCATGCAAAGTACCCCGAAGCAATGCTGAAAGGCAAACTCGCTTTGATGGTGAACCAGCTCCACGATTGGGTGAGAGTCCATGCACGACAGCGTGCTTCGGATTTATCCCGTTATCGAGCCCAAGCCTCTACCACTCGGTGCCCCTTCTGTACCGAGCGAGGCCATCGTCCCAATACCTGCACCAAGTTCACCGGATCGGCAGAACAGTTCAAGCTCATTCGTGAGTCACTGCGCTGTCGCATCTGCTTGGAACAAGAACACGACACCGGACGGTGCAACACGGAGCCTTGCAGCAAATGCGGAGGTGCACACCACGCAAAATTGCACAAGCACTTCGAGAGCTTTGATGCTCACCGTAGCGTCATCAATCCAAAACCGCACAGCACTTAGGAGCTGTATAGACAAAACCAATTCAAAACCCTTTTTTTCGGCCTTTGAACCAAGCCCGTTTTTGCGTCAAAACCAATGTCAAGGGTCTTGTGAGAAGGGTTCGTCCCCCTCCCCGGGCCCTGGCCCTATCTGATATCCAAAACCGGCCACGTACGCCAACCCGTTCGCCTACCGCTGCAGGGTCGACTTCAACACTCGCGTCCAAGTCCATGGTCCACAACACTCCACCTATCGGTCCAGCAGTGCTCAAGCGTTCAAACAAGTACGTCCCCTTCCCCCAACTGTTTCGGCAGAGGTGCGGGCCTCATAGCGTCACTCAGTTTCCCCACCTCTTTCCCTTTTTATGACCCATCTTTCCCCACCCCTAGAGTTTCCTAATGTCGTGGCCCTCCCGCCTCCCTTTTTTATATATACACACTTTCTTCCGTTTCACTTCCTCCACAACCCACCATCACGAGATGTCATACCCCTATCTTGTACCAATTCCGCGTTTCCCGGGCCCCCAGGCCTTCTCACCAGACCACTTTCCTACCAAGCCTACTGCACCCCAGTCCAGAGGGTTCAACTCATACCTCTACTGGGGGGTCGCTCAATCTGGTCCACATCGGCAGCCAGGCCGGAGAGTTCTACCCATAACTCCCTGGTGAGGCATCGCCCTCGTTGTCCTTGTGGGCCGGGAGTGTCGAAAGTCTCATGACGGATTCCCATATCCGCATGATTCCTTTCGAGGGAAATCCATTACCTAATCCAATCCGGGTCCCGCCGCGGGGCGCTTAGGAGGAATTTCCTACCGTACCCGCCCCCGGCTCAGAGGGTCCCAATTCAGTCCCGCGATTTATGGGCAATTCTCACGGGAACTGAACCCTTGTCGCTCGTTGATCCAACACCCTGTTCTGGACCCCAATCCCCGTGACTAGCATTGCTGGCGCGGGCGATTGGGTGTCTGATGAACAATGACATTTCCTCGTGCTCTCAATTCTCTTGTGTTCCGGTAATTGTGTGTCTACTAATAAACCTTTTGTCTCTATTCCTTTTCTATATTGGTAATCGCATTGTAAGCATTGGGAGAATCACAGAAATACTAAATCCACTGAACAACCGATGCCTCGTTATGGGGTTACTCTCTCATAAGGGTGACAGTGGCAACCTTCTTCATATAGTTGATCATATCCTATATGGGGAATGGAGTGTCTCCCTTTTGACAATTTTCAGGCCAAAGCCGTACGCGAAGTGCCTACTACTCGTCCTCCTCACCAAATAGCCATAATAATCTACTTAATTTAATGTTAATTTTCACGATATTTCTGCGATTTTTGTGAAGCAATAAATCGATTTTTCCTTGCGTAATCGGATTTTTCAAGCTGATTTACCTACGTAATCGTTATGCGATGAAAACAAGCACTTTTCTATCGCGTAATCGAATAGCCCGGGGCTATTTTCAACGCGTAATCGATTAACCTTGCCCAATTTTGGCAACGTAATCGATTACGCCACCAAATTCAGCCCCAAAAATTAGAAAAACGCGACACCTTAGCCTGCTGGGCGAGATGAATGGAGTTCTCGAGTACGGTAACCCTCCTGCATTCCGCATCACACAGATCCCGCGCCATCTCGTTGTCGTGGAAATTGCAGAGGGCAATCTTCGCATCGCGGAATCCCTCGGGGTGACGGGCGTGGAGGAATGGCCACAGTTTGTCTGAAAAAAGGGAATCGATTACGCCAGGAAAATCTGAAAAATCCATCTTATTCTAGCTGTCACGGTCCCTTTAAACCCCAAAAATCTCTAGAAAACTTATTTTAATGCGGGAGGAATCGATTACGCCATAAAAACCCGAAAAGGCTATAATTTGGGTTTTAAAGGGCAGTGACAGCTAGGCCACGCCGCCTTTTCAAGGTGTCACGCTCCCTTTAAACCCCCTAAAAATCCATAGAAAATTGATTTCAGCGCTTTAGGAATCATGTAAGACATCAAAATGGGTTTCAAGGTGCCAGAAAACCCGAAAATTGTTCTCAAAGTGTCTCTGCCAGCCCGCAGCCTGACCACGCCTCTTTTTAAGGGCGTCACGCTCCCCTTAAAATCGAAAAACGCTCACCCCTCTGTATAGCCAGCGACGGGGCGCATCCCTCGTCCTTGATCGTCTTCAGCCGCGCCGCCAGATCGTTCGCCTGTCGGATCGATTCGTACTGAAAAAAATCGAGGATTACGGTAGCCTCAAGAAAACTACCGTACCTTCATGGTCTGCTCAAGTTCAAGGCGTTCGACGGCCGTCTGGCGCTTCGGAGGGGCGGCTTCGACACGGGGCATCAACTGGAACAAGGACAATCGGTTCTGTTCTGTTAGCGGGGGGACCAAATTTTTCTCCCCCCCCCCCGCTAACAGAACAGAACCTAAAATTCAGCGCCTCAAAATTTCCGCAAAAATCTCTGCTAGCTGTCATACCACCTTTAAAATGCGAGGGTAGGCTCGCAGAGAGAATTTAGGAATTTCCATTCCTCAAAAACCTCCGCTAGCCTGTCCCGAAAATTTTAAAGGTAGCGAGACAGCTAGAAAAATTTCGCAAAGAACCTCTGCAACGTACCTTTGGCCTTCGAAGCCCAATCTTTGCAATGTCGACTGTCCCCGTTGAAGTCGGCGGGTTGTTGGTAGATGATGATGATGGGGATTGGGAAGAGGAGAGGAGACTGCCCGCTAGACGGACAGCTGAAGCCCGCATTCTGCTGAAAAATGGGTTAACCCGGTGCTACAGACTACAAAAAAAATCGAAAAAATTTGGAAAAATCAAAAAGCAAAAAATTTGCCGCCGGCGGGATCGAACCAGGGAAGCTAGAGAGAGAGAGAGAGAGAGAGAGCGAGATAGAGAGACAGCGAAAAAAAACACCCAAAAAATGGCCCGATACCTGTGGCCAAGTGGTTAGTGGCCTTGCCTACCAATCTGACGACCCGGGTTCGACTCCCGGCCGCGAAAAATGTTTTGTTTTTGGCTCTAAAACCTCACGATCGGCTATTTGGCAGCCAGGAAGCACGTCTCTAGCTTTAAAAACCCATTTTAAATCGAGTACGCAATGTTATTCGGGTCTCAGGTTCGACGCCCGGGACCTACAAACTTTTTGCTTCAAAACCTCAGAAACTACTTTTTGGCAGCCGGGAAGCGAGAGAGAGAGAGAGAGAGAGAGAGAGAGAGAGGGCGAGAGAGAGAGAGAGAGGGAAAAAACACAAAAAATCAAACCACAAACAGCAAAATTCCAAAAAAAATTCTTTGGGCCAAGCCCACCCCTTTTTCAGGACATTTTCAAGGCAAATAACTTTATTCTTTTCCACCCGTATTAAACGAAAAAGCCAAGAAACTAACAACAAAATCAATAGACGAGAGATCGCCGGGAATGCGGAGGGGCAGAGAAAAAGAGCAAAAACCGGCTACAAAATACAACTTTAAACGGCAGATAGATAAATAGGGACGAGGGCAAACTATAGACTAAAAAAGAATTAAAGTGGGCTACAAAACGGCAGAATACGGTAGACTACAAAGTACAAATTTCAACGATTCTGGGGTAGACTACAGGCTACAGACTACAACCGTTTACGGCACGGGCTTGAGACAGCTGGCGATGACGTCGAGCATCCGATTCCGGTCGTCGTCGGCGTCGGCTTCGACGTTCGTCCGCAGGCCGTCACGGTGGATCGTCACCCGGGATTGGGGCTTCTCCTGAAAAACGAAACGGATTCGGGCAGGCTAGCAGGGATTCTTTGAGCGCGCTAAATGAGGCGTGACATCAAAATTCTAGCCTTCTGAGGCTAGGCAAGCTAGCAGGGATCATTTGCGGAAATTTCGGATCAAAGGTGAGCTAGCAGAGACCACTTGGGAGGTCCTAAAGGGGCAGGAACACCCAAAATTCCGGCTTTTTTTGACGCCGGGCGAGCTAGCAGAAACCATTTGGGAGCAATTTCCGGACGCCGGGCAAGCTAGCACACACCTTTTAGGAACCAAAAAATCTAAAAAACACGTACTGTAGTGACAACGGTCTTCCCATCGGCCGTGCTGATCGTGTGCGCAATTTGCCGGCGATCCAGGGCCACCTTGAGCGTGTCGGCGTCGAGCTTGCCGCAGTAGCGCGGGCGCAGGGTTTGATCGCGTTTGGCCGGCTGAAAAAAACGCGGGTTATGACTTCCCAGTCCCTTTAAAATGCCGAAAAATTCCTAAATGGTTTCTGCTAGCCTGCCACGTCAAAAAACCCAGCAAATCGCTGAAAATTTGACTTCCCAGTCCCTTTAAAATGCCGAAAAATTCCTAAATGGTTGCTGCTAGCCTGCCTCATCGAAAAACGGCTTAAATTTGGCTTTCCGGCCCCTTTCAAACGCCTAAAAATTCACAAAAAAACCCTCAATGACTCCTGCTAGTCTGCCCTAAATTTTTAAGGGCCCAGAAAGCAAAAAAGCCATAAGAACCCTGCCTTCCTGCGCCCTTTAAAACCCTAACAACCGTACCAAAATCTCGAAAGCATTATCGTAGGCGTTGAGGAAGCCGCGGAGCTGGCCGTAGCCCACGCTTGGGTTCTTCTCGTTGCCCACGATTTCCAGGCGGCGGACCAGCTAAAAAAGGGTCCAAATTTCCCCAAAAATCGCTGCTAGTTACCTCCGGATGGACGAGGACTCGCTTCCTCCTCGGCCTGTCGCTGACTTTGATCGTTTCCTCGTAGTGGATCGGCAGCATTGGGTTCTGAAAAACAGGGATAATCAATTACGATGTGAAAATCAGGGCAGAATTCCCTGGCGTAATCGGTGAAGAGAGAGAGCGAGAGAGAGGCAGAGAGCGGCGAGAGGGAGGCAGAGAGGGACAGAGGGAGAGAAAGAGAAATAAAACTCACATAAGACAAGTACGCTCCATTGAGATCCTTGCGTAAATGGTAGTAGTCCGGAACGTAGAGCATCTAAAAACGCGTATTACATGGCGTAATCGGTTCAAAAACGAAAATTTTTCATAAACTTGGCGCCGTAATTGCGGTAAAAATCGTCGAATTTTCGCGAAATAAATGGCGTAACCGATTCCAAATTCGCAAAATTGGTACGAAAACAATAAATTCGATATACCGTAGGCTTGAGGCGTTCGGCGAGTGCGGTATTTGCTTGTGGGTAGTCGAGTCGTGTGTCGATAACGTAGTCGAATTTTCGGATGGCCAACGAGTCAAACGGGGCGCACACGTCGGCCAGCGGGAAGTCCGGCTCTAAAAAGAAACCATAAAAAATATAAAAAAACTGAAAACAATTTAAAAAAAATGGAAACCAAAATAAAGGCAATTTTTCGTTGAAAAATTGAAGTTTTTGCATTTTTTTAATAATTTTCAAAAAGAAATTTGTAAATTAAAAAATTACAAATAGTAAAATAAAATTATGAAAAAAAGCAATTAATCAAAATTGCATAGTTTTTACGCTTAGAAATAGCGAAATATAGCTTAGAAACACCTACGCTATTTAGCGACGATTTACAAGTCTTTTTTGTCAGCTATTTTTAGACGATTTAACTCGCGTAATCGATTAAACTCAAGCCAAAACAGCAAAAAAAGGTTTTTTGTGGTCTAATCGATTACGCCATCCAATTCCAGACCTGTAATAATGACGGCATTCTTCGAGTCGTTGCCCCAGACTTCAAGGAGGTGAGCAGCGTCGCCGATCCGCAGCGATGGGTGGCCGGCAAAACAGACGCACGGCGATCTGGAAAAAAATCGATAAATTCCACAAATGGCCTCTGCTAGCTGCCCCGATTCCGATACAACAAAAATCGATTTTTTTAGGAAAAAAAATGGAATTTTCTCAAGAAAAAAGATTTTCCGGGTCTATCCGGTTACGCCACCAAAATCCTCACTTGACTTCGCGGCTGAAATCCCCGTAGAGCGAGTCGTACACCTGCAGCCGGCCGCATTTCAGCAACTGAAAAAATTGGATACATCTAGAATTTCATAGTGTAATCGGTGCAAAAATCCTCCGGGATTAGCTTTTTTCAATTTTTTCCGGGTGAAAAAGTCTAATTAAATGGCGTAATCGATTACGCTTTGAAATTTGTGCATAAAAACGCACCGCCGCGTAGTTGAAGGGCTCTTCGGCCGTCCAAATCTTCTCCTGGTACTGTACGCTGACGTATTCCGAGTTGACGTTGGCAAAAGCGAGGGTACGCTTGCCGACTGGGGAGATGAAGTAGATCGGCACGTCCAGGGAGATGCCTTGCTGAAAAAGAGGATTTTATTACGAATTGAGGTTCTTTGGCATTATCGGGGGGGATTGATAGTTTTGAGTAAAATATAACTCTATTTCCACGAGAAAAACTATCTAAAAACCTTAAAAAATTTAACAAAGCCGAAATTTTGCTCGAAAAACGATATTTTTTTATTTTTATTTATTTCAAACGATACGAAAACAAGGATAACAAATGAAAAAATAGATAGAATAAATTCAGAAATTTAAAAAAATATACCTTGGTCATCTGCTCGGAGATGACGGCGATGAGGTCAAAGATGAGGCCGGTGGGGAGGATGGGAAAGAGGACATTCCCCCCATTCCTCAACGTGCTGATCGTCTCCTTCAACAGCTCCACGATTAGTGTCTGAAAAAAATGGGAATAAAAATAATCTTAGAAAATTTTTAAGGAGCGTTGAAGTCAGAAAAGCGAATTTCGGGGCGTAATCGATTACACCTGGTAATATTAAACGAACTTTTGAATTTAAAGGATAAATTCTAAAAGATTTAGACATTTTTAAAGACATTTTAAGTAAAAAACGAAGCCAAACATATGCCGAAAAATAGGTAAAATCGACTTTTTGGAATTTTCTCGCGTAATCGATTACGATAGGTAAACTTACCGGTTTTTTTTACAAAATAAAGAATCAATTTTAAAAGATTTAGACAAATTTAAAGAGCGAGTGAAGACAAAAAAAAGCTTAAAAATCGCAAAACTTCAATTTTTGGAATTTCCGGGCGTAACCAATTACGCCAGGTAATTTTTGAAGCATTTTCCGACCTGTGGCACGCGATAGCTGGTGGACAACGACGTGAGGATCAGTCGATCGGCCCCTCCAATCGAATCCCAGTCGACGGCCTTCGTGTGCGTGTGCCGGAGACAGGCCGCCGAGATGTAGACGATCTAAAAATCGGGGGTTGAACGCCTCGAAAACCCGGGGCTGACCTTCTCCATCTCGTTGGCGATCATCCAATTGCACGAGCCCATCGTGTAGCCGTTGCCGTACGTCGTCGCGTTGATCATCCCCAGGATTGACTGAAAAAAAAGGGGGAAAATTAGCGAGAATTCCCCAAAAATCCCTGCCAGCTCTCGAAAAATTCGAAAATTCCTCCCCAATGATCTCCGCTAGCTTGCTCGATTTTTTAATGGTCAGGCAGGCTAGCAGAAAGTATTTGGGAACGTAAAATCGATTTTTTGAGGGCAAGTAGCAGAGATTTTTCAGGAAATTGCGAAAAATTCTTAAAAAACGCACAACAGTCTCCCTGAAGGACACGACGGTGACCCGGTCGATGGCCTTCTCGAGCTGTTCAGCCGTGTAGAACTTCGTCCACTCGATCGGGTTGTCGCGGTGGATCTGATTGTTGCGGCCGTGTCGATACGGGCTCAGCGGGAATACCCTGAAAAATAGACGATTACGATGGGTCAATCGATAAAATCTGGTTCTGTTCTGTTAGAGGGGGGGGACCAAATTTTCCCCTGTGTTTTTTCTACCGCCCTATCACAAAATTTAAATAATTTGTATCGCATTTTACATAGTTTTTAGATGCAAAAATCATACAAAAAATAATAAAAATTGTCGAAAATTTTGCCTTTTGGTGAAAGATGACAAAAAATCCCAATTTTCGAATTTTCAAAATTTTTAGCAATCAAAAACCATTAAAAACACGTAAAATATCTTTAATAGGTGGAAACCCCCCCCCCCCCGATAAAAGTACAGAACCAAATTCTGGGCGATCGATTACGCCATCAAATGCTCACCCGGTCAAATTGGCTCGTTTCCAGGCGGCGGGCGCCTCTTCCGTCGTGCATCGAGCGTAGTATTCGATGCATTCCTCGGCCATCATCCTGAAAAAAGCAATTTTTAAATGTCTAGAATTTTTAGCGTACCTTCCGAATTGTATAGTCGGGTCGGTGGCGTAGACTGATCCGGAGAATCCGGTCTCTTCCGTGTAGAATGGCAGGGCGATGAGGGACTGCGGATTCGACACGAGAATCGCGTCCACCTTGTCCATTTGGATACCGGTCAGCTGGAAAATGGAAAACAAATTAATTCAAAATTAGTAAAAATCGAATTTTCACACTTTTACAATCCTTCTAAAAAATGGGGGCAACCAGCAAAGACCAATTGAACTTCAAAAAAATCAAAGAACCTAATTTTTTGGCCTAAAATTTCATACAAAATCGTTCAAAATCGGAAAACTCAGATTTTGGAAAATTCAGGCCAACGAGCAGAGACGCTTTGCGGAAAGGGGCAACCAGCAGAGATCATTTGTCCCTCGAAAAACTCACCGGGGCGGGGTGGACCTCCGGCAACCCATCGACGAATGCGCCAGACTGTCCGGGGACCGCTTTCAGGCATGGCACGTCTTCGCAGTAGCTGCCCAGCTTCTTCAGGCGGTGGCTGAAAAATGGGGTGTAAAATTCTATACAAAATACGGGTTTGAAAAACCTAGCAAAAATTACGAAAATTCGGAAAAATTCGATTTTTGCACAAAACCATCAAAACTTTCAAAAAATCACAGTTAAAGGCTAATTTTTCTTATTAATAAAGTATTCATTAGAATCTAGTTTATACAGCAATCGATAGAGAATTAAATTCTGCACAAAAACAACAGTTTTTAGACTTGAAAAATTAAGGAAACAGAAAAATTCGATTTTTATACAAAATTTTCAAAAATTTCATAAAAATCCCATTTTTCTCACTAATAAAGTTTTCTTTAGAATCTAATTTATACATGAATCGATGGAGAATTCAATTCTGCACCAGATACACCCTTTCACAAACCCTAAAATCCCGTAGAAATGTTGGAAAACTCAATTTTGCAGCGAAATTTTCAAAACTTTCTTAAAAACCGATTTCTTAGCCTATTTCAAACCTTTTAGAAATTAAAAACCATTTATCTTGTGCAGCATTTTTCGCTTTATCTTCTTAGCTCTAAATCGCTGAATCAAACTACCTCTCGCCGTAGATTTGGGGCAAAAAGTTGGCGAGGGACGAGTAGTCGAGCGCGCAGTCGAGCATGATCGTCACATTCGGCCAACGAAGCAGCCAGCACGGTCGAAAGGGCAGCCACGAGAGGTTTGTCTGAAAAAAGAGGGTTGCTAAAGCTTATAAAAACCATAAAATTTCGAAACTTGCTTTTAGAAACCGGGAAAACTCCGAAAAAACCAGAAACTGAATTTTTATGAGACTTTCAAGACTTATAAAAGTTTTCTACAGCTAAAGAGAGTCTATTTTCACGTTCTACGTTCGCTAAAACGTACTATAAAGCGTTAAAAAGCTAGAAAAACTCTTTTAGACTTTTTAAAACCTAAGCGCACAAAATTCCGCTTTTCTAAGCGGTTTTTCAGGTTTCCAAAAGTTTTCTACAGCAAAAGAACCCTATTTTGATCGTTTAAAGCATCTAAAACATGCCAAAAAGCGCTAAAGCACTATAAAAAAGCTATTGTGCGCATTTTCGAAACTTTGGCGCTCAAAATTCCGCTTTTTAAAGCCTCACCAATTCGGCGGATGCAGCAAAAGCCATCCTGCTTCAATTCCTCGGCTTTTCCTCGTCAAATTCGTTCGATTTTTCCGGGCTTCTTCTTTCTTGGCTCTTCTTTTAGAAGTTTTTAGCTTTTTTCCGGGATCCCGTGTGTTTTTTTTTCAAAAATCGTTGTGAGGGAATGGCGAGAGAGCGCGGGGTATGGGTGTCGTTTGGAGCGTCGTGTAGCCCGCCCCACGTGCCGGGACGTGAGTTAAAAAGCAAATTTAGGCTCTAAAACATTTGCAAAAAAATTAGAAAACTTATTGTAAGTTGCAAACTGGCAGGCAGGCTTCCTTATGAAACGTGGAATCGGGTATTTGGAGGCCTGGGAATTTTTAAAATTCGTGATTTCGAACAAAAAGTTTGTGAGCGATTCGGCACTCGCTAGGGGGTACTGTATCGTCGGAGTTATATACCATTCCAAAGAGGAAAACGAGCTCTACACGATGCAGGCAACTCCGACAACGATATCCTACCATAAGTGCGATTTTTGGTGCCCTAAAGCTAAAAACCCCCGAATTTTTTCCAGACTTCCGGTACGCTCCAGCCAACGTTTTTTGAGGTTAGCTTTTTCACCAATTTATACTATGTCGTACAGTATACATATTTACGAGTTCACCGGCCAATAAAACAGGCTACGGCTAATTTTCCGGGCCCGGAAGTCCCGGAAATTGGGCCCTCGAGGCCCCCGGCGGCTTTTTCGAGGCCAAAACAGGGCTGCCCTGGCCCCTGATTGGCCTTTTTGATTATAGTAGCCCTGGGGGGTTACCCCGGTTACCTCCCCTTCCCCCCCCCCCCCGCTACGAGACACTCCCACAGGTTGCAATTACCCCAAAAAGTGGTCACTTCCCCTAGGTCCGACGGGCGAAAAATTACGGCCCCCTTTCCGGCCGGCCACCTGTTTTCTTGACACCTGGGTGTTTTTGGTGCCTTAGCTGGGTGTAAGTTTAGCGAATGCGCCAGCTACAGTACCCCCAAAAACCAAAAGATTTGACCTGGGCGGGGGTCGAACCCGGGTGGTCAGATTGGGGATCTGGTTTCTTAGCCACTGCGCTCTATTTCATTTTCAAGTTGTAAATCGCTTAACTGGCTGCCAGTTCATCTATTCCACTTCTTAAAATTCCAGAATTTTGTCTAGATCCAGACTTCTACCTCTCTAATCTCTTTGTTTTCCTGAAATTTTGTGGCTTTTCGATTGGAGCTCGTGCTCGTCATTACAGAGTGGGGGTCTCGAATCCCTTTCAATTCCCCAGAGACCCAGCAAATAAACTAATAAACTAATCCACTAACCAATTCTAGCGTGTCGGGACCACCAAAACAATTTCTAACTCTCAGCACCTGACCCCTCAGATTGTTTTTGTAGTGAAAATAGCTAAATTTTCAGCCAGTTAAACAATTCCACTTAATAGTAAAGCTCTACTAAAAGCAAAAAGCAAAAAGTTTGACCTCCGAAGGGTTCGAACCCGGGTAGCTAGATTGAAGAGCGTAGTGCCTTAACCACTACGCTAAATTTTGCTTCCAAGCTTGCGATGTGAAGCTTAGACGTCAGTTTAAAAGGTCAGCTATAAAAGTCCGGAAATGTCCAAGCAAAAAGCAAAAAGTTTGACCTCGGCGGGATTCGAACCCGGGTCGTCACCTTGGTAGTTTTCTTGCTTATCCACTGCGCTACCTGGGCTCGTGGGCTTTTGTTGGGTTAACTGGATGCCAGTGAGGATATTCACTTTGGATTATTTCCATTTTTGCGGTTGAAGCGTTGTACCGTAACCCGAGATATCGGGTTGTCACCATCCCTTTAAACTCCGGCATCAACCTACAAACCACGAATTCGTGTTGACAAAACTTCACTGACCAGCGTCTCTTCGATTACTGTAGTGCTTCCCACCACCGGGAAAACCTAATTTTTCATTTTTTCCCTCGTGAGGCCTCTTTTTTGGGGGTCCCACAGCGAAGACCCTCAAAATGTCATTATTTTTCTTGGAATCGCCTGTACCATTTGGATTTGGCCTTTCTGGATGTCAGTTTAGCCAATTTCGAAAAACCTGTACGATTCGGCTTCAGACTCCAAAAAGCAAAAAGCTTGTAGGTCCCGGGGGTCGAACCCGGGCCATTGTTCTCAATTTCCGATTTTTTTGTCTTCACTCTCCCTTTAAAATGCGATTTTCAGCTCCAAAATGAACAGGTACGGCTCAAAATTGGAGGAGGTCAAATCCCGAGCCGGCCCTTCGAATCCGGAGCCGTTACGGTATGAAATTCCGCAAATAATCGCTGCTAGCCTGCCGATTTGTAGGTTTCAAAACAAGCTGAACAACACCGAGCCGACGGCGATGAGCCAAACATTTACATTCGGGCAGAACCGGAAAAAGGAGAGGGATGAAGCACACGATTCGGGCATTGCCATCAATTCGGTGGACGGTGAGTGGTTATGAATGTGTGCAGCTTGTGGTTTGTCGGCAAGTCAGGCAAGCTGGTTGCCAGTGAGGCGAGTGGCAAGCTAGCAAAAACCATTTAGGAACGAAAAGCTGGATTGATTCCCAAAAATTGATTTTTCGTGATTGGCAAGCTAGCAGAGACCATTTGCGGGATTTTAGGGCTCGAAATTTTCAATTTGTGTGTCAGTTAGTCTATCTGGACACCAATAAATCCAATGGCATGGTAGCAGAGATCATTTAGGAACCACCTTTGCAGACTGCATCCGAGGCTACTTTCCGAGGGCGCGAAGCGGCGGCAGCATCAAGACAAAGATCGAGAAGGTGTCAAGAAGGTAGGGGCTTGTTTTCTTTTCGATTAGGCGACAAAAATCAGCTACAGTACGCCTAGGCGTCAATAGGAATGAGACGGAAAATGGGAAATTTTCGGTTTCAAAAATTCTCTCCTCATTTCTGAAATTTGACTACAAACTCCAGGTTCTCAATGCCCCAAAGCTTCTTTCAGCCAGTTTACAAAATTTTCAGGTTCCACTCGGACTCGGCGGTGATGCGATGTGAGAAACTGCCCTCCGTCATAAATGGGCCTCAGGGCACCAGTGGGCAGCAGGTGATTTTTGCAAAAAAATACTTTTAAGCCTCACTGATCACCATTCCAATGGTCTCTGCTAGCTTACCTCTCTACCTGCCTAAGAAAAAAGACAAGAGCGCTTCAAAAATTCCCAAATTTTCTCTGCTAACTCGCCTCCTCTCTTACCAGAAACGCGGGGCTCAATCCCCCCCCTCAATCCATGTTTCCTTTCCCAAATTGTCTCGGCTAGCTTGCCCATGGACTGATTGATAGTCAGTTAGAGTTTTTGATACACAACTTTATCGATTTCCCTTGCAGCTTCATCTCGACGGGTCGAAACATCAGCGAACGCTGCGCCCGTGGTCCAAGACAAGCATCGAACTCCAGAAGTACAAGGACGCACTCCAGAATCTATGAATTTCAAGTGGTCTCCGCTTTCCTGGCTGACAATAAAAAGGATTGACAAAGAAAAATCGGGATCTTGAGCAAAAGCAAAAGGTTTGTCGCGGGTGGGGTTCGAACCCGAGACCCTCATAACATTGCGTCGCCGGTTTAAAACAAGATTTTAAAACTTGGTATGTGCTTTCTGACAGTTAGCCGATTCCAAAAATTTTGGAGCAAAAAGCAAAAACTTTGCCTAGGCCGGGAGTCGAACCCGGGCCTCGAGATTAGCAGGCCCGAGCACTAACCACTTCTCCAAGATTTTCGAGGCCAATTTTTTGAAAAATTCTGCAAAATCCCTTTATTGCACACATCACTATATCACATCATTATTTCGGGGGTTTTATACAGTAGGGGGGAAAGGGGGCGTGGCCTATTTGGGGGGTGTATCATCGCGTAGCGCTCTTCCGGGGCAGCAGCTTGGCCATGGCGTCGTTCATCCCCTGTCTCGGCCTACGAGCCAATCCCCTCTTCACGACACTCATCATTTGCCACGGTTTCCCGAGTCGCTTTGCCCGTTTCCGTTTCTGCTCCGTTTTGCCGCTCTTCCGCTCGGCGGAGGCGCGCTGAAATGGGCACAAAATCGGGCGTAACTTTTTTGTTTTCTCTCCGTTTCGCTTGAAAATGATTGGGCTGCTAAACTGGCCTACAAACTACATCATAAAATGTTTAAATCCCTGAAATATAAAAATTTATCGATTATCCGAGATCAAGATCACGACAAAAGCATGATACCTCGATACCTGATAAAACTTTTTGTTTTTAGTTTTTCCGCTTGAAAATTTTTGGGCATCTAAGCTGCCATACACACTACAAACAAAAACTTTACATCTCTAAAAACACAAATAGTTTCAATTTTTTCGAGGTAAAATTCGGAAAAATCGCCAAAACTTCAAAGCCTCATAAAACTTTTATTTTGCTTTTTGAAGCTTAGAAGTTTTGTGTAGCTGAACTGGCGCCCAGTCTTGCTGATAAAAATTCGAGACACCGATTCCGGTACCTTTTTGGCCTCCCATTCGACGTACTCGACGACGTCGGCCGCCTGCTCGTCCCAGGGCTGCAGCTCCGAGTTGAAGTGGCAGTACCAGTCGCGCTTGTTACGGTCTGCGTTCTGGAAGGCAGCGAGTCGATTGGCGACAAGAAATCGAGAATTTGGGCAAAACGCAAAAAGTTGCGTCGAACCCGCGGCACTCACCTCATCTCCGACGACTTCAACCGCGCGGTGGAGTTCGATGCTGCGGAGGAAGAGATAGGACAGCTGATGGGACATCGCGGAGAAGATCATGAACTGAAAGGGAGAACGATATCGGCGAGAGAGAGAGAGAGAGAGAGAGAGAGAGAGAGAGAGAGAGTGAGGGAGAAAGAGAGAGAAAGGCTAGAAGAGCTACCATAAGGCACGAGATGCTGAAGAGTGAAGCGCCGTAGACCTGCTCGATGAGTACGTCCGGATACATGTGATGGCCTACTGTAACAGGGGAGGCTATACGATTACGACACGTAAGTCGTGGAAGCGGAAGTGGGACCAACTAGTAGCGATCATTTGGGAATTTGTATTTTTCGCGGCACTTGGCCTTTCTGGCAGCCACTTTGTCGTTTCCCAAAAGACCTCTTCTGGTTTGCCAAATTTTAAAGGGACAGCGACACCTCAAGCTTTTTCGCCAAAACTGTGGGCAAGCTAGCAGAGAACACTTGGGAATTCTTTTTCTCGTCGTGATTAGCCTTTCTGGCGGCCTGTTCAGCGATTTCCAAAAGATCTCGGCTAGTTGACCAATTTTCAGGTACAGCGACACCCACCGAGTCTCCTCCCCATCTGGCGACACAATCCGACACTGTACACCAACAATGCCACAATCACCACGCTGCATAACACCAGAAATGACGGCCACCACAACGCGTCACGCCACAGCCCAGCCCACGTCGGAATCTGCAAAAGACAAAACGTTGGAACCTCGGCGGGGATCGAACCCGAGGGTGTAGTTTGGGGGCGTAACTCGCTAACCACTTGGCCAAATCGCATCATATTTCGGATAGAGGCTATCTGGGCGACAGTTTATTGATTGGAACATCAAAATTCCAAAAAGCAAAAAGTTCGACGCCGGCGGGGATCGAACCATCGAGGTCCGGCTCAATGGCGTACCTCGCCGACCACTTGGCCAAATCGCCCCAAATTTGAAATATAGGCTATCTGGGTGACCGTCTAGCCAATGACGCAATAAGATTTCAAAAAGCAAAAAGATTGAACCCTAGGGAATCGAACCCTCGACACGTTGCCCGTTAAAATCGGCACCTCAAGCGGGACCATTCGAATGATTGGTGGGAATATGGAGGTATCCTTTGCGATCAGCTTCTGTCGACGCCATGGCAGCTGAATGGACGGCAGAAAGTTGCCTCGCGTCGATTTGAACGCCATCTGACCCCTAATTCCTTTCAATTCGCAGTTTTATACCCTAAAAATTCGGATTTTAATTTTTTATGCAAATTTTCTGCGATTTAAATTTTGTTCTTTTGCTTAATTGACTTTCCTGAAATGCAAATTCTAATTTCGCGAAAAAAATTGGAATCGATAGACTAGCAACGACCCTTTAAAACGGTGATCTTCGGGTCGCGGGTGCGACTCCTGCCCGCAACAAACTTTTTGCTGTTTGCTTTTCAAGCTGGTTTTTTCGATTAGATTCTGTAGATTGCCTGTCAGTCTGGCTAAAAATCGAGAATAACAATGATTTAAATACGTAGAAATAAATTTATTCAATAAAGATGAAACCAAAAAATCAAAAAATCAAAAATCAAAATAAAATTGTATTTTTTGCGGACCAGATCGAGGAATTTTGCGCGGACCCGTAATTTGTTGTATAAAGTACTGTAGGAAGGGAGGGGGATACTGTAGAAAAAAAGAAAAAACGAAAAAATGGGTTTTTCGCAATTTTTCTAATTTTTAAAAGTGGAAAAAATTGAGGAAAATTGGCCAAAAATTCAGGGAATACTGTAGAAAAATTAAGCAGTCATTTAAAGCCTCTAAAAAGCAAAAAATGAGCTTTCAAGGCTTCAAAATCAAAAAACTGGAAAAATCAATTTTTTAGAAAACTTGGCTCATCGCCAAAACCCGCCAAAAATTAGGGTTACGATAATGAGGCGTAAATAGTTGTAGGTGGTACTGGAATTACAGAGGAAGCCATGGCACGTGTAGATATAGCCGAGAGTCTCTTCCGGGTGATCACCCCACGACGGATCCACCAGGCGAACCTGAAAATCGGCAAAATCGCTTATAAATCTTTCCAATTCCACAAATGGTCTTTGCTAGCCTGCCCATTGTCTAAACTGACACCCAATCCATCGATTTACGCTTTAAAACTTTCCCCCGACAAGCTAGCCGAGAGAACTTGCCCAAGTATCTGATTTCGGTGTCTGAATCCGATGAAAAATTCAGGAAAACACCCCTTTTTCCATTCGATTACGCAATGTAATTATTTCTGCTAGTTTCCAATCGCTAAACTGTCAGCCAGACTATCCATTGGCATTTTTAGAATTTCCTGGGGCAAGCTAGCAGAGATTTTTGGATAGGTTACCGGCGTATAGCGCAAAGAATCGCTGCTAGCTAGCTTTCTATTCCTCAAAAAGCTCTGCCAGCTAGCCAATCGTCTATCTGGCAGCCAGTCTATCGAGTCCCGCCTCCAAAATTCTTTCTGCTAGCTTGCCCGCGCTTTTCTAGCTGTCACAGCCCCTTTAAAATCGTCAAAAACTGCTTTTTTGGCAATTTTCCGCAAATTTTCTCTGCTCGCCTGCCGGTTTGAAAGGGAGCATAATAGCTAGGTTTGGACTTACATGTGGCTTCTTTGTTTTTGGCGGAAATAAGGGAAAAGCCTCGGATCCCATCACTCGACTCCAGCAATCACGCACGATCGCCCCGCCCTCCACTGAAACGGGGATTACTGTAGCTAGACTTTTGTGGGAATGGCTTAACTGGCATCCATTTTAGCTAAATGAAACGTTAAAAATATTCTACCGTACTTTTAGGCGAAAAATTATCGAAAAATCTCAGAAGTGTGATTTTCCAACTTTAGAGCCCTTTAAAATTGGGTTACGGTAGGATACGATCTCTGATATTTTGGTACCGAATAGAACTCGATCTGCTCTTTCGAATGGCATACATAACTCCGCTACAGTACCCCCAGGCGTCAAGAGGAATGGGCCGGAAAACGAAAGAAAAAAAAAATCTAAATTTCGTGATTTTTCCAGCTGGTACAATTTTTTGTAGTTTATAGTTAGAGCTTCGATTTTTGTGGAAATGGCTTAATTGACATCCAGTGTACCCAAAATAATCGTTAAATCAGCTACAGTACCCCGCGACGTCAAGAGGAATGCGCGGAAAATGAGAAAAATCGCAAATGGCGAGTTTTTCGAATTGACCTAATTTTTTGTAGTTTGTAGCTAGAGCTTAGATTTTTGTGGAAATGGTTCAATTGGCATCCAGTTTCGTTAGCGTTAAATCAGCTACAGTACCCCAATGCGTCAAGAGAAATCACCCGGAACCTACCGCAAACGTCCCGTTTTGCCGGCGCCTCCTTGATGACGGCCTTTATGCATACGCTGCCCGGGCAATCGACTACCGGCAGTTTATTTCGCACCTGAAAATCGATAAAAGTAGGTTTTTAAAGTGAAAAATTCGTTAAAATTAAAACAAAACATAAAATTTTGAAAAGGTCTCAATTTTTAAAACCGCAAACTTCAATTTTTATTTTTATTTTAAATGCACGAATTTGAATAGATTTAAGAGCTATTTTTGCACTTAAAAATCTATGAAAAAACTAAAAACACTGAATTAATTTCAAATCAAAAATGTGTAAAAAACGGAAAAATGAAAAAAAATGGATCAAAACTTGTGTAATTATCGATTTGTAGAATTATATTTGAATTTTTTGAATTAATAATGGTAAGCCATTTTAAATTGGACCGACCTGCTCGCAGCTCTCGTTGGCGTAGTAGGGGAATTGGCGCAAGAATTGGAGTTGATTATTCGGGCCCTTTGGCTGAAAAAATGGGGAAATTCCACAATAATCTCCGCTCGTTTGCCATTTTAAAGGGCGCTTATCAGCTAGATTAGAGGCAATTTTTTGTCGTAATCGGTCACAAATAATTTTGCTGGCCTCGCGACCTACCCATTTGAGGTGTAATTGCGGCGAGGAGCATGAGTAGCATTTTTGCACGCCTTCGAATGCCTCGATCGTGTAGCCGAAATCGGAAAAAATCGATAGTTTACTCCAATTAAAATATTCAAATACCTGCAACAACCTCCTGCACAAAAAACAGCAAAATTGTCGATATTCGCAGCATTTTTCGGATTTTTCGGCCTACAAAAGACTCTAAAATTTGGGCGGGCTAGCAGAGAGCATTTTCGAAGTGGGAATCGATAAAATGGAAGCCAGATAGACGAATGGCAAGCGAGTAGAGAAATTTGAGGAAAATAGGGCGAGCAGCGATTCTTTGTCTAAAAAATCAAGAAATCGGGCAAATGGTCTCTGCTAGCCCGCCCAGAAATATTTTAAGGCTCGAAATCAATAGACCGGCTGCCAGTTTAGCCAATCGCAAGCTAGCAGAAATCCTTTCAAAAGTTCCTCTCCTGCTAGTGACCAAGAACACCTCAAAAATGCGCAAATGGGAGGGCCTTTTGGGGCCCCGGAGGGCCCCAAAAAGGCCAGTCGATTCACGCGCCACCCGCCATCTTCTTGAGGGATTCAAGAAACGAGGGGCGAGAGAGTGGAGAGAGAGAGAGAGAGAGAGAGAGAGAGAGAGATTCCCCTCCCCTCCTCCTCTGCCGACCGGAAGGGTCCAATTGGCCCCTTCGGATGGTGGGAAAACCCGGCTGCTGGAAGGCCGGATTCCAGGGGCCATGGGACAGAAATTCCGCAAAAATTCCTGCCAGCTTGCCCTGCTATATCTAAAAAAAACGAAAAATTCCGCAAATTGCCTCTGCCAGCTTGGCCTAAATTTGTTGATTTCTCTCAGAAAATATCAAATTTTTCCGCCAAGATCTCTGCTAGCCTGCCTCAACCTGAAAACTTAATTTTACAATTTTTAGGGCAAACTAGCAAAGAAAATTGTGGAAAAGCCGGCGTTCCCCTTTTTCTAAAAACTAAATTCCGACAATTCTCCGCTGGTCCGCCCTAAAAATCCCGAAATTCTTAGGGGCAGGCTAGCAGCGAAAATTAGGGAAAACCTGAAAACTTCTTTTAGAAAGTCAAAAACCTCAAAAACCCCAGTTGGCACCAGACACCCACGAAATTCCTCAAAAATCCCTGCTAGCTGGCCCCCAAAAATCAAAATTTTCGGGCAGGCTAGCAGAGAAAATTTCGGGAATTGACGAAAATCTGAAAAAACCGGAATTCCTCAAAAATCCCTGCCAGCATGCCCTCAAAAATCATAGAGAATTCGAAAATAAAGTGCAAAATGCGTGGGCGAGCCAAAAATATGTATAAACAAATTTTTCAGGCCCCTGTCGCGGGCCATTTGGGCCATTTTTTGGGGGCCCACCCCCCCCTGGGACCCCTAGCCGGATCAATGCGTAATGCAATCCGGGCCTCTGCCCCGGAAAAGAGAGAGAGAGAGAGAGAGAGAGAGAGAGAGACAGTGAGAGAGAGCAGCCTAATAGAAAACGACGAAAAACACATGTCTAGATTGGCGAAAACTGCCCATTTTCTAGCAATTTAGCTAGGGGCAGGCTAGCAGCGATTCTTTGCGGAAATTTCTACTTTTGGCAGGCTAGCTGAGGCCATTTAGGAAGGTTTTGCCTGAAAAATCGATTCAAGAGGCGCGGGCACGCTAGCAGAGATCCTTTGAGGAACCGTAGAAACCCGAAAACGAGCACGAGCTTTTGAGCGCCAGCTGCCCCGTTCCGCGAGGCATGAAAGCCATCAATCAGCTGCTTGTCAAAACCCGGAATTTGTCGCTCACTTTCGCGCCTAAGCTGTTTTGGCGAAAAATTCCACAAAAACGGGCAGGCTAGCAGGGATTCGTTGGGAAATGGCCAAAAGGGACCCAGATTTTCCGCAATTTCCCTCTGCCAGATTGCCTGATTTTCTACACTAAAAGAAAACTTTTAAAACCCTATTTTCCGAAGAAATCGTGTTTTCAAAACCCCGGAAAAGGTCAGCTAGCAGGGATTCTTTAGGAAACGTCGTTTTTTCTAGTTTCGAACGCTAGACCTGAAGATAACGAGTTCCGCAAGTTATCTCTGCTAGATTGCCTGGTTATCTAAACAAAAAAAACCCTTAAAATCCCATTTTTCGACGGAACCTGTCGGAAATCGGGTTTTCAAACGTCAGAAAAAGGCTAGCTAGCAGGGATGCTTTGGGAAAACGCGCGTTTCCGCTAATTTTAGCGCTAGAGTTCAAGCTAAAGATTTCCTCAAATTTCCTCTGCTCGCTTGCCGAAAGAAAGAAAACCTTTACAATCCCATTTTTTTGGCGGAATCCTGCCCGAAATGACGTTTTCTCGTTGTCGCAGCTCTCGCGCTTCTTCTGGCGCACTTCTCGATTAGTAGAAGAAGCCTAAAAGCGGCGGAGAAGTAGAAAAATCGACGACTAACCGCTAGCAAGTATCCGCGAGCAGCTTCTCGCCAAGCTTCACCTTCCTCAAGAAGCAACGTTGAAGCCGCGGGAGAAGCTGAAACCGTCGCGCCATTCTAAAATCAAAATAAATCCTCGAGAATCAGAGCCCAGCAACTAAACCTATAGAAAAATCGATCTAGGTCGAGAAATGGGGAATTTTCGGAATTTAGCCGGCCTAAAAATGGCTTTAAAAAGGCGAAATTTCGATAAATAACTATTTGGGAAGCAGCCAAATCATCGAAAATCCCAAATTAAAACCAAATCGTATATTTTCGGCCTAAAAATGGCTTTAAAACGCTAAATTTCGGTCCCAACTATTTCTAAAGCTGCTAAATCAGCGATAAATGAAGGCTAGAAAAACTAATCCAATATTTTCGGCATTCAACCGGCCCAAACTCGGCTTTAAAAACGGCGATATTCCTGTAAATCAATATTTATCGTGCATTGAAAGAAACGTGAAAACAATTCGCTAGAAACGAGCGATAAATCAACGATTCAAAAAGCAGAAAAGAAAACAAGCAATTCCCATGAAAGTCAAAATCAAAACTTGCAAAGTAATAGTGAAAACAACTTGAAACGAGCGATAAATGGGCATTTCCATTCAGAAATCGGGAGCGACAAAATGGCCGCCTCCGCTGATGCCATTCAAGAAGAACATCTCCGCGCCGGGGGCCTGCAGAATGATGTGGGTCTCACGCGCCCTCAACGCCAGCATCTTTCCATCCTTCTCTCGCTTCAGCTGTCCTCGAACGATGCCTGAAATTTTGATTAGACTTTATGTTATCAAAATGTCACGTTTGAATAACTGCAAAAATGTTTCAATAGAATTTTCCGGGAATTTGCAGTCGAAAAAACGCGTAATTTTAGACATTCTAGGCTGCCGCAAAATGGCAATAACGCTTTTTCTCGCCATCTTTCGACAGGAAAACGGTTCTGGACTGTTAGCGGGGGGGGGGCGCTTTCAGTTTTTCTTCGCTAAAAGTCATAAAAATGATTGTCCACTTTTTGAAAATTCGAAATTGGTTTGTAATTTCCTACAATTTTCACGAAAAAAAACCCTTAGAATTCTTTTATGGTTTTTTATATTGTTTTTTCTATCTAAAAACGATGTAAAATGCTATAAAAATGTTATTTTTGCTACAGGGCCGTGGATAATCCAAAGAGGAAATTTGGTCCCCCCCCGCTAACAGTCCAGAACCAGGAAAACCTTAATTGTATATTATGTATTTTTCTAGCGTTTTAAGTAGTTTTTGACTGCTAAAAAGCCATAAAAAGGTTCCAATTTTTTGAAAATTAGAAAATTAAAAATTTTTTATAGGTTTTCATGCAATTTTCACCAAAAAGTAAAAACCTTTAGCATCAATGGTCAGCGCGTATTTCTGGATGACGTTGGGCATCTCGGCCAGCTCGTAATATCCTTCTTTATGCGCCTCAGGGCCTTCGAGGGGCACGCTCCAGCCGGGCCGCACCCACAGCGCCTCGATTTCGCGTTCGCCGGCCAGCCATTCGTCGATATAGTCCAGGAGAAATTGGCTGACAATCCCCTCATTGTCGACAATGCCGATGCCGAGCCGGGGCACGTGCCATCCCTTCACGATCGCCATCTGCTTCTTGTTTTCGGCATAGTCGACGGCCAGCGAGCCGTTCAGCGAGCGGAAAACCTGATAGAATTTGCGATTAGAATGTCTACATTTCAAAATGCACAATTTTCCAAATGCCAAAAAATCTCAGAATGCACCAATTTCTGCATGGCCACGGTTCTGGGCTGTTAGCGGGGGGGGGGGGGGCACAAATTTTTTTCTCTTGTGATTCTCAACGGCCTTATAACAAATGATCACTCATTTTTATAGCATTTTACATTGTTTTTTGTATCTAAAAAATAGTAAAAATTTTGATTATTTTTTTGGTGAAAATGTATGAAAAATTAACAAAAATCTTCAAAATTTCGAATTTTCAAAATTGAAAATCAGTTGTTATAACTTTCTAGAAATCAAAAACTGAAACCGGTCCCCGCTAGCAGTCCAGAACCGTTTTCCTTTCCAAAGATAGCGAGAAAAAGCGTTATTGCCATTTTGCAAAAGCCCAGAATGTCTCAAATTGTGCGTTTTTCGACCCCAAAATCCCGGAAAATTCTAAATTTTTTATTCATTTTTTAGATATTCTGAAAAACCCCTCACCTCTTTGCAATCCATCACGTAGCTCGTGTACGCGTTTTCCGGCTTCAGCGTTTCGTACATCCGCTTGTACTCGATCAAATGAGTCGCGTTGATTGGCCGCTCGGAGCACCACGGCAGCAGATAGTAGAAATTGTGGGAGGTGAACGTCGGGCGGAACCGGAACCAACCACCCCAGTAGCTGCCGTCTCCCCAGAACTTGAAGGAGTGAACGTGCTTTCCGATGAGGCTGTCCTTGTCGCGAACCTCCACCCAGCCGCCATCCCCTTGAACTGCCCACGCGGTCTCGAAAATGCCGTCATCGTCGCTGGCTCGCTGCCAATCGCGCACCACGTCGATTGGTGACTTCTTGCAACAAGCGGCCAGCCGGTCGTGTACCTTTTCGACCTCCAAAGTCGTCCAATCATCGAGCGACTTCAGAATTTCGCGCATCAGCACGGTGGGCAGATCGATAAATTGGCGAGCGTCGCGCACCGGCTCGTCCCGCGTGAACTTGTCGACCTTGGCGTTGGAGAAGAGGAGCTCGGTGTCAGCCGGGTCGTCGAAGCAGTCATAATCGATGCACATCAAAGAAGAAGATCCGCTAGCCAGATACACCTCGCTCCAGTGCTTCTCGGCGCCGCGCACCATCTTCTCGAGGAGGGCGTGGGATTTGGCGAGTTGAACGAGGGATGGGGCATCCAGGAATCGCACAATGTTGTTGAAGATGTTGGCCGGGAGTTGCAGCAACGGCACGTCGATCTTGGCAAGCTTTTCCGGGCGCCCCTTCCGGCGGATGGGCGAATGTTGGCGCTTCCGCGACGGCATCACCTGCAAAAAAAAACGTATTTGTACAGCAAAAAGCGATGTAGATAGAGAAAGCCAATTCCTACATTGTTTTCAACTATTCCCGAGGAGAAAAACTACAAATTTCAGCAAGAAAAATCGCTTTTTCGACAGAAAACGGCTGATTTTCAGACATTTTCAAAGATTTTCGCGCCCAGCTATCGATCAAATTGACGAAAAACTATGTAAAAAGCACCCATTTTCGTCGTGCAATTTTGTTTTCAATTTTGTCCTAGCGTCAAAATAATCAAAAATTCGATTTTAGCAAGCAAAACAGCTATTTTCGACCAAAAATTCCGCGTTTTTCGACATTTTCAAAGTTTTTCTGACCTAAATATCGTGAAAATGCCGCTAAGACTTATAAAATGAGCCCAATGTTTTGTTTTGAACTATTCCCGAGTCTAAACCCACAAATTTGAACACGAAAAATTCATACTGTCAAGAGAAAAAAACGAGTTTTCTTCGAAAAATCGCGAAATTTTTCCTTATATTTTTGCGTTCTATTTTAAAGTCGAATTCAGCGCAAAAGCTCCCCCAGGAAAAGCTAAAAACGTCCCTCGGCGCCCCTAAAAACCCGGAATTCGCCGCCAAATTCACGAAAAGTAGCAATAAAACCAAAATCAATCAAAGTGCATTCTCAAAAATTCCGAATTAACGTTATAACTTTATTGCAACAATGGCGTGTACCCGAATCAACAAATCGAGAATCGAGGAGGGGGGGAGGGGCCAGAAGAATCCCTTCAGCTAAATAAAATGAAATTTGGGAATGGTGACAATTTTGGAAAAATTGAGGGTTTTTAGGGGCGGCAAAATATGGACAAATCAAACGGACGAGGGGCAAGCTAGCAGGGGAAATTGGGGGAAATTTTGTGAAAATGACGCAAACTGGGGGCCAGCAAAAAGAAGCAACTCGGGGGCCGGGGTGGGGCAAGCTAGCGGGGGAAATTGGGGGAAAATCGGGGCCCGGGGGCTGGCTAGCCGCGATTCTTTGCATGGACATCTAGCTGACGGGCAGGGCGTTGATGGGCGTGTCGAAGTGGAAGTCGGGCGGGAACAGCTCGGCGGCCTTGAGCAGCAGCAGCTTGTACGCCTGGCGCACCGTCACCTCGGCCGCGCCCGCAATGTCGCCGATTTCTGCAACGAAGAATTGTTATAAAAACCGGAAAATTCCACAAAGCCACTCTGCTAGCCTGCCTAGAAAAATGCATGAAAAATAGCGCACAAAATCGCGAATTTCCTGAAGGATCACTGCTAGTTTCCTCAAATGACCTATTTTTGAAAGCTAAGCTTTCTGAAAAACGGCAATTTCCTCAAGGATCACTGCTAGCATGCCCAAAACAAGTATTTTCAAAAACCCAGAAATTTCCTCAATAACCTCTGCCAGTTTCCCCCAATTTCACTGCTGGTCTGCCATCCTCAAAAACTAGATTTTTGTAAAAACGTACTTCAAAACCTCAAATTCCCCCCAATCTTTGCTAGCCTCGAAATCCCAAAATTTCGCTGCCAGCATGCCCCAAAAAGACATGGAACAACTTTTCCAACCCGCAAAACTTTCCTCAAAAACCTCTGCTAGCCTGCCACCCCCAAAAATCCGAAATTTTTGTACCTTTCGGCGAGCGTTTGTCCTTGGAAGCCTGCGAGGCCATGTAGATGGCGGCGGCGGCGATGGAGATCGGGCTGCGGCTAAAAAAAACACGAATTATTTCGAAGAATGAAAATCAACTGACCCGGCGACGAGATCGAGGGCGACGGCCCGCTTGGCAATGTGGCTGGCGCAAGCCTGGAAAAGGGCACGGTATTGATTACGACACGAAATGGCGTACCTGGACCTCGTGGTTGAGGTCCAAATTGCCGCAGAATCGCGACATGAAGTCGACGGAGGTGATCTGCTCGAGGTTGGTCTCCATGGCGCGCACGATCAGCTTGAAGCAGCGGCCAATCTCCTTCTTCGACACCTGCGACACGGCGCAGATCTCTGAAATGCGGGGAATCAGGGTGGTAAAAAATATCTAAAAAACTCTGCTAGCCTGCCTAACGCTACAAACAAAAAATAGTTGCTATTTTCCGCAAATCCTTCTGCTAGCTCGCCAATTCCTCAAAAATCGCTGCTGGTCCGCTCAGCGATTTGAAAATACAGCAAAAAATAACTTGGAATTTTCCTCAAAGAATTGCTGCTAGTTTGCCTTCGTAATTCCTCAAAAAAGCCCTGCTAGTCCGCCCGCGGGTTTCAAAAATAAGCCAAAACCTTGGAATTTTCCTCAAAGCCGTCTGCTAGCCTGCTTTCCCCGATTCCTCAAAGAGTCACTGCTAGTTTGCCGCCCTAATTCGCAAACAATCTCTGCAAGTTTTTAACCCCGCGGTGGTTCCTGTTTTCAAAGTCGAAACACGCGATTTCCAATCCAAAATTGCCTCTGCTAGCCTCCCAGGCAATTTCGCTGCAAATAACCGCTGCTAGTTCGCCATGAAAAGCTCAAAAATTACCCTTGAAGGTGCGCGCGTATCCCTCCTTGCGGCAGGCAATGTAGAGGCAAGCGGCCGCCTGGGCTTCCCCATTCTTTCCCTTGAGGATCTTCGTGTCGAGCACGTCCTTGTACATCTTCGCAGCGATGTCCTGAACAAGGCAAAAATTATTTTTAAAGTCGAAAATGCTTACCTGAGTGGTCTTGGTGAGATGAATCCGGTCGGCCATATCGCGGATCATGCCGATCGCCTGGATCATCTGGCGATCGGTGCCGTTCATCGTGCGCCGCTGAGCGCTGGCCAGGCTGAAAAAGGAGCATCTCAAAAACCATACGAAAAATCACCTCTGATCGGCCTCGCTGGCGCCATAGCCCACGGCAATGTGGGTGGAGAGGTCGCCGGAGGAGAGGAGCGCGCTCTCCGGGGCGCCGACACGCGACGGGTCGTTGCCGCTGCGCTCGTCCGAGAACGAGCGCCACTCGGTGCCCACGTCGACGAGCCTGAAAAAGCAAAAAAATGGAAAAATCTGCCGAAAAATGAATTTCCAAACTTTTCTGGAGTATCAAAGGCGCACATTTTCGTTTAGGGACCCCCTAAAAAACAGAGGACTAAAAGTTTGGCCAGAAAATGACAAAAATCTAAATTCCCTGCCTTTTCCAACGCTTCAAAAATGCCTAAAAATCCCGATTTATATTTTCCGAGAATTTAGCAGACTGGATTGAAAGGATTTCATTGTTTACACTTCCGGAAGATACTTCTAACTCCAAAAAAAGCGAGAATCCCGAAAGCCAAAATTCAGAATGGCGCGCCCGAATTTCCGGGCGACTCCGGGGCAAAAAACGGCTGCCCGTCGCTGCAGCGAGACAGACAAAAGAGAGAGAGCTGTGGTGGCGAACTGCATGCGTGTATTCGGTGGCGTAACCGGATGGCATTGCCCAATTTTCCGGCGGCCTAATCCTTTCTTGATCTGTTTTTCGGCAAATTTTCCTATTTTCGGAGTTTTTTCAAAGTTTTTTGTTACGATGCAACTATGCAAAAGCTAGACAACGATACCCCAGGTTTATTTTCGGTTTTATGAGCTTCAGGGCCCCCGAAAACGGCAGATTTCCAAAAGTAACTCCCCAAATTATGGCCCAAAAATTATGTAAGTCGTTTTTCGAACCAAAAAAAGTTCTGGAGCCTAACCAGGGAGCTTTTATAAGAGCAAAAATTTACCGATCACCGACGACGAGGCCGCACTCCGGGCAGATGACGTCGCCGGCGCGGTGGTCCTCGATGAGATGGGCGTCCGGGTGGTTGGGGCAGTGCAGCATTTCTTACCTGAAACAACCCGGGGTTAGATACGCCAAAAAAAACAGCTTTGAGAAAGCGCACGAAAAAGAAAACCAATTGATGGCAGCGTGCGAAAGGCTAGTTATCTTAAAGGTTACTTAGAGATACAAGCCCTTCAAACATACGAATTAGGGGCGAAACCGAGGGAATCGTGGCTCTAGAATTTGCTACTTTCGAAACAGTTAGCGGAAATCATAATGTTCAATCTTCTATGGCCCGGTATTGGGTACTTGAGAAATTCATTGCACCACCAAAAGGCATGAAAAAATCGGTTCCATCGGCTCATCAATTTTTTTCTAAGGTTGCAATTTTACAATGTAAGTAGAGGAAAGGTTCCGAACCTGTTTCAGACTACACCTCTGATTAAAAACGCAAAAATTGACGATTTTCTGCCCAAAAGCGGCCGATTTTAGACAAAAATCTCACTAAAAAGTTTTCCAGGTTTTTCTATCGTTTTTGCAACCAAATATAGTTGAACGACTAAAAAAAACAGTAAACCTCTTGCGATTACATTAGTAGGCAGTTCTAGATGGATAAAGTAAAGCCCCCCCTCCGATAATGTGCAAGAACCCAGGGCTCAATTCATCGAAATCGCAACTTTAAAAGTGTAGAATAAACGTTTTTAAACGGATAATTAAAATTGTTCATTTTTTGAAAATTGAGATCACGGAGATCAAGCCAAAAAAAAGTGCGTAAAATTTAGGCCCGAGAAAAAACGGTAGTGCTCCGCGCACTCCAATTGACGCTTTCCGTACGGTGGCGCCTTGCGGAGCTTATGGAATTCGAGTTCCCCAATTTTTCATTTTTCAAAAATCTTTTACATTTTTTTTAAGATACGCTAAAATTTGGCAAAATTGAAAATAATTTTAGAAGGCATTAACCCTCAATTTGCACGCTATTTTAATGATGTTGCCCGAAAATTGGCACTTTCTTGAGGATTTTGATGGATTTTCAGTAATTTCCTCCCGATTTCTAGAGTTTTTACCAATTTTTTAGCAATTCTAATGCATTATTCGGCTCTTCGCCGTACTTCTCGCCCCGCAATTGATTTATGGCCTTCTCTTATCACCCCCAAAGTGTGAATCTGGGCGAATCTCGGCTTAAAACGATACGTATCTCGCGAGCTGGCCGCCTTCTTGCCCTGGAAAAACAGCCCTTTTATCGATCTGCGCTTTTGCAAAACACTATTTTTTAGCTTTCTAAGAGCTGTGGAAAGATCTTCGAGCCATTTCGTAGTTTTTATCGTCAATTTTGACTTTCTGGCGCCTAATTTACTTTTTTTGTGCGTGTGAATTTGGATTCTAGTCTTTTTCTCGCGAATTCACGCGCTTTTTTCTACATTTCTCGCCTGCAAATGTTGGAATTACCCTCGATCTTTAGCTAAAAACAGTCCAACTCGATTGTTTGGCACGGAAATCTGGGTTTTAAACTTTTATCTGGCTAATTGTTGGGGCTTTTTTCTTTTTATTTTTGATTTCTGGGTTTCTGGCTTGAAAACCATCGGTTTTCGTTTTTTTCAGGCTAAAACCAGCACAAAAGCGCAAACACAAAAGATTTTTCGCTAAAATGGATTTTTTAAGCGTTCGCTAGTTGATTTTAGGTGCTTTAAGGCTCTGTGTCTTTGTGTTTTCTACGTTTTCGGCTTGAAAAGCCAGAATTTTCACCCTTAACGTGTCGTTTACAGGTAAAAACAGCGAGGAGCCGCCGCACACAACAAAAATGGGCGTTCCGCAAAAGAAGGAGGTGCCGAAGGAGAGCGCCGTCAAATCGGTAAATGCATATTTCGATTTTTATCTTTATTTTTTTGTTGTTTAGATTGAGCGCGGTATCCGGGCTGTTTTCCTGGGTCCACCGGGCTCCGGAAAGGGCACCCAGGCCCCGATCGTCGCCGACCGCTACGAGTCCTGCCATCTATCCACCGGCGATTTGCTCAGGGCCGAGGTATACGACTTTTTTTGTTTAACAGGGGCGTTCCTTCGCCTTTCTACAGTGATTTTGAAGGGGCTAAGCTAATCCCCACGTCGTTTTTAAGCATCTTCGAAAGTTTTGAAGCTTTTTTGAGATTCCGCACATTTGTCAGAAAATGCTTTCGCAGTTTTTGGTTTCGAAACAACTAATTGGTCCTGTTGGCCAGTTTCTAGGTTTTTCTAGAGCACTTTCGACGTGCTGGGCTTCTTTTTGTGTTTTTCAAAGCATTTTTCGAAGCCTTTTCTAAGCTCTTTTTCAGGTTTTTGACGCCCTAGTTCTTTTTGAACCCGTTTCGGGGCTTTATAGATCTTTTTTAACGTTAGTTATGTCTTTTTAGCTTTAGAAAGAGCGAAAGTGCCTATTGCTACGGGTTTTGACAGGTTTTCTGCAGCTGTTTCTGGGGACCGCCCTAGGTTTCTAGATTTTTTTAGGCGTTTTCTAAATCAATTTGCGGTTTTTATAGATACGCCGGCGTTTCCTGGGCCATTTTTGGCTTTTAATCCATTCTTTGTTGTTTTTCTGGTGTAGGTAGTGTATAAAAATGTTGTTTTTAATTTTTTTTTGGAGTTTAAAAAGAGCTGTTGAAAGAATTTTTCTTGTAAAATCTGGGCGGGATGGGAAATTTAAAGTTTTCTAGGTAAAACTGGCGCATTACCTTTAGCTGGCCGAAGTCGTGAGCAAAAATGGGGGTCTTGTGAAGCGGCTTTTTTCACACTAAAATACGTATTTCTCCGGCTTTTATAGTTTTGCCAGTTTCGAAAAGGCGCCCGAGGTCGTGGGGGCGGGGTTTTCCAGGGGAGAGAGCACGTTTGGACTGAGGGCGCCAACAGTAGCATCGTAAAAAAAGCTAGCAAATCAGAAAAAAAAAATTGAGCTTTTTTGATAAAAATTAATTTCCTCTTTCCAGATCGCTTCCGGGAGCACGCTGGGCAAATCGCTGAAGGCGACGGTGGAATCGGGGAAGCTGGTCAGCGACGACACGGTATGCGAGCTGCTCGAGACGAATCTCGACAAGCCAGCCTGCGCCAAGGGCTTCATCCTCGACGGGTTCCCCAGAACCGCCGTTCAGGTACATATTTCTTTGAAGCACGTCTCTCTCCTTCAAAAGCAGTTTTCAAAAAAAAACATTTTTGCGACAAAAAATTCGACTCTTTCCAAAATTTCACAAAAATTTAAATTTGTGGGAATTTGTAACTTTTTGTAGCTTTTTACCAGGTTTTTTTTGACGCGTGATCGATTTTTCGCGGCAATTTTCAGCGATTTTCGCTCGAGTTTGGGCGCACAAAAAGCGGAACAAAAATTCTAAGAATTTTTCACCTGCTTGTGAAGGAAAGAGTCGCTTTTTTTGTCGAAGAACCTCTAAAATGTTCTAAAAACGATGATGAATCTCAGCTGGCGCGGCCTGAGATAATTTGATTTTTTTTTGGAAATGAATTAATTTAGAATTAAATTTTTAGGTTTAAATTTTTTTAAATACCAATTTTAGGCGGAAAAGCTGGACACAATGCTGGAGACGCGGAAGACGCCGCTGGACTGCGTCGTCGAGTTCGCCATCGATGACAATCTACTCGTACGCCGCATCACCGGCCGAAGATTTCACATTGCCAGCGGCAGATCGTACCACGTCGACTTCAACCCCCCAAAGGTATCGCATTTTTTGAAAATTGAGAAATAGGCTTAGGCTTTGGGCCTAGGTTTAAGCTTAGGCTTGGGCTAGGCTTAGGTTTAGGCTTAGGCCAGGCTTAGCTTTAGGCTTAGGCTTAGTCTAGGCTTAGGCTAGGCTTAGCTTTAGGCTTAGGCTTGGGCTAGGCTTAGGCTTAGGCTTGGCTTAGTCTAGGCTTAGGCTAGGCTTAGCTTTAGGCATGGGCTAGGCTTAGGCTTAGGCTTGGACTAGGCTTAGGCCAGGCTTAGCTTTAGGCTGGGGCTTAGGCTAGGCTTAGGCTTGGGCTTAAGCTTGGCTTAGGCTTAGGCTAGGCTTAGGTTTAAGCTTAGCTTAGGCTTAGGCTAGGCTTAGGCTTGGGCTAGGCTTAGGTTTAAACTTGGCTTGGGCTAGGCTTAGGTTTAAGCTTGGCTTAGGCCTAGGCTTGGACTAGGCTTAGGTTTAAGCTTGGCTTAGGCTTGGACTAGGCTTAGGTTTAAGCTTGGCTTAGGCTTGGGCTAGGCTTAGGTTTAAGCTTGGCTTGAGCTAGGCTTAGGTTTAAGCTTGGCTTAGGCTTAGGCTTGGACTAGGCTTAGCTTTAGGCTTAGGCTGGGGCTTATGTTTAGGATTAGCTTAGCTTTGTATAGGCATAGAGAAACCTATTTTTAAAGCTAGTTTTCAAATGTTTCTTTTCAGGTGGCCGGCAAAGATGACGTGACCGGCGAGCCGCTGATCAAACGAGCCGACGACAACGAGGAGACGCTGCGCAAGCGGCTTGGCCAATTCCACGATATGACATCACCGCTCGTCGCCTACTACCAGAAGCGCGGCATCCACACCGCCTTCGATGCCTCCAGGCCCATCAAGGTCAGGCGGTTCAGCCTCAAATTTTAACCATTTTTTGCAGGATGTCGCCGCCGACATTGACGCGCTCTTCATGAAGTTTACGAAGAACAAGGATCGCCGCGCGTTCGCCTGAGGCCCGAAGATGACCAACGACTTCGACAAGAGCACAAAAAAAAGAGAAAGAATTGTCCCCCTTCACCCGTTATTTCAATTGCCATTTCCACTTTCCTTGTGATGTTGATAGGTCTATCTTTTTGGTGGCCGTGTTGCCCTCCCTCACTCTCTGTCCATTTCTTTCTCTCTCTTTCTATCTCTCTCTCTCTTTCGCTCTCCGTGTCCATTTCTCCCACTCTCTTTCTGCCATATATTGGGCCGCTGAATAAAAGAATTAGGTTTTGTCGCGGAAAATACAATATCATTTGTCAGAGCCACAAACAAAATATACAATTGAAGTTGCGGAGGGTAATCCGGCGATGTGACTATGTTTTCAGCCGCAAGCGTGATGGCATTCCACCAGGGAAAATTCAGCTTCGGGCCACGCGGGAGGTGCCGGCACATCGAAGATGGCCGCCCGATCACCGATTTGACGCTAGTCGTGCGCCGGCATGAGTATCGCCAGATGGTGGTCTCTGACAACGGAAAGATGCGCGAAGTGCCCGAGGCACTTTGGAGATCGACACCCAAGTTCCGGCTAGCAGTGTGGAAGGGCGCTGTCGATGCCCCGAAGTTCAGCGCGCAGATGCTGTCTGTGGAAGGACCGATTCCCATCAGCAAGATCCAACAAATCCGTCCGCGTCAAATCCTCGTGCGTGCTGGGTATATAGACTTCACCGGATATGACGGCACACCCGACGTCACGACAAAAGTCAGCAAGATAGAAGAAGTTGAACAAATTGCGAAATGGCGGCTCGAGCGGGTTCATCTTCTTGTACCAACGAAGATCGCAGAGGATATGACGAACACTTTGGCCGAATATATCTTTCAGTGGCAGAAAAAAGAGCGAGCGATCAGCTGTATATGGGTCAAAACGGAGAACGCCAAGGAGTTGTACAAGACACTGCTCGATGACGCAGAGATCACGACCGTGGATGATAAGCACACGAAGGCATTCTTCACTCGATGTGATGGCCGACACCTATTTTCCTTCCTCGATGAGAACAATTTTGTGTTGAGGGGCCGATGGGCGACCACCGGATTCTTCACGAAACATACGATGCAAAAGGGGAGCAGAGGATTGGAAGAATACGCTCCTCATTTTTGGTGAGTTTTTTGCAGAATACCTTACCATCTCCGGGTTTCCAAATACAATTGTTCTTCTTTTTTAGAGCGGGTTTAACGAGCCGGGCCCACACCACGAAGCCTCTACAATCATCTCTTCTGCCGCAACACCATCTCCTCACATCTCCCCCATTTCTGGTGAGCTATCCGCTCCAAATTGCTAATTTGTATGTATTGCAGATGCATCGTCGCCAACTTCAACGTGCAGTACAAATCCACAAATAATTGGTGCGTTTCTCTTCCTGTCTGTTTATCTCTCTCTATCGGAAATTGCCCTCTGCTAGATCGCCATTTTAAAGCCGAATTTTTCAGGCTAGTGGTCGCCTACCTGTTCCACTTCGTCTTCTACACATCGCGCACATTGCCGAACGTCTTGTTTGAAGGTGCAGTTCTGGGGGTGCTTATCATAGCGTAATCAATTCGGCGAGCCAATTTAGGTTGCGTAATCGGTTGTAAAAAAAAGCATTTTTTGAATGTTGGGTGATTTTCATGTCGTAATCGTTTTAAAAGCGATTTTCATAGGGTAGCCGCTTGTTCCTGATGATTTTGACGCCGTAATCTATTCATAGAGCCGAATTTACTGGCGTCACGGATTTTCCGGTCGGAATTTGAAGGCGTAATCGATTTTTTTCGGGGGATTTTCATAGCACAATCGGTTTTTAACAGCAGTTATTATTAGTAAATCTTTTGATCAAATCAAATTTGACAGTTACTAGGCTCCATTTCATCGCGTAATCGATTAGGCGGAAATTGATTTTTTGTACAGTTTTCGGGGTTTATAAGGCATTTTGGGCTGATTTTCATTTTTGGCGGGTTTTTTGCGCATTAATTATCTGTTAATTTATCTTTTTCAGGCGAATCCCGCCTCTTCCGCCACTGCTGCCCGACCCGCTCGCCTTCCATTTCGACGATTCCCCCATTACATTACTGTTCCACTGGCGTTAGGAAATACTCGGGCCCGAATTATTATTGAAAAAATTCAAGCCTTCCTCTTTTTCCTTTGATAATTTTTGCCGGCTTTTCGAGTTGCTACAGGGAGTTTATATTCTGGCTACAGCAACTAGATGTTCGCTGCCAAGGCATCGGGCTCAGGATAGGATAACGTGGATCAACGAGAAATTAAATAAGGCTTTCCTAATTTTGAAGTTTAGTTTGGTTTTAGTTTTAGTTTATGCTAGTTTTTGTATTTTGTTGCCGTTTTGCCGATTCGGGCCCGAGTATTTCCTAACGCCAGTCATTCCCCACCCCCCTTGTTGTCCCTCATTCAACTGTGTGTTGATTTCATTTCTGTTCCCCGTGTGTCCGTTCCATTTCTTTCCCCACTTTGCCCCATTTCAATTTGTCCAGTGTCTATTTCTCGAATAAAGGCTTTCCCCCCGAGCTATGAGAGGTTAATTTTGCGTTCTTATCGCAAATATATGAGCATTGTTGGGGGCTGAAATTGAAACTCCGAAAGACAAAAAAACGCACGCATAGGTGTTGGCCAGGCTTTTTCCAGGGATGTGTGCCGAGCGAACGATTTAAAGAGGGGTTATTTTAATTGGGAGTTTGGATTTTCCATCATAATGTCGAAATTAAAAAAAAATGTCGTAACTTCAGAATGTCGACATTTGTGCTGAGGATTCTGGGCAACTGGCTGATGTAAATTTCGACATTTTGAAAGAATCCCGGTAGTTTGTAGTTCTTTTTCTAAAAAATCCTAAGACTTTTTGGTTTTTATAGGTCACCGTCTTTTCGGATTTCAAAGAATTTTGCAATTCTCACGCTGATTCTCACGCTGATTGCGAATCCGCAGTCTGGTTTTCGCCGAAAGCTTTAGTTGTCGAGATTTGAGCGGTTTTCTGGGACGCCAGCTCGTTGCAGGGTGCTTTTTGGCTCCAAAAATCGGCTACAACGCGAGAATTGCTGCTCAACGCTAAAAATAAGTTGGATATTCGGCATCAACGTTGAAAAGTTTGCTAGTAAACTGGCTTTGTAATGTTTTAAAGGTTTTAGGATGGGTTTGTAAGTAATTTTCAGTTTTTTGAGGTCTTCTGACCGAATTGCCGTTTTTCTTTTTATTCAATGCCTATTATATCCTCTTTTTCATAGCCGTATTTCCAGATGGCGTCAACAGAAGCGTTGCCGACCCATTTCGACGTGATCATCCTCGGCACCGGGCTCCCCGAGATGATCATGGCGGCGGCGTGCGCGCAGGCCGGCAAAACCGTGTTGCACTTGGATCGGTTCGTCTTTAAAAAAAGTATTTAAAACTGTTTTGGGGATTCCTGAATGGTCTCTGCTAGTTTGCCCGACTTTTAGAGCACTTTTGAGATTCCTAACCCAATTTTCTGAATTTTTAGCGCATATTTGAGCCAATTTAAAGCTGAAATTACAAAAAAATAGCCAGAAATTAAAAATATTCGATTTTTAAACAATTTTGGGCGAAAAAGATCAATTTTCTAAACCTAGGCAGGCTAACAGAGATTCTTAGGGAATTTTGGAGCTAAACAAAGCTCCCGAAAATGTTAGAAAAATCAATAAAATCAGATTGGAAGGACAGGAAAATCCAAAAAATTGCAACATTTTATTTTTTGCAAGTTTTTGGCTCAAATAATAATTTCTTAGATGTTGGCATTCTAGCAGAGATCCTTTGAGAATTTTAGGGGCCCAGAAACCACATAAAAATTTCGTGAAAATGTTAAAAATGTATTTTTTTTTGCAGACGCAACTACTACGGCGGCGACTGGGCCTCGTTCAGCCTGCACACGGCGCGCAGCGAATGGTTCGACGCGCTCACACGCCAGGGCACGCCCCCTTTACCGGATGGGATTACGGTTGGGGAATCGATTACGATATGAAATTCCCCATCTTTAGTTAGAAGAAGGCGAGCAAGCGGTGATGCTTGGCTGCGAGTGCGCCGTTCGGGATTTCAGCGATGGGGGCACGATTTTGGAGGAGTGAGTTTTGCTTTAAAGGGTGCTTGAAGGCCTCAAAAATCGATTACGCTATGAAAATCCATTTTTTGCAGATGCGGCCCCTCCGCAGCCAACATCCTCGACGACGCCCACGAGAAATACAGGAAGATTCGCCGCGTTCAGTTCGATTTGATGCCAAAGGTTGGGGAATTGTTTGGAATTCCGCAAAATGTCTCTGCTAGCTTGCCCGGGTGGGCTAGCAGGGATTCTTTGAGGAATTAATCGATTACGCAACCTATTTTCCAGGTGCTAACGGCGCGAGACGCGATGGTGAAGGCACTTCTCTCTTCCGGTGTCTCGAAATACCTCGAATTCAAGCCGATCAGGAAGGTGCTATTCGAGCCCGAACCCGAGACGATGGCCTTCGAACCCATACCCCTCACCAAGAATCAAATATCATCCACCGATCGATTGAAGTTAATTTTTTTCCGGTTTTTAAAAGGTTACGGCATGAAAATAACTGGGAGAATCGATTACGTTAGCTAATTTGGCCAGAAAAATATTGCGCTATTAAATAGGGCCGAAAATCGATAATTCTAGGTAATTCGGCTAGAAAAATCGATTATATGCTATGAAATTGGGCGCAAAATTAATTATGGCATGAAATTCAGCTAAAAAAGGATTACAGCTATAGCTTACGGCATGGAAATAACGAGGAATTAATCGATTACGCCCTCCAATCCCCCATTTTTTTCAGGAGCCTGATCGACCGCCGGCGCTTCATGAAATTCCTCGAGTTCTGCACGGGGTGGAACGCCACGCAAGACCCCGCCCTACTCGAAGGTTCCCATTTTGGAAAAATCCCATTTTTAACGGTTTTTAGAGTACTGTAACCGGCCGCTGGGAGATTTTTTGACGAAGAAATATTCGATGGGGGCAGAGACGCAGGCACTGATCCATGGAATGATTGCATTGATGGCACCACAACCGACCACCTTACAGGTACAATTTCCCCAATTCTTTCTGCTAGTCTGCCCTGCCCCTGGCAGGCTAGCAGAGGTTTTTGAGGATCTAGCTAGGTGTCACTGCCCCTTTAAAATAGAAAATTCAATCGTTTAAGCTATGAAAATTGCCCAAAAACTGATATCTGGCTAAAATTTCCTCAAATTGTTACTGCTAGCTTGCCTTGGCCCTGGTTTCGATCATTTCGTTTCATTTTGGAGCCCATAAACCAATTTTTTTTGCAGGGTCTGACGGCGATCTGCCTGATCATGGACAGTGTTGGTGTCTACTGCCCGTCGCCCTTCCTATTCCCCGAATATGGGTACGGTATTGCTTTTTGTTGCTATTTTTTTAGCGATTCCCAGCCTTTGGAGCAAAAAGCAAAAAGTTTGTTGGTCCCGGGAGTCGAACCCGGGTCGTCAGGTTGGCAAGCAAGATCCACTTGGCCACGGTTTCGGCGCTGATTTTTTTTTGTTGAAAAATTCGGTTTGCTTTTTTCTGGTTTTCCGCCCTCCTGACGGCGTGAATTCCCCAAAGATCGCTGCTGGCTTGCCATTGCAAAAGGCACTATTTTCGTCCTTAGAATTTTTAGGAAAATTCGTGATTTTCCCGTTTTTCCAGATGCGGCGAGCTGCCCCAGGCGTTCGCCAGAAACGCGGCCGTTTTCGGCGCCATCTACAAGGTCGGCTACCCCATCGATCACTGCGTCATCAAGGAGGGCAGGTCAGCTAGCAGAGGCAATTTGTGGAATTATTCACTTTTAGGCTGACAGCCGTTTTGATTGAAGAGGGAAAGATCAGCTGTGACGTCATCTTCTCAGCACCGGAATATGTGCCAAAGGAATGGAGCGGAAGCAGAGATGAAGTGGATGAGAAGAGGATATATCGATCGATCGTCATCTCCAACGAGGGCGGCAATGAACTTGTCGATAAGGAGGCTGATGTCTGTTTTTCTGCTCAAAAAATCTCTGCTAGATTGCCCTGAAAATGCCGAAAAATATTTCCTTATTCAAGCGGAATGTCCGCAAAAATTCCGGTTAGCTTGCCTGTTTCCTCAAGGAACGCTGCTAGATAGCCTGGATTTCTATAAGAAACTCTGCTAGCTGGCCTGAGTTCCGCAAAGAATCGCTGCCAGCTTGCCCCCTGTCCCTGTCTTCACTAGTCCTTTAATTTTCTCGTTTTACAGGTGGCCCTGACGAGTTTCGGCGACCAAGGCGCTTCCCGTTTGATGCAAATGGGACACCGGATGACGGCACCCGGATACTGTACGTTTTTTACGTCGCGTAATCGATTAGCTGGCGGGCAAACTAGCCGAGATTCTTGCGGAATTCGCTCTCTTTTTCCAGTTGTCACCCATCTGATCGCCGACGACGAGGAATCGATCCGGAAGGCCGAGTCTCGTCTATTTCCAGGTATCCAATTTCGTCGCGTAATCGGTTTTTAAGCCTGTTTTGATAGCGTAATCTATTTTCGAAACGGATTTCATAGCCTGATCGGTTTGCTAGGGGGAATTTCGCGGCGTAATCGGTTTTCTATGGTTATTTTCATGACGTAATCGATTTTCTGAGGGAATTTTTTGCAGAATAATCGATTTTCCGGGGGGATTTTTATGTCGTAATCGGAGCCATTTTTCAGACGAACCAACACCTCTACCCTACGGCCTTCGCTTCTCCCTGCCCCCTTCGACGGATTTCGAGCCGGGCCCGTCAACCCCCTCGAATTTCCACGTGTTGCCGGGAATTGACAGGAATTTGGACTACATCCAAGTCCTCGAAAAGGTGAGGGAATTTCCGCAAATGGTCTCTGCTGGCTTGCCCCCGCTTTTGGCGAATTTCATAGCGTAATCGGTTCTCAAGTGCCCTCTGCTAGCCTACCACCTATTTTTGTCTCCATTTCCAGGTTCGCCACTCGTTCTCCTCGGTCTTCCCGGGCGTCGATTTCCTCCCCACTACCGCTGCTTCAGCCCGACCCGAAGACCCCGAATAATTGCCACATTTTCGAGATTTCCCATTGCAATACGACATGTAATTTGTGCGAATAAATCTGTGATATTTTGGTGGCGTAATCGATTTTTGGAACCTCCTTGCTGTGGGCTGAAATAATTGGTGGTGGTTTTTCTCGCTTTCTGGTTGCCAGTTCACCGTTTCTGAAAGTGTGAAGCAAAAAGCAAAACGTTGCCGCGGCCGGGAGTCGAACCCTGGTCGCCAGATTGGGTGGCAAGGTCACTAACCACTCGCCTACGAGTTTCGGCTTTGATTTTTTTGCAAATCCGTTTTTCCGGTCGTTCACTCACTCACTTCACTGTGACATGAAATTCGACTAAAAAAATCGATTCTGGCATGGAATCGGCACAAAAGCCCACGGGTTCTACCGAAATCCTAGATCGGCCTCCGAGGTAGATCGGCCTAGCGCAGATGTCAGATCTGCCCTGCCGGGGAGTGCGAGGCATGCAGATAACGATACCCTCCCCCGCTGCTAAAAGCGACAAACTACAAGGTGTGGATACGGGATTCTCCTGATTTCCAGATTTTCCAGATTCCTTGGGAATCCCGATATCGTTTCGATATTTTGCCTTTGTATTTCAAAGTTCAAAATGCTTTTTACAACTAGTTTATGCCTAAAAAAATTGTAACTTTTCTATTAATGGCGTCAAATAGTTATCATTGACGCCGGAGCGAGCAGATGGGTTCCTGGGGGGGAGGTCAAAAATTCTGGCCTAAAATTGTGTGAATGCATAGGGTTTTGGCCAAGATTTTCCTGGGGCGTCTGGCGAGCCATCTGCTAGGTCAGCGGGAATTAGGCCAAGGAGCCAGGTCAAAATCCTGGCCTAAACCTCGGCGTCGCCCGTTTCATCCCCGATATTCCGGTACTGTTCTTTTTCTGGCGGCTCGTGGTTCCTTTCCGCTGCAACGCTTTTTTATGACGTAATTTTTCGCTAAAATTGAAAAGCTTAGGATCGTTTTATCGAATCAATTTTGTAAAAACGTCGAACGTGTGGATAACTAGTTGTCGACCATGCATTCTCCCATGTGGAAACCACGGTTAAATCTTCGTTTGGCTCTAAATCCGTTAAACGAACCTTGGCATAAAGCCTTCAAAGAATCACCTAAGAAAGCCCTGTCACAGTGCGAAATGCTAAAATCTTCTAAAAACCGCCCCTTGTTAGTCTGAAATACGATGCTAATCTTCCTAGAAACCCTCATCCCCATTGTAAACCAACGCAACCCTAACTAAAATCTTATCTATTTCTTTCGGATCTCCTTCTTGTCCAAATTTCACTTTTATTTTTTCCCCTGGGCCGCCGCTACCATTACACTACCCTACACTCCACTCCTTGCGACGCGCACTTTCCCGGGCTCACCCCGGGCTAACAAGTGGACGCTTTTTACGTCCGAGTTTCGAGCTGAACCAAGCCCATCTTGTGCAGAATTTTGCGCCGACCGCGATGCGGTTCTCGAAATTTACTTAATCAACATTTCCATGAAGTTAAGGCCGATTTTAGGGTGAAACCCCTAAAATGCGGTTTTGATCGTAACTGCTTACCCAGCCTCCAGATGATCTCCTGGGACGACTTCACCGAGTTCGACCCTGCCGACAAAGTCCATCCAAGCAACAACGATCCATTGGGCATTCGGAGGGAACCGAGGTTGGCAAATCGGCTCTTTTGCATTTTCGGGGGGCGGGCGTTGGTTTTTGAAGTTTTTGATATTTTTCTCGTTGGAATTAGTTTTATTTGGCTAGAAAGACTATTCAAATACTTCTTATGAAGTTACCAGGCATTTCTAGACGAAACTAGGTGTAGACTACGTCTAGAAAATGTCGATCCCCGTCCCGATACACGGGAATCTGTCAAAATCTCGAATGTTCGGAATCTCGAAATATGCCTATGCTGGATTCATGGTGTAGGCGTTTAATTTCGCGTGCCTTTAATGCTGATTTAAACCATATTAAACCAATTTCGTGATTCTAGAAACGAGATCCTGAAAATTCGAGATTCTAATAGGTATTCCCGATAAACATCCGGTGGTATTTGGAATGTTTAGATTCGGCGTATCGGCTGATGTGTATCATCGATTCGCCTATTCGAAATTGGATGAACATCAACGACAACTTGTCAATCAACATTTACAATTTAGACAAAGGGCTCGACTACGCAAAATGGCTAAGGTATCCTTGTTGAGGGGATCTCTCTCTCTCTGTCTCTCTCTCTGTCTCTCTCTGTCTCTCTCTCTGTCTCTCTCTCTCTCTGTCTCTCATTCTATAGCTTCTGTTCTAGCTATTCGCCAGACAACCACCCATCCGCTTTCTCCTCGAGGGCCGCTACGCTTGCATCTCCATCAGCATCGAAAAAGAGAGACAGGTTTCAAATATTGAATAATTCTAAATCAACAATGTTTGAGCGGCTTTTTCGGATTCTTCGTTTTTTTGCCATAACTAATCTATTTTACATTATTTTTGGCTGAAATTGAAATTGTTACTAGATATTTTGATTATCCCTCGAATGACCTAACGAAAATGTCAACAAAAAATAGCCAGCTATAAAAAAATAGCGTTTTAGCCCCATTTTCGGAGTTTTTTGTTGTTTTTGAAGCTTAGCTTGGCTCCAGTTGTAAGCTCAGGCTTCGTTTGTATGAAGCTAATCCTGGTCTTAGGCTTAGCTTAGCTTTTCCAGAGACTTTGAATTTAAAAAAACGGCATTTGGAGCGTCTTGTGGTCAAAATCCGGACTGCCCCCGATAATGCGAAAGCACCCGGGTGTTATTCAGGGAACGCTCGGAATTCCGAGGATGTTCATTACGATCAAGCCGGCAATGACGAGGGACGATATTGATGACGTGACGATTGACCTCAATCTACCGCCTCAACCCCATAATCATTCCCGCAGCCCACAGAGCGTCGATATCACCATCAACTGTCCCGGAATTGCCATCGCGGATCGGTAACGTGTCACACAGTTTGAGCCTGGCTGCCAGTTTGCTTCCTGGGGCCTTTAAAGTCAGCTTTTGGGCCTTTAAAGGGGCGCTGAAGCTATAAATCTATAGCCTGGCTGCCAGTTTGCTTCCTGGGGCCTTTAAAACAGGTTTTTGGGCCTTTAAAGGGACGCTGAAGCAATAAATCTATAGCCTGGCTGCCAGTTTGCTTCCTGGGGCCTTCAACAGAGGTTTTGTGCTTTTAAAGGAGCGCTGAAGCAATAAATCTATAGCCTGGCTGCCAGTTTGCTTCCTGGGGCCTTGAAACAGAGGTTTTGTGCTTTTAAAGGAGCGCTGAAGCAATAAATCTATAGCCTGGCTGCCAGTTTGCTTCCTGGGGCCTTGAAACAGAGGTTTTGTGCTTTTAAAGGAGCGCTGAAGCAATAAATCTCTAGCCTGGCTGCCAGTTTGCTTCCTGGGGCCTTGAAACAGAGGTTTTGTGCTTTTAAAGGAGCGCTGAAGCAATAAATCTATAGCCTGGCTGCCAGTTTGCTTCCTGGGGCCTTGAAACAGAGGTTTTGTGCTTTTAAAGGAGCGCTGAAGCAATAAATCTATAGCCTGGCTGCCAGTTTGCTTCCTGGGGCCTTGAAACAGAGGTTTTGTGCTTTTAAAGGAGCGCTGAAGCAATAAATCTATAGCCTGGCTGCCAGTTTGCTTCCTGGGGCCTTGAAACAGAGGTTTTGTGCCTTTAAAGGGACGCTGAAGCGATAAATCTATAGCCTGGCTGCCAGTTTGCTTCCTGGGGCCTTTAAAACAGTTTTTTGGGCCTTTAAAGGGACGCTGAAGCGATAAATCTATAGCCTGGCTGCCAGTTTGCTTCCTGGGGCCTTTAAAACAGTTTTTGGGCCTTTAAAGGGACGCTGAACGTTCAAATAGGAAATCTTACAGAAAGACTTGGCGAACGCCTGGATTCGACCCCTCCTACCTTTGTATTCTTCCCGGCAGGTAACCATACCATTTTTGATCCCAGATAATTGCTCCCATTTTTGCCGGTTTTCCTCGAATTTTTGGCTAAAGAAACTCTTTCATAAGGTCCCAATTTACCTATTATAAAGAGAGGGACGCTGAAAACTGCTAATTTTCATGGAAAAACTCGAAAATATTGATTTTTTTTTTGTGCCGAGAAAGGCCGGCTTTTTGACCGAAATTTCGTTGTTTCTAAGCATGCTAAGCAAACCCATAAAAACTATATATGTGCAGCCGAATTTGCGAAGCAAAATACTGCAAAAAAATCGTTGTTTTTGAGACATACACCATATTTCAGCCCGGGAGCCTTGGGAAGGTTCGGCCGAAAAGGAGCGACGAATTGGAGGATTCTGGAGGGAGTCACGAAATGGATGATGGGCAGACGGCTGAATATACAAATCGATCAAGAATTAGCCGAAACCCAAAGCGTCAGTTCCTCTCTCTCTCTCTCTCTCTCTCTCTCTCTCTCTCTCTCTCTCTCTCTAGCTCTCTCCTTCGCCTTACTGGCGGCCAAAGAACAGGTTGTGAATGTTTGAAACAAAAGCAAAGACCCAGCCCTGCTAGGGGGGGTAGAACCCGATCCACCAAGGACACAGCGTTATCTATCGGCTCATAAACTAATTTTTCTAACTTCAAAGTCTGGCTTCTTGGCTGCCAGTTAGCCGATTCTAAAACTTTCAACCAAAAAGCAAAAAGTCCGCCGCGGCGGGGAGTCGAACCCGGGTCGTTGGATTGGTAGGCGCGCACACTACCACTTCACCACGGTTTTAAACGCAGAATGTTTTTGGGAAATTTGTTTTTAAAGCCATAAATACCTCCGGGCCCATGTTACTAATCATTGACTTATTAACATTCTTTTCAGCCTTTACCGGACGGGCTGAAGGACCTTCGACTTTTCCGACGGCAAAACTTTGCAATCTGCCCCGTATTTGGAGACAGGGCCCGTGTGAAGACGAGGTACGGCGATCAGAGAGAAAGAGAGAGAGCCAGAGATAGAGGGAGAGAGAGAGAGAGAGAGAGAGAGAGAGAGGGAGAGAGAGGGAGAGAGCGTGAGAGGGAGCGAGAATGAGAGGGAGAGAGAAAATTCTCCCATTAACCCCTTTGTATTCTTTGTATTTTCAGCAGTCTCGAGCTGGATTATTGGCTTCTATCGGGCACATGTCCCGATCAGGTTAGTCTTTATTTTGATAAATCTTCCTTTCTTTCTCTCGAAGTTCATTTCGACAATTTCTGCCCTCAGAAAAAGCAGCCGAAAAAGCCAAGGACGCCCAAAAAAAAGACACTTTTTAGGCAATTGTCATAGCAATGAAACGGACGGCCGAGGAATATCTCAACGTCTACAAGGATGCGTTTGATAAGGTATGTCATCTCTCTCTCTCTCTCTCTTTCTCTCTCTCTCTCCCTCCCTCCCTCCTCTCTCTCTCTCTCTCCCTCTCTCTCTCTCTCTCTCTCTCTAGGAGTCGCTTTACTGCCTGCCAATTAACCGATTCTAAAAGTTTCGCGCAAAAAACAAAAATTCCGCCGCGGCCGGGAGGCGAACCCGGGTCATCAGATTGGTAGGCCCAGCCGCTAACCACTAGGCCACGGTCTTGAAGGCCGTTTTTTCGCGAAATCCATTTGTCTGCCCTCCACACAGTCTAAATTCAATTTCCAGCTGATCAACACCCAGTTTCTCCGCTTCACGCAATGCTATTCGGCAGTGAATGATTGTCTCGAATCCGTTTCAATTATTCCACAACTCGTCCATCATATTCTTCAATCTGTAAGTCGACAAATCGATCGATTGTCGGTATTCTACAGTATTCCCCACGTCTCTTTCTTTCTTTCAGCCTCTCCCATCAACCCCTGACCGTCGTCGTCTCGTCATTATTGATACACAGATTAGCGCCAATCCACTGCCACAGGTCTGTTAATTATACTGTAGTATACTGTAGCGTATTGTAGCGTACTTTGAATGATTTTTACAGGAGAAAATGGATGGAGTGAAGATGGAAATGGAGAGAATGATGGAAGGATTGATGGAGGAGATGGACAACAGAGGATATCCAGATGTACAGGTAGGGAGAGAAAGCTAAAAGAATGAACTATCCAAAAATCAAAGTCGAAAACCGTGGCCAAGTGGTTAGTGGCGGCGCCTTCCAATCTGACGACCCGGGTTCGACTCCCCGCCGCGACAGACTTTTTGCTTTTTGGCTCAGATTTTCAAAAGCGACTGTGGCGGCCAGAAAGCTGAAATTCACTCTAAAAGTTAAATTATGATCCGATTACGCAATGTTATCAAGCCTCGATCCCCTCATTTCCCGCCATTTCCAGATTCACACCCTCGATGAAGATCTACCGCCTCGTAAATCGTCCTGGTTCGGGCAATTCTTCCCAACTGGCATCCAACTAATCATTTCACAACAATACCAAGCATCTCTTTCTTCTCAATCCATATCTACAACAACTCTAATCAGCCATCAGGTATATATTCATTACAGTACCCCCCCATTACCGTAACCCTCTCTATATATATCATTTCAGCTTCCCTCGGCCATCGGATATCGGGCGCTACCGATTACGGCATGTAATGTCCGGCGAATTCGACGACGATTCCCCGCCCACCAACAATCGATTACGCCATGAAACTTGCCGATAAAGATTTATCGTGTTATTATCGTAATCTGGCAGCCAGACTACAGACTACATCCATTAAATCGAGACTACAGACTAGAGAGAGAGAGAGAGAGTGAGAGAGAAAGAGAGAGAGTGAGAGAGAGGGAGAGAGAAAGAAAGATATTTTGCGGATATCTGCAGCTAACAGCGCTAGGAAGTGCGGTCGATTAGAAAAACCAGTCCTTCCCGGAGCTGCCCCCTCCCCCCTGGCTATTGATCGTCTTTTCCTGCGGAGAGAGAGAGAGAGAGAGAGAGAGAGAGAGGGGGAGAGAGAGTGGATCATCATAGCCCTGTCATATCCATCCGCACGCCTATTATCATCTTTATCGCGATGTTTTTGCCTCATAGGATCTCTGCTAGCCTGGGCGGGCAAATTTTGGGGTTTCCTAAAGAAACTCTGCCAGCATGCCCCATTTTCCTCCAAAATTTTCGCCAAAAAATGTCGAAAAAGTGGGAAACCCCGGCATTTGTCGGTTTTTTTGCGAAATTTCGGTTTCCGCAAAGAATCCCCGCCGGCTTGCCCACTCGATTTTTATTTTCCTAAAGAAACCGTGCTGGCATGCCCTCCTATCATTGAAAATCTGTATTTCAGGGTTTGCAAAAATGTCCGAAGAAGAAGCGGAAATATTCTACCACGCGGCCGAAGGAGCACTGGTACTGGGCTCTTAGCGGGGGGTAATTTTTGCTTTTTTTCGCGTAACAATAATAAAGTGTGTATTTTGGTTCTGTTATTGCTAAAAGTTCTACAAAATTTTTGTTGTAAATTTTCCTACCTCAAAGCTGTCTCACGTAGAGATTACTGGGAAAATCAAAATGCCCCCCCCGCTAATAGACCAGGGACAATTTTTTCGCGTTTCAGAGCGACCTCGAGAAGCACATCAAGCGATACCCAAGCTCGTTGCACTGCAAGGATCACAGGAATCGGTTCGGGTTTTCGACGGTTTTCCGCAAAGAATCGATGCTAGCTGGCCCGAAGATGCCTCAAAAACCGGGCAAACGAGCAGAGATGCCTTGTGGAAATGGCCGATCTTATTTTAGCACCCCGCTCTTCCACGCGGCACTGACGGATCGCGAGAAGAATGCCCAACTTCTCATCAAGTCAGCTTTTCACGTCGTAATCGATTACGCCACGAAATTCAGACCGTTAATTTGATGTCGTAACCGCTTATTTAGCTCGCGTAATCGGCGAGCTTTTTCCATTTGTTTACGTAATGAAATTTGGGTCCGATTTTCATGGCGTAATCAATTATTTAAATACCATAATCGTGCGTTTTCTATTCGATTATGCCATGAAATTCCGACAAGCTGTTTTCATCGCGTAATCGCTAATTTCCGAAATTAATTACGCCATGTTTTGGAGGGCTTGATTTTCCTGCCGTAATCGATTACGCCTTGAAAATTAGGGCTGGATTTTCATGGCGTAATCGGCGATTTTCGAAATAAATTACGCCATAAAATCTAAAATAGAAATTTGCTATCGTAATCGATTACGCCATTAAATCCCGTTCCCGATTTTCATGGGGTAATCGATGATTTACGTAGCGTAACCGATTCAGAAAGGGCCTGACGTGGTGGGACGAGGATTCGACGGGGGCCACGCCCCTCCACTGGGCCGTTCACGCCGGAGCCACGCGCATTATTCGGCTCATCCTCCATCACCAGCACACGCCTACGGTATTGCCAAATTGTCTCGGCTAGCTGGCCAGTGGCCAAACTGGCATCCACCCTATCGATCCCCACCCCAAAAATCACGCTGGGCAAGCTGGCAGAGACCATTTCCGGGGGGCACCTGATTTTGGCGCAAAGAATCGCTGCCAGCTCGCTAGGGCAGGGTCAAATGGTCTCTGCTAGCTTGCCATTGGCATAACTGGCTGCCCGTCTATCGATTGACAATCCCCAAATGGTCTCTGCCAGCCTGCCTGCCTCCTCAGAATCGATTACGCGTGGAAATTCCGAGAAATTGACAAAAATCAAGATTCATATTCGATTACGCCATTAAAATGTCTCTGCTAGCTTGCCAACCGTTAACCAGGCTGCCAGTTCACCGAGTGAAAATCCCCAGATGGTCTCTACTAGCCTGCCTTTTTCAGGGAATGCACCCGTGCCTGCAAAAGGATAAAGATGGGGTGACGCCAGTCCATATTGCCGCCAGAAGACCCTCGGATAAGGTGTTGAAGGTACGGGAGGTAGATTTCCGCAAAGAATCCCTGCTAGCTGGCCCCTTTAAAAAAGATTTTTTTGCTTTTTAAAGGACCATTGAAGGCAAAAATCGATAGCGAGGCCATGGATTCTCGCTTGCTAGCCCCTTTAAAATGAAATTTAGATGGTTTAAAGGGCCATTGAAGGCAAAAATCGATAGCGAGGCTACGGATTCTCACTTCCTAGCCCCTTTAAAATGAAATTTAGATGGTTTAAAGGGCCATTGAAGGCAAAAATCGATAGCGAGGCTATGGATAATCGCTTGCTAGCCCCTTTAAAACGGAATTTTTGCCTTTTAAAGGAGGGTTGAAGGCACCGCATTTCCAGATGCTAGTCGACGCGCTCTCCTCTGAAGGCAAAATCATGGACGGGCGGGCGCTTCTCGATGGAAAGGACCGATCGCCCCTTCATTATGCCGCTGCCGCCTGCAGCTTCCAGTGCTGCCAATTTCTCATTGGTAATTTTCACGCGAAGTCTCTCTCTCGCTCTCTTTCTCTCGCTCTCTCGCTTTCTCTCGCTCTCTCTCTCTCCCTCTCTCACTCTCTCGCTCTCTCTCTCACTCCTCTCACTCTCTCTGTGTCTCTCTCTCTATCCTTCTCGCTCTCACTCTCTCCCTCCCTCTCTCTCTCTCTCTCTCTCTCTCTCTCTCTCTCCCTCTCTAAATATGGTCTCTCCTCAGATTCGCCCGTGCTGAACCTGCTCGTCGACCAGAAGGACGTCTACAAGCAGACACCGTTGATGTGTGCCGCCGGGGTCAGATTGCCACAGGGTACGAGAGTTTACGGGGGCGTGGTCCATCCGTTTTTTTTCAGCTGTAAACGTCGTCCTTCTTCTTGGCCGTCGAAAACCTGTCGCCGTCTCCGCTCGAGCTGTTGATGGCCAAACCGGTACGGTAGCTTCGCATTTACATGGCGTAATCGTTTATGTAACTTGCGCGCACGCTTTTGCAGCCCAAACGGACATATCGTGGCATAATCGATTACGTCGTGAATTTCAGACGTTTTTTTACGTCCTAATCGGTTAACTGACACCCGGGGTTTCAGCCCTGCACCTCGCCGTCGCCGCTGACAACATCCCGGTGATTGATGCCCTCCTTGATGACCTCCAGACCCCCTCAGATGTCGGTTTTCTTGTGGATTGTTGCCTTCAACGGCCCTTTAAAATGTTGGCCGGATGCCAGATTGTTAACTGACAGCCAGGGAATCGAATTCTGACTTATACGGCCCTTTAAAAGCCTCGCCGAAAAAAATTATTTTGAGGGTAGCTGAAATCACGTGGATTGTTGCCTTCAACGGTCCTTTAAAGCTGTTTTTACAGAATAGGTGTACTGTCAGACAGATTAGCTATCTAGAAATTTTGCAGCTGCAAGGGCCCTTTAATTCGGAGAAAATTCGGTTTCTAGGCGATCGACCAGGACTTCCGGATGCCCCTCCACTACGCGGCTGATTTTGGGAACATCACTGCGATAGAGCGGCTACAGGCGAGAGGCGCCAGAGATGGAAAGGACAAGTAAGAGAGAGAGAACGAAAAACAATTTAAACGTGGTCAAGCGGTTAGTGGCCGGGATTGCCAGTCTGACGACCCGGGTTCGACTCCCGCCGCGGCAAACTTTTTGCTTTTTGGCCTAAACTCTCAGTTTCGGCTAACTGGCAGCCAGGAAGTAAAAGAACGGGAAAAAGCAATCTACCCGGCGCTTTCTAAAAGCTTTTCAGGTCGTAATCAGTTTTCGGGTCGAATTTGATGGCGTAATCGAATGTGAAAACTTGCGTTTTTCCAGTTTCGGCGTCTCGTGTGCGCATTACGCTGCCCAGAACAGCGCCAAGGCGATGGCACTGCTGATGAGGAACGCGAAGGGGCAAATAAAGGTGCGGAATCGGTTACGCGATGAAATTCTAGCTGTCACGGCCCCTTTAAAGGGGGAAAACTTGCAGAGAAACTTGTGGAAAAGTAATCTGTCTCGCAGAGACCAGTTGCGATCCGATTACGCTATAAAACGGGTCAAACTAGCAGAGATTTTTGAGGAATTTCTTCCCTGGCTAGCAGAGATCATTTTGGGAACCGATTACGCGTTGAAAAAGCAGGGAAACTAGCAGAGATTTTTGAGGAATTTCTTAACTGGTTAGCGGAGACCATTTGGGAACCGATTACGCGATGAAATTCTAGCTGTCACTCCCCCTTTAGGAGGTGAAAGACCGTGAGAATCGCAGCTGCTTCATGTGGGCCGTCGTCGCCGGAAATGTGGACGCCGTCGAGTTTTTGCTGCAAAACTGCCAGCCGGCCAGGAACGAGCTGGTCAGTGAGGCCACCTTTTTCGCCTCCTGGCCCCTTTAAAATGACTGTATCACCTTTTAAAGGGCCATTGACGTAAAAAAACTGGGCGCGGTTGATGGATTTTTGGCTTCCGGGCCCCTTTAAACCATTTTTGGAGCTTTTAAAGGACCACTGAAGTCAAAAACTGGGCCCGGCTTTTGGGTTTTTTTGGGTTCCTGGCCCCTTTAAAACAAATTTATCTGATTTAAAGGGCCATAGAAGCCAAAATTTCGAAGCCACGCCTATTTTTTTGGGCTTCCCGGCTCCTTTAATACGATTTTACAGCGTTTAAAGGACCACTGAAGGCAAAATCCCCGGGTTTCAGGACAGCCACGGCCTGACAGCGCTCCACCTGGCCGCCCTGATGGGAAATGAGCGGATGTGCAAGCTGCTGGTGAAGCAGGGATGGCAACTCGCCGTAGGCAGACATTTTAAAGGACCATTGAAGGCAGCAAGGGGGCGTGGCTTCTCGATTGTGACCTCACAGCCCCTTTAACCGCTTTTTCTGGCTTTAAAGGCGCATTGAAGACAGAATTTCATGGCATAATTGTCAAGGCAGGGCGTGGCAAGCTAGCAGAGACCATTTGCAGGGTGGCGACAAAAACTTTGCGACGCCGATGCATCTGGCGGCCGGCAGGGGCCATACGGATGTGGTGTCGTGTCTCGTGACCGCTGGCGCGGACATGAAGGCGACAGATTTTATGGAGAGGTGAGAGAGAGAGAGAGCGAGAGAGATACAGCTTCCCTCATTTTCTCGAAAAATCTAAAACCCATGGCCGAGTGGTTAGTAGTCGCGCCTACCAATCTGACGACCCGGGTTCGACTCCCCGTCGCGGCGCGGTTTTTTGCCTTTTGGATCAAACTGTCAGAATCGGCAAACTGACAGCCAGAAAGCCTGGATCCTCTAGAAAAATTAGATTTTGAGCTGATTACGCGATGTTATTAGGGGCTCGGGTTCGACCCCCGCCCGCGGCAGACTTTTTGTTTTTTTGCTTTAAACTGTCGGAATCGGTTATCTGGCAGTCAGTAAACCAGAGAAAGTGAGGGCGAGAGAGAGAGAGAGAGAGAGAGAGAGAGGGAGAGGGAGAGAGAGATCAAGAAAGACTACGAAATACACCTCCTTCCAGAACGGCCATCTTCCCGGCGTGTTTCGGCGGTCAGGCTCACACCTTGTACGTGATGATACGCGAGCTGGGCTTCGAGTGGCGCACCACTGTCGATAATCAGGTAGAAACGGCAAGATAGCAGAGATCATTGCGGAATCGATTACACCCGAAAACCCAACGGAATTCCTAGCTGTCAAGCTCCCTTTAAAATCGTCAACCAGCAGAGATTTTTGAGGAATGTCTAAACTGACTAGCAGAGATCACTGGGGATCGATGACTTCATGAAAAAAGGTTCAATTTCTAGCTGTCAATCTCCCTTTAACCTGGGCAAACCAGCAAAGACCCTTTGCCAAATTCAGGTTCGCCCTATTGCCGACGCGATGGGCCGCACGCCACTGCACGCGGCCGCCTACGCCGGCTTCTCCCACTGCATCACACAGATGCTGAAGGCAAGTGTCACGCTCCCTTTAAAACCTGGACTTTGGGGCCAAGAATCGCTGCTAGCTCGCTTTGGCTATGTCAAATTTTTCCTGCTAGTATGCCACTGGCCTATCTGGCTGCCAGTCTATCGATTCGCACCCTTAAAAAGTTCCCGGCAGGCTGGCCGAGATCATTTGCAGGGGGTACCTGATTTCCGCAAATGCTCTCTGCTAGCCCGCCCATTGGTTTAGATCGAAGAAGAGGACGCGACATCGCTCTGTATTCCCCTTGTTGGTGCCGTTGATCATAATGGGGAGACGGCGCTTCATGTGGCCGCCACCCGGGGTACGGTAACTGGCGGGTGTCACCGCACCTTTAAACTCGCTTTTGAGCTGTTTAAAGGGCAATTGAAGTCTGAATTCCCAGGCCTGGCTGCCAGCTGACTTCTTGGTACCTTGAAAAAGCATTTTGGGGTTTTTAAAGGGCCGGCGAAGCCGGAAACCGCCATGGATTTTGACTTTCCAGGCCCTTTAAAAGCTGATTTCAAGATTTTAAAGGTCCATTAAAAGCGAAATCTGTAAACTGGGCCCCAGTTGGCTTCGAGGTGTCATTAATCTAATTTTTTGGGAGTTTAAAGGACCACTGAAGGCAAAAAACGGCCCTGTCACCACCCCTTTAAAGGCCGCCTCGACTGTGTGCTCGTGCTCCTCAACAATGGGGCAGCCATTAATGCGCTGGACAACCAGCTGCGGACACCGTGGAAATGCGCCGAGGATGCAAAACAGAAAGCGGTACGATTTTTGTAACGTTGACAAAAATTCCAAAACTCAATTTTGAAAAACCCCGCTTTTTCGGGTTGAGGGCATCAAAGGTTTTTGTATTCTGTAGTCTGGCTGCCACCTTAGCCAATCAAACCGAAATCCAAGTCCACATTCAAAAAAGCAAAATGTTGCGCCTGGGCCGGGGTTCGAACCCCGGTAGCGCGCTTGGGGGCCGTTTTGTAGTTTGTAGTCCGCCAATGGGGGGTTGTATTGTGTAGTCTGGCTGCCATCTGAGGCATTTGAAGCAAAATTTCTAACCAAACCCCGAGAAATCAAATTCTAACAACACGAAATGCAATATTTTGAGGTGAGCGACCACTTGAGACACGAAGGAGCCCTCAACTACGAAGAACTCAGCGAACTCGCCAAGCTCATCATTGGCAAATGGCTTTACCGAATTATTGTGAAACGCCGGAACCGCAGACAATGAATTTCGTGTCGTAATCGATTGGGGAAAACCGCCAATCGATTACGCCATATAAATGCCCCGTTTTTTGCGAATAAACATTGATTTTGAGCGGCGAATTGGCTAAACTGCCAACCAGACGACAAACTACATCAACGATATTGACTACAAGCGCTGGATTTGTTGGCGTAATCGACTGGGATGGAAGCGACGGCCGCCAGTCGATTACGCCATATAAACGATTTTTGTTAATAAGTCTTGATTCTGAGTGGCGGATTGGCTAAACTGCCAGCCAGGCTACAAAATACAAACATTGCACCGAGACTGCAAACTACAGAAAAGCTACCAGGCACACGACCCGGGTTCGACCCCCGCCGCGACTAACATTTTGCTTTTTGCGTTTTTTATCGGGATTTTCGATGGGATGACCAAGCTGGCAGCCAGACTACATACTACAACCATAAACCTAGGCTACAAACTACGGAAGGCCCCTGGCCCCCTAGCAAACAAGCAGGTGACATGTGCGGAATTTTTGGCACCATTTTTCCAGTTTTTCCGCGATTCCAGTTTCGTTGTGATCCAGTTGCAACTGTGGTGCGTAATATTTGTCTATCCTGTCATGGATGGCCTAGATATTCCGGCTGAATACTGTTGACATTGGCATCGCCCGGGGGAGGTCGTGCTCTCTCTCTTTTATCCTCAGGCTCCCCGCGATTTTTGGAGTTTCATCTTTTCATACGATTCTATGGATTCCACAGTGCCCTCTGCTCGCTTGCCTCTTTGTTCTGCATTTTCAAGGGACTGGGAAGCCAAAAAAAGCTAACCAACTACAGCCCTCACTGCCTTCAATGGTCCTTTAAAATATATTTTTCCGCCAGAAATAGATGAACTGGCTGCCAGCTAGCTTGCTGGTACCCTTAAAACCAAGCTTTTGCAAATTTAAAGGACCGCTGAAGATAAAACAAGGGGGTACCTGAAATCGAGGAATCAGGGCAAGCTAGCAGTGATTCATTGGGGAACCAGGGAACTTTTGGAGCTTTTAAATCGTTTAGTAGCTTCGCTGGCAGCCAGTTAACATCTTGTAGTTTTTAAAAGTCAAATTTTGCCGTTTTAAAGGGCCATTGAAGGCTAAATATAGGAGACCTGAATCAGGGCCAGCTAGCCGGGATTCTTTGGGGAATTCGGAGGGAGCTGCGTGGTGGAAAGGACGACGCCACGCCAAAATGGAGGCCACTTTTTCGGGGGAATGGTGGTGAAAGGGGTTAAAGGGAGGGGAAAGGGACAAATAGTACCCCTCTCCCCTTTTGTACTCACTGCCCCACATTTCCATACCCATTTAGGAGGGGGGTTAGGGCGATACTATGCGGCTCTCGACTAGACGCCCCTCCAATCTGACTGCCAGCTAGGCGATTCCCCAAAGAATCTCGGCTAGCTTGCCTTTGTGGACGGTTTTCAAAAATTCGGGCACCCCGTCTCATTTTTGCCTTCAACGCTCCTTTAAAATGTTCAAAATTGAATTTTTAACGCGGCCAGTGGATAAACTTCTGCCAGCTAAGCTAATGCGAAACAACTTTAGAACCTTGGAAGCTATTTCGATGGTTTTAAAGGACCAGTGAAGGCGGGGCGGCTATGAATTTCTCGAATTTTTTTACTTTCCGGTCCCTTTAAAAGGCCTTGATGAATTTTTCTATGATTTCCAGGCTATATCGAGAGTGATGCGATGAGCAACAGCGTCTATTTTTTGCTCATTCTCGCCAAGTTCAGCCAGGTCAATTTTTCAGTTTTGATTTTAATTTTTTTTATTCTTTCGTTTATTAAACTTTTTATTTTTTAATCATATGATTATTTTTGTAGTTTGTCGTCGCGCACGGAGGAGGAGCAGGAGGAGGAGCTCTCGTCTATCCCTCGATAATCCCCCTCAGCCCGTCACCACTAAAAGTTGGTTCTTCCTGCGGACAGGCCTCGCCCGGTTTTGCCTTCAATGGCCCTTTAAAAGCCGCAAAAATCACTTAAAGAGACTGCGAAGTTAAATCCATAGGCCACGCCTATTTTTTTTGCCTTCAAGCGGCCTTTAAACGCGGAAAAATCGGCTTCTGGTACCAAAACGCCCAAAAGGGGCGTGGCTTCCGGATTTTGCCTTCAGAGACCCTTTAAAGCGCGGAAAAATTGATTTCAAAAGGACTATCAAGTCAACTGGCTGGCAGGCTGGCCAAGATTCTTGAGGATCACGATCCCTTTCCAGTTTTCCCGTTTCCTCGACGTGCGCCGTTTCCCCAGCCGCCGTCGTGACCCGCCGGCTTTTCGTGAGTTTTTAAAGGCGTCATGACAGCGCGTGCTCACTTTTTTAGGGTTTAACACCTAAGCTGGCAGCCAGTTTACTGATTTGCGCTGGAAAATTCGCGCAGGCAAGCTAGCAGCGAACATTTGCCGGGGTACCCGAATTGATATTTTCTGGATTTTCATGTCGTAACCTGTTTTCCCGGCCATTTTCTTGCAAAAACTACAGTATGCCTTTAACTGGCAGCCAACAGACCCAGTATTGTCGAAAAATCCGCCTGGGCGTGCTAGCAGAGACCATTTGGCCGGGGGGTACCTGAATTGAGAATTTTGGACTTTTTCGGGTGGTAATCGACTCTAAATCTCAAAAAATGTAGTAGTAACTACAGTATGCCGCTAGCTGGCTAGCATTGCGCCGGAAAATGCAAAAAAACGCTACCTTAACCCAATCCGGTCCGTTACAGTACCCCCGAAGGCGGTGTGCGGGCGGGAGTACATCGGAATCGAGCTGGCCTCGCCCTTTTCGGGCCGGATCTTCGCCTCGCATCGCGAAGACCTGCCCCACTGCTCAAAGCTATTCCACGCGGTAGGCCACGCCCACTTTTTGCCTTCAATCGACATTTAAAACCCTCAAAAATCGGTTTAAAAGAGCCAGCAAGGCAAAATCCATCAGCCACGCCCACTTTTTTTGACTTCAGGCGTCCTTTAAAGCTCGGAAGTTCGAGTTCAAGGACCCGGAAAGCCAAATCCTATAAGCCACGCCCACTTTTTGCCTTCAAGCGACCTTTAAAAGCCACAAAAATCGGTTTCAAGGGCCCAGCAAGTCAAAATCTTGAGCCACGCCCACTTTTTTGCCTTCAAGCGACCTTTAAAAGCCTCAAAAATCGGTTTCAAGGGCCCAGCGAGTCAAAATCTAGAAGCCACGCCCCCTTTAGGCCCCGGCCGCCCGTCTGACGCTGATGCTGAACGACACGGAGTGTGGCGTACACCGCAATACTACGGTAGGCCCCGGATGTTGCACGTTTTAAAGGTAGCGTGACACCTAGGCGGGCTAGCGGAGAAAATTCAGGAAATTCCGACAGATTGCCTAGCAAAAAAAAATCGTAAAAATCGCGTTTAAAGGGAGTGTGCCAGCTAGAAATTCGTTTTAGGACCCGGCTACCGTAGCCTCCGACGTATATACCGTACGCCTGGTCGTCTCGTTCTCGTTTTCCGCCCTCACCGAAGACGATCGAATATTCCAACTGCGATGCGTCCATCATCGTGGAGGAGAGCGAAAAGATGTGCGATCGATGCAGGCATTCTACGATGCACAGTGAGGCATTTTTCGCATTTTAAAGGCCCGTTGAGGTCACGGATTTTGGCGAAAACGTTGGAATATGGAAATTCTGAGCTCAGATTCGGATTCCGCACCCAATTTTAGATACGAGTTGACTTTTAAAAAGACGAAAATTGATTCTGAGATCGCGAGAATTCGATATTTTCGAATCGATTACGCCATGTAAACTTAGAGCTTCAAAATTCGGGTTTTTCGATGTTTTCTTATTTGTTGCTAGTCAGTTAGCCGAATGGCAAGCTAGCAGGGGCAATTTGACCATTTAGAGGCGAGTTAGCAGAGATTCTTTGACGCAAAAAATCAGCTGCTATCCAATTGTCGCTGCCAGCTTGCCCAGGCGAATTTTTAGTACTTCGTGGGGCTGTAATCGGATAGTATGGCTGCCAGTTTAGCCTCAGCCATCTTAAAACCGAGGCCCCGCCTCTTTTAAAGGGCCGCTGAAGGGAAAATCGTGAAACTTAGAGACGTCGTGCGGCATCAGCTGCTCACCTCTTCTGATGCCCCAAAATGCCACTACTCGCTACACCTCAATACGCTCGATGGCGGGGCGGTGAATAACGCGAAAGTTGGCGATATGGTGGGTACGGAATTCCGCAAATCGACTCTGCTAGTTGCCGAGTTGTGGAGAGGCTAGATTTTGGCGCAAATAATCGCTGCTAGCTCGCCTGGGGAGGGCCAATGGCCTCTGCTAGCCTGCCATTCTGCAAACTGGCAGCCAACCTATCGATTCACCTCTTTCAAACATTCTTTGCATGCTAGCAGAGACAATTTGCCGAGGGGTACCTGATTTGGGGCAAAGAACCGCTGCTAGCTCGTCCGGAAAACGTCAAACTTTCTATGCTAGCTTGCCAATGGCCTAACTGGCATCCAGCTAAACTATTCGCAACTCCAAAATGGCCTCTGCTAGCCTGCCCGCACTCTTCGGGGGGTCAATTACGCTTTCAATTCCCAGTCAAACTGTCAAAAACTAAGAACCCTATTCGATTACGGCAGCAAATTTTCTCTGCTAGCTTGCCATTAACTTAGCTGACTGCCAATTGATGCTGCCGAAATTCCAAAATGGTCTCTGCTAGCCTGCCCATGTGTCACTCCACCTTTAACTCAAAATTTCAGATATTCCACCGTTGGGAGTGCGGGAAAAGCGGCGATTTCCGGTTCCGCGTCTACCGCTGCTTCGTCCACAATGGCCATCGGCAGTCATTTATGCTCGTCGACGACAATGGGTACGGTAGATCGTTAAAAAGCGATTATTTCATCGCGTAATCGGCTAAAATCCCCGAATTTCGCAGAATTTCAACGCTTAAGGGTTTCTGGAAAAGGGGGCAGGCTGGCAGAGACCATTTGGGAAGTGTGGATCGATGAACTGGTTGCCAGTTTAGCGAATGGGCAAGCTAGCAGAGGAAATTTAGATGTCGTAACCGGATAGGAGCCCTTGTCGTTTTGGCCTTTTCTTGGAATTTCAACGCGTAACCTATCCCAAAATCGCGGACAGGCTAGCAGAGACCATTTGGGAAGAAGGGAATCGATGAACTGGCTGCCAATTTAGCGAATGGGCAAGCTAGCAGGCACAATTTGATCTTGGAACGGAGTGCTAGCAGCGATTCTTTGACCGAAAATCAGGTACCCCTTTAAATGTTCTCTGCTTGCCTGCCCAGCTAAGTTTTTGAAGCGCTGCAGCGCCAGACTGGCTGCCAGATTAGCGATTGGCAAACTAGCAGAGAAAATTTGCATGTCGTAACTGCTTTTTTCAGGTGTTCTCTGGACGAGACGATCCTCCCCCACCCAAAATACGACGAGACCAATGGTGTCATCTACGCGCCGGCAAAGGCGTTTCGATTTTCCCGGTAGGCCACGCCCCCCGTTTTCGCCTTCAATCGGCCTTTAAACGAGAAACTTTTGCTTTTAAAGGGACCAGGAAGGCAAACACCATAGAAAGAGCGTCTCTTTTCGGCTTCAATGGGCCTTAATGTAGAAAATTACGATTTAAAGGAACCGGAAGACAGAATCCATAGCGGCCACGCCCCCTTTTTCGCTTCAATGTGCCTTTAAAAGCCAAATTTTCGTTTTAAAGGGACCGGGAAGGCAAAATCCATAGCGGCCACGCCCCCTTTTTGGCTTCAATGTGCCTTTAGAAGCATAAATTTTGTATTAAAGGTAGCTGCAAGTCATGGAGTTTTTTTTGCAGCACGAAACGCGTCCACTTCAACTGTCTGCTGCAGGTGTGCGCGCGAGCCGACGCGGAATGCGCAAAGAGTATCGTACGTACTACACGGATATACGTACCGTAATGTGTTATACACCATTTTAAAGCCCTCGAAAAGGGCTACAAAACTAGCTATTATCCATCGGAATTCCACATTTCTAGGCCGAGATTTGATCGAGTGAAGTTTGTAGCCCAAGGGCACAAACTTTAACCCATTATAACTTTTCCCAGGAATTACATAGCGTAATGATATATACACCATTCGAAAGCCCTTGAAAAACTCTACAAAACCTATACGTTTTACAGCCGCCCCATTGCCCGCGCAGCCAGCAGAAGCGGGATTTGCCGAAGAATCTGACGATCGAGGAGCGACTGATGCGAATCGGTCAGCCGATAGGTAACCGCAGACTTCCACAATGCTCTTTGCTAGCTTGCCTAGCTATTTGCAATTGACTAAACTGGCTGTCAGTCTAATGATAACCACTGAAAAAAATTGAAAATTGGTCTTGGCAAACTAGCAGAGACCATTTACGCTGGGTACCTGAATTTCGCGCCAAGAATCGCTGCTGGCTGGCCTTGAAAAAAGCTAAATTTCTTTGCTAGCCTGCCAATAGGTAAACTGACTGATAGCTTCTCAACTAGCACGTTAAAAAAATTTCTAGGCAAGCTAGCAGAGACCATTTGCCCCCAGGTGCCTGAATTTTGGCCGCCAAGAATTGTTGCTAGCTCGCCGTGGCGGGACGAAATTGTCTTGGCTAGCCGGCCAATTGCTAGACTGGCTGCCAGTTTTTCGATTTCCGATTTCAAAATGGCCTCTGCTAGCTTCCCGCAATTTTCGAGGCCGATTACGCGCGGCAATTCCAAAAAATTGACCAAAGCCGAAAATCCCATTCGATTACGGCATCAAATTGTCTCTGCCAGCTAGCCATTGGCTATACTGCCAGCCAGTCTACCTATTTTCGAGTCCTCTGCTCGCCTGCCCCCGGGAAAAATTCGTTTTAGATGGAAAATTGGCGGCGATGGACGCGACGAGGGATTTCGATGGATTGAGCAGCGAAATTCAGCCGAAAAAGGGGTGATCAAAAGGTTTTAAAATAATTTTTAAAGCTTTAGAAAAGGATAGCGGCTCTTGCCTATCCACTTCGGGGCCCTGGATTATGGCCCTGGCCATCACGAACTGCTTCACGCTGACGGTGGCTGTGGTCGGTGTTATTTGGAGGGGCAGGCTAGCAGAGAGCATTTGGGAAGTGGGAATCGCTTACCTGACAGGCAGATCGGACAATGGCAAGCTAGCAGAGAGCATTCGATGCCGTAATCGGAAAGCAGCCCTCCTTTTTTCTTTTTTTTTTGGGGATTCTAACGTGCAATTGGCTCAGAAAATCGCGGGCAAGCTAGCAGAGAGCATTTGGGTAGTGGGAATCAAAGAACTGCCTGCTATTTTGGCCAATGGCGAGCTGGCGGAGATTATCTGGCCGTTGGAAAGGCTAGCTTGCAGTGATTCTGTGACCCGAAAAATCAGGTACCCGGGCAAATGGTCGCTGCTAGTTTTCCCGAAAGTTTTTAAGAAGAGTAATCGATAGATTGGCAGCCTCGTCCTCGCTTTAAAATGGAAATTGTCGATTTTGTTTTCAGGTGGCTTGGCTGCGAATTCAGAGGAATCGGCGGGCAATAAATATCATTCAGCCGCTGCCCGAGAGAGGCCTCAAACGGACGCCGTTTTATTAAATATATTGAAAACCGGATAAATTATTTTATTGCAACATTATGGCCCTACAAACAATGCGAGAGAGCGAGAGAGAGAGAAAGTGAGAGACAGAGAGAGACAGAGAGTCAGAGAGAGCAAGGGGAGAGAGAGAGACAGACAGAGAGAGACAGAGAGAGAAAGAGAGGATTTTTTTGCCCAGGATTCGGGGGATTTGCCGGAAAAACTAGCTTATTTAATGTCGACATTCTGAAAGAAACGGCAAAAGTATGATAGGACGCGGGTGGGAATGCCCCAGGTGGGCGTGTCCTCTTCCACCGCGTTTCCGACCAATGGGAACGCGTGCACGAGACGCCGCTTCGAGTGTTTCCCCCAGCTTTTGCTCGTCCATTTTCCCGCGACCGTATTCGCAAAATCCCCCACGCTAGTCCGAACGAGAAACCAAAATTACGCACATTTTTGTACAAAACCTTCGATAAATGTCAAAAAAAATACGGGTCTGTCAGAAAATCAAAAGTAAACAGCCGAAGTATCTCAAAGTTTTCGGTATTTTCGCTTATTTTGTCGGGATTTTTGCAACGCCATTCGATAGAGCGTCGAAAAATATGCTAAGAGTTTTAATTTGAGCCTACAACAATGTAAAATAAAAAAGTTGTAGCCAAAAACTTGCGGTGGGAGGGGCGGGGGAGGTAAAGTAATGTGTAGCCAAAATAAGACCAAGCCGCGTAGCGGTTTTTCAACGCTGGTTGATTGATGATGATGATTCCTTAATTCTACCCAATATGGGCTCGGATTGCACGAAAAATAGAGCCCTGGGAAGTTTGACAAGAAACCGGCAAACCAACGAGAAAAACTTCAACGCCTAACCACAGAAAATCGCCAGAACTACTGTTCGGTCCCTTGGTCGCAAAAGATGCGCAATTCTTCGTAGAACTTGTAACCCATTTTTTGTTTCAATTTTTCGACGAAACTTTCAAGATAACCCGTGAATTATTGCAATTTGGGCGTTTTCCGTTTGGAGTGTACGAATTACACCGCGGACGGTTCCGCGTACAGAGGAGCGCCGCGTACCGAGGATTTTTCCGTGCCCTTTGCTTGGGAAATGGAATTTCGTGTGTCGCCTCGGTCCGCTGGCGGTAATTGGCGCGGAGCCGAGGTATAAATAAACTTTATTAAAATAGAAAAGTTTCAAGCTTATTCGAGGGGAGTTTTCAAGCATTTTTAGGCCCTTAGCCTATACAAAATCCTTTTGCATAACTTTCCAGCCTTTTTGAAAACTCAGTTTCGAATTTTCGCCAACCGAAAACGCTTTCTCTTTGTTTTGGGCTGGTTTCTGGGCTTTTTCTAGAGCATTTCGAGGCGCAGCGCGGGTTTCTTGCTTTTTTTGACGTTTTGAGGTGTTTATAGGCTCCAACGAACTTTATCATTTGCTTTTTAGTTGCCCGATAAAGCGAACCTCGCCTGCTTCGGCGATTCTAGAGCTTTTTCAGGCCGTTGCAGGTTTTTACAAAACTTAGGGGAATTTCGAAGCTTTGTCGAGGTTGTTGAGCCAGTGTGGCGTTTTCCTGCCCTTGCAGCACTTAATTTTGTCTTTTCGGCCTTGCTAGGGTCGCCTGTTTTCTCGTTGCCGCTGACTTTGTGCGCTTTGTAGCTTGGAAAAACCCTAAATTGCACTTTTAAAGCTTATTTTGAAAAGAAAAGGGCGGCTGTGCACCTTTGCGAAACAGGAAACGGGGAAATCGGTGAATTCGTGACAAAAAACGTTCAAGAACAGAGAATTCAAATTATAGATGTAATTTGAGTGAAAATGCGACAAATAACCCGTTTTTAGGTGGGCCGCTGGGCCGCGCGCCGAAGGAGACGGTCGAGACGGGGACCCCGGTCAGCGACGACACGGTGTGCGAGCTGTTGGAGACGAATCTCGACAAGTCCGCCTGCGCCAAAGGGCTTTATTCGTGACGGGTTCCCCAGAACCACCGTTGAGGTACTGGCTTTTTTTTGCAGCTTCGTCTCTTTCCTTCAAAAGCAGTTCAAAAAATCGTTTTTATAGCTTTTTTTCGACCAAAAAAATCGACTCTTTGCGAATAAGAATTTGTAACTTTTTGTAGCTTTTGAACAGGTTTTGTTGATGTTTTTTGACGCACTAAAATTTGAAAATTTTGGAAGAGGCTACTTGTTGAAGGAAAGAGCCGATGTTGTTTGTCTAAGAACCGCAAAAAATAAAAATGCTTTTAAACCTGAAAAATCTAGGCTTTAAACTTTAAAAAACTAAAAAGGTCAAAAATATAGTTTCGATCAAAATTCCCACTTTTTAAAACATTTTTTAAGGTTTTAGATAGTTTTGCTGGTTTAAATATATTTAGATATTCAGTCTGCTTTTTTTCGGCGCATCCGACGGTACAAATTTTCTAAAAAACTGAATTTTAGGTCGAAAAGCGTCTTTCCGCCCGAAATGATGCTACTTTCGACTTTTCCAGCATTCTCTGCCTGCTTGAAAGTTTTCTACCGCTAAATATGGCTTTAAAAGGCACAAAACATAGCAAAAACACGTTGGATTCGATTGCTGGGCTAGCCCGGCAAAAAAACTACCTCACTGGCCCGCAAATTCCAAATTTATCAGAATTTTGGAAAGAAAGTCGAAAATAGAAAGGTTTTAGGTCTAAACACCCCGGAAATATTCATAAAGTTAGTTTTAAGCCACTTTTCACGGGATGAATTGCGTTTTTTCAAGAACAGCAGAAAATATTGTAAAAACTATTTTTTAGACACTCTGCAAGGACAAGAGAAGCTTTTTCTGTCTATCGCCGCGGAAAAGGCTGCAAAAATTGTTTTGCAAATTTCGAAGTAAACGTCGCATTTTTCACGAGAAACCGCGGGATTAACGCTTTACTAAAATGATAAGCACCTTTTAGGGAATTTTGTTGTATAAACATCTCGGATTATGTGGTTAAAAGTATTTTCCTACCAATTCTGAAGGGAAAAGTCGCTTTTGTTTTGGTCTAAAGACCCGGAAAATGCTAGAAAAACTATTTTCGCTACCCAAACTGGAAATCAAAAAATGGTAAAAATTCAGCAGATTGCGTAGAAATCACATTTCATTTCATTTTAATATCGATAAACAGGAGGTTTTCAGGGTTTTCAGACAGTGTAAAAAGATGCAGCGGTTGAGCTTCCCTGCCGCGCGATATTTTGACCTTTTCAGCATAGAAAAATATTCAATTTTTTAGGCGGAAGGGCTGGGACACGATGGTGGAAAGCGGGGGCCACGCCGATGGACGGCGTCGTCGCCCCCATCGAGGACAATCGCCGCCGCCGGGCCAGTGGGAGGTCGGAAATACCACGTCGACTTCAACCCCAAAGGTATCGCATTTTTTGAAAATTGAAAAATAGGAATAGAAAAGATGCATTTATATAGCCTTTTCCAGTATTTTCCCTTTATTAAAAGCAGACAAAATATGTTAGCATCCTTACAAATTTTAAATTGTTGGAAACAGTCACATTTTTGCCTGGGCTCAGCGGAAAACACAGCGAAAATGATGCAAAAATTACCTATTTTTGGTAATTTTTGTTGTACAAATCCATTTTTTGGTCCAATAGCTTCGGAATTGTTATCAAAATAATTTTCTAGGTTATAAAAACTATTGTTCAACCTAAAAACTGTTTTTTGCAGTGGTTTGTAGGATTTTCCACTTATTTGAAGACACCAAAAATTTTCTAAATTCCAGTTTTCAAAATTTTGCAAAAAATTTTTATCTAAAGAATTTCCCAAATAGAAATAAGAACCAATTTTTTAAAGCTATTCACTTTTTTGAAATGGCCGACTTTTTAGCATGGACAACAGCAGAAAACACTGATTAAAAATCATTCTGGAAACTACTTTTCATGGAAAAGCAACTTTTCGTTGCTGATCATTACTATAAAACCTTTCTTATAGCATTTTCAAATCGAAAAATCCCATTTTTATGCAGGAAGCTCAAGAGTATTTTAAAAACTATTTCTAAACGATTTATAAAGAAATAAAAAATCGATTTTCGTCTAAAAACTCGTAAATGCTTTATAACGTATTTTTAGACAAAAAAATAATTTTAACGAGTTTTATACATCAAAACCGTCTAAAGTGCTATAGAAAATGGCATACATTTTGTTTAAGGGCCGTAGAAATTACGGGGGAAAAATGGCACCCCCCCCGCTAATAGACCAGTGCCAATTTTTTCCGCGTTTTAGAGCGACCTCGAGAAGCACATCAAGCGATACCCAAGCTCGTTGCACTGCAAGGATCACAGGAATCGGTGGGTTTTTGACGGTTTTCCGCAAAGAATCGATGCTAGCTGGCCCGAAGATGCCTCAAAAACCGGGCAAACGAGCAGAGATGCCTTGTGGAAATGGCCGATCTTATTTTAGCACCCCGCTCTTCCACGCGGCACTGACGGATCGCGAGAAGAATGCCCAACTTCTCATCAAGTCAGCTTTTCACGTCGTAATCGATTACGCCACGAAATTCAGACCGTTAATTTGATGTCGTAACCGCTTATTTAGCTCGCGTAATCGGCGAGCTTTTTCCATTTGTTTACGTAATGAAATTTGGGTCCGATTTTCATGGCGTAATCAATTATTTAAATACCATAATCGTGCGTTTTCTATTCGATTATGCCATGAAATTCCGACAAGCTGTTTTCATCGCGTAATCGCTAATTTCCGAAATTAATTACGCCATGTTTTGGAGGGCTTGATTTTCCTGCCGTAATCGATTACGCCTTGAAAATTAGGGCTGGATTTTCATGGCGTAATCGGCGATTTTCGAAATAAATTACGCCATAAAATCTAAAATAGAAATTTGCTATCGTAATCGATTACGCCATTAAATCCCGTTCCCGATTTTCATGGGGTAATCGATGATTTACGTAGCGTAACCGATTCAGAAAGGGCCTGACGTGGTGGGACGAGGATTCGACGGGGGCCACGCCCCTCCACTGGGCCGTTCACGCCGGAGCCACGCGCATTATTCGGCTCATCCTCCATCACCAGCACACGCCTACGGTATTGCCAAATTGTCTCGGCTAGCTGGCCAGTGGCCAAACTGGCATCCACCCTATCGATCCCCACCCCAAAAATCACGCTGGGCAAGCTGGCAGAGACCATTTCCGGGGGGCACCTGATTTTGGCGCAAAGAATCGCTGCCAGCTCGCTAGGGCAGGGTCAAATGGTCTCTGCTAGCTTGCCATTGGCATAACTGGCTGCCCGTCTATCGATTGACAATCCCCAAATGGTCTCTGCCAGCCTGCCTGCCTCCTCAGAATCGATTACGCGTGGAAATTCCGAGAAATTGACAAAAATCAAGATTCATATTCGATTACGCCATTAAAATGTCTCTGCTAGCTTGCCAACCGTTAACCAGGCTGCCAGTTCACCGAGTGAAAATCCCCAGATGGTCTCTACTAGCCTGCCTTTTTCAGGGAATGCACCCGTGCCTGCAAAAGGATAAAGATGGGGTGACGCCAGTCCATATTGCCGCCAGAAGACCCTCGGATAAGGTGTTGAAGGTACGGGAGGTAGATTTCCGCAAAGAATCCCTGCTAGCTGGCCCCTTTAAAAAGATTTTTTTGCTTTTTAAAGGACCATTGAAGGCAAAAATCGATAGCGAGGCCATGGATTCTCGCTTGCTAGCCCCTTTAAAATGAAATTTAGATGGTTTAAAGGGCCATTGAAGGCAAAAATCGATAGCGAGGCTACGGATTCTCACTTCCTAGCCCCTTTAAAATGAAATTTAGATGGTTTAAAGGGCCATTGAAGGCAAAAATCGATAGCGAGGCTATGGATAATCGCTTGCTAGCCCCTTTAAAACGGAATTTTTGCCTTTTAAAGGAGGGTTGAAGGCACCGCATTTCCAGATGCTAGTCGACGCGCTCTCCTCTGAAGGCAAAATCATGGACGGGCGGGCGCTTCTCGATGGAAAGGACCGATCGCCCCTTCATTATGCCGCTGCCGCCTGCAGCTTCCAGTGCTGCCAATTTCTCATTGGTAATTTTCACGCGAAGTCTCTCTCTCGCTCTCTTTCTCTCGCTCTCTCGCTTTCTCTCGCTCTCTCTCTCTCCCTCTCTCACTCTCTCGCTCTCTCTCTCTCACTCTCTCACTCTCTCTGTGTCTCTCTCTCTATCCTTCTCGCTCTCACTCTCTCCCTCCCTCTCTCTCTCTCTCTCTCTCTCTCCCTCTCTAAATATGGTCTCTCCTCAGATTCGCCCGTGCTGAACCTGCTCGTCGACCAGAAGGACGTCTACAAGCAGACACCGTTGATGTGTGCCGCCGGGGTCAGATTGCCACAGGGTACGAGAGTTTACGGGGGCGTGGTCCATCCGTTTTTTTTCAGCTGTAAACGTCGTCCTTCTTCTTGGCCGTCGAAAACCTGTCGCCGTCTCCGCTCGAGCTGTTGATGGCCAAACCGGTACGGTAGCTTCGCATTTACATGGCGTAATCGTTTATGTAACTTGCGCGCACGCTTTTGCAGCCCAAACGGACATATCGTGGCATAATCGATTACGTCGTGAATTTCAGACGTTTTTTTACGTCCTAATCGGTTAACTGACACCCGGGGTTTCAGCCCTGCACCTCGCCGTCGCCGCTGACAACATCCCGGTGATTGATGCCCTCCTTGATGACCTCCAGACCCCCTCAGATGTCGGTTTTCTTGTGGATTGTTGCCTTCAACGGCCCTTTAAAATGTTGGCCGGATGCCAGATTGTTAACTGACAGCCAGGGAATCGAATTCTGACTTATACGGCCCTTTAAAAGCCTCGCCGAAAAAAAATTATTTTGAGGGTAGCTGAAATCACGTGGATTGTTGCCTTCAACGGTCCTTTAAAGCTGTTTTTACAGAATAGGTGTACTGTCAGACAGATTAGCTATCTAGAAATTTTGCAGCTGCAAGGGCCCTTTAATTCGGAGAAAATTCGGTTTCTAGGCGATCGACCAGGACTTCCGGATGCCCCTCCACTACGCGGCTGATTTTGGGAACATCACTGCGATAGAGCGGCTACAGGCGAGAGGCGCCAGAGATGGAAAGGACAAGTAAGAGAGAGAGAACGAAAAACAATTTAAACGTGGTCAAGCGGTTAGTGGCCGGGATTGCCAGTCTGACGACCCGGGTTCGACTCCCGCCGCGGCAAACTTTTTGCTTTTTTGGCCTAAACTCCAGTTTCGGCTAACTGGCAGCCAGGAAGTAAAAGAACGGGAAAAAGCAATCTACCCGGCGCTTTCTAAAAGCTTTTCAGGTCGTAATCAGTTTTCGGGTCGAATTTGATGGCGTAATCGAATGTGAAAACTTGCGTTTTTCCAGTTTCGGCGTCTCGTGTGCGCATTACGCTGCCCAGAACAGCGCCAAGGCGATGGCACTGCTGATGAGGAACGCGAAGGGGCAAATAAAGGTGCGGAATCGGTTACGCGATGAAATTCTAGCTGTCACGGCCCCTTTAAAGGGGGAAAACTTGCAGAGAAACTTGTGGAAAAGTAATCTGTCTCGCAGAGACCAGTTGCGATCCGATTACGCTATAAAACGGGTCAAACTAGCAGAGATTTTTGAGGAATTTCTTCCCTGGCTAGCAGAGATCATTTTGGGAACCGATTACGCGTTGAAAAAGCAGGGAAACTAGCAGAGATTTTTGAGGAATTTCTTAACTGGTTAGCGGAGACCATTTGGGAACCGATTACGCGATGAAATTCTAGCTGTCACTCCCCCTTTAGGAGGTGAAAGACCGTGAGAATCGCAGTTGCTTCATGTGGGCCGTCGTCGCCGGAAATGTGGACGCCGTCGAGTTTTTGCTGCAAAACTGCCAGCCGGCCAGGAACGAGCTGGTCAGTGAGGCCACCTTTTCGCCTCCTGGCCCCTTTAAAATGACTGTATCACCTTTTAAAGGGCCATTGACGTAAAAAACTGGGCGCGGTTGATGGATTTTTGGCTTCCGGGCCCCTTTAAACCATTTTTGGAGCTTTTAAAGGACCACTGAAGTCAAAAACTGGGCCCGGCTTTTGGGTTTTTTGGGTTCCTGGCCCCTTTAAAACAAATTTATCTGATTTAAAGGGCCATAGAAGCCAAAATTTCGAAGCCACGCCTATTTTTTTGGGCTTCCCGGCTCCTTTAATACGATTTTACAGCGTTTAAAGGACCACTGAAGGCAAAATCCCCGGGTTTCAGGACAGCCACGGCCTGACAGCGCTCCACCTGGCCGCCCTGATGGGAAATGAGCGGATGTGCAAGCTGCTGGTGAAGCAGGGATGGCAACTCGCCGTAGGCAGACATTTTAAAGGACCATTGAAGGCAGCAAGGGGGCGTGGCTTCTCGATTGTGACCTCACAGCCCCTTTAACCGCTTTTTCTGGCTTTAAAGGCGCATTGAAGACAGAATTTCATGGCATAATTGTCAAGGCAGGGCGTGGCAAGCTAGCAGAGACCATTTGCAGGGTGGCGACAAAAACTTTGCGACGCCGATGCATCTGGCGGCCGGCAGGGGCCATACGGATGTGGTGTCGTGTCTCGTGACCGCTGGCGCGGACATGAAGGCGACAGATTTTATGGAGAGGTGAGAGAGAGAGAGAGCGAGAGAGATACAGCTTCCCTCATTTTCTCGAAAAATCTAAAACCCATGGCCGAGTGGTTAGTAGTCGCGCCTACCAATCTGACGACCCGGGTTCGACTCCCCGTCGCGGCGCGGTTTTTGCCTTTTGGATCAAACTGTCAGAATCGGCAAACTGACAGCCAGAAAGCCTGGATCCTCTAGAAAAATTAGATTTTGAGCTGATTACGCGATGTTATTAGGGGCTCGGGTTCGACCCCCGCCCGCGGCAGACTTTTTTGTTTTTTTGCTTTAAACTGTCGGAATCGGTTATCTGGCAGTCAGTAAACCAGAGAAAGTGAGGGCGAGAGAGAGAGAGAGAGAGAGAGAGAGAGAGAGGGAGAGGGAGAGAGAGATCAAGAAAGACTACGAAATACACCTCCTTCCAGAACGGCCATCTTCCCGGCGTGTTTCGGCGGTCAGGCTCACACCTTGTACGTGATGATACGCGAGCTGGGCTTCGAGTGGCGCACCACTGTCGATAATCAGGTAGAAACGGCAAGATAGCAGAGATCATTGCGGAATCGATTACACCCGAAAACCCAACGGAATTCCTAGCTGTCAAGCTCCCTTTAAAATCGTCAACCAGCAGAGATTTTTGAGGAATGTCTAAACTGACTAGCAGAGATCACTGGGGATCGATGACTTCATGAAAAAAGGTTCAATTTCTAGCTGTCAATCTCCCTTTAACCTGGGCAAACCAGCAAAGACCCTTTGCCAAATTCAGGTTCGCCCTATTGCCGACGCGATGGGCCGCACGCCACTGCACGCGGCCGCCTACGCCGGCTTCTCCCACTGCATCACACAGATGCTGAAGGCAAGTGTCACGCTCCCTTTAAAACCTGGACTTTGGGGCCAAGAATCGCTGCTAGCTCGCTTTGGCTATGTCAAATTTTTCCTGCTAGTATGCCACTGGCCTATCTGGCTGCCAGTCTATCGATTCGCACCCTTAAAAAAGTTCCCGGCAGGCTGGCCGAGATCATTTGCAGGGGTACCTGATTTCCGCAAATGCTCTCTGCTAGCCCGCCCATTGGTTTAGATCGAAGAAGAGGACGCGACATCGCTCTGTATTCCCCTTGTTGGTGCCGTTGATCATAATGGGGAGACGGCGCTTCATGTGGCCGCCACCCGGGGTACGGTAACTGGCGGGTGTCACCGCACCTTTAAACTCGCTTTTGAGCTGTTTAAAGGGCAATTGAAGTCTGAATTCCCAGGCCTGGCTGCCAGCTGACTTCTTGGTACCTTGAAAAAGCATTTTGGGGTTTTTAAAGGGCCGGCGAAGCCGGAAACCGCCATGGATTTTGACTTTCCAGGCCCTTTAAAAGCTGATTTCAAGATTTTAAAGGTCCATTAAAAGCGAAATCTGTAAACTGGGCCCCAGTTGGCTTCGAGGTGTCATTAATCTAATTTTTTGGGAGTTTAAAGGACCACTGAAGGCAAAAAACGGCCCTGTCACCACCCCTTTAAAGGCCGCCTCGACTGTGTGCTCGTGCTCCTCAACAATGGGGCAGCCATTAATGCGCTGGACAACCAGCTGCGGACACCGTGGAAATGCGCCGAGGATGCAAAACAGAAAGCGGTACGATTTTTGTAACGTTGACAAAAATTCCAAAACTCAATTTTGAAAAACCCCGCTTTTTCGGGTTGAGGGCATCAAAGGTTTTTGTATTCTGTAGTCTGGCTGCCACCTTAGCCAATCAAACCGAAATCCAAGTCCACATTCAAAAAAGCAAAATGTTGCGCCTGGGCCGGGGTTCGAACCCCGGTAGCGCTTGGGGGCCGTTTTGTAGTTTGTAGTCCGCCAATGGGGGTTGTATTGTGTAGTCTGGCTGCCATCTGAGGCATTTGAAGCAAAATTTCTAACCAAACCCCGAGAAATCAAATTCTAACAACACGAAATGCAATATTTTGAGGTGAGCGACCACTTGAGACACGAAGGAGCCCTCAACTACGAAGAACTCAGCGAACTCGCCAAGCTCATCATTGGCAAATGGCTTTACCGAATTATTGTGAAACGCCGGAACCGCAGACAATGAATTTCGTGTCGTAATCGATTGGGAAAACCGCCAATCGATTACGCCATATAAATGCCCCGTTTTTTGCGAATAAACATTGATTTTGAGCGGCGAATTGGCTAAACTGCCAACCAGACGACAAACTACATCAACGATATTGACTACAAGCGCTGGATTTGTTGGCGTAATCGACTGGGATGGAAGCGACGGCCGCCAGTCGATTACGCCATATAAACGATTTTTGTTAATAAGTCTTGATTCTGAGTGGCGGATTGGCTAAACTGCCAGCCAGGCTACAAAATACAAACATTGCACCGAGACTGCAAACTACAGAAAAGCTACCAGGCACACGACCCGGGTTCGACCCCCGCCGCGACTAACATTTTGCTTTTTGCGTTTTTTATCGGGATTTTCGATGGGATGACCAAGCTGGCAGCCAGACTACATACTACAACCATAAACCTAGGCTACAAACTACGGAAGGCCCCTGGCCCCCTAGCAAACAAGCAGGTGACATGTGCGGAATTTTTGGCACCATTTTTCCAGTTTTTCCGCGATTCCAGTTTCGTTGTGATCCAGTTGCAACTGTGGTGCGTAATATTTGTCTATCCTGTCATGGATGGCCTAGATATTCCGGCTGAATACTGTTGACATTGGCATCGCCCGGGGGAGGTCGTGCTCTCTCTTTATCCTCAGGCTCCCGCGATTTTTGGAGTTTCATCTTTTCATACGATTCTATGGATTCCACAGTGCCCTCTGCTCGCTTGCCTCTTTGTTCTGCATTTTCAAGGGACTGGGAAGCCAAAAAAAGCTAACCAACTACAGCCCTCACTGCCTTCAATGGTCCTTTAAAATATATTTTTCCGCCAGAAATAGATGAACTGGCTGCCAGCTAGCTTGCTGGTACCCTTAAAACCAAGCTTTTGCAAATTTAAAGGACCGCTGAAGATAAAACAAGGGGGTACCTGAAATCGAGGAATCAGGGCAAGCTAGCAGTGATTCATTGGGGAACCAGGGAACTTTTGGAGCTTTTAAATCGTTTAGTAGCTTCGCTGGCAGCCAGTTAACATCTTGTAGTTTTTAAAAGTCAAATTTTGCCGTTTTAAAGGGCCATTGAAGGCTAAATATAGGAGACCTGAATCAGGGGCCAGCTAGCCGGGATTCTTTGGGGAATTCGGAGGAGCTGCGTGGTGGAAAGGACGACGCCACGCCAAAATGGAGGCCACTTTTTCGGGGAATGGTGGTGAAAGGGGTTAAAGGGAGGGGAAAGGGACAAATAGTACCCCTCTCCCCTTTTGTACTCACTGCCCCACATTTCCATACCCATTTAGGAGGGGGGTTAGGGCGATACTATGCGGCTCTCGACTAGACGCCCCTCCAATCTGACTGCCAGCTAGGCGATTCCCCAAAGAATCTCGGCTAGCTTGCCTTTGTGGACGGTTTTCAAAAATTCGGGCACCCCGTCTCATTTTTGCCTTCAACGCTCCTTTAAAATGTTCAAAATTGAATTTTTAACGCGGCCAGTGGATAAACTTCTGCCAGCTAAGCTAATGCGAAACAACTTTAGAACCTTGGAAGCTATTTCGATGGTTTTAAAGGACCAGTGAAGGCGGGGCGGCTATGAATTTCTCGAATTTTTTTACTTTCCGGTCCCTTTAAAAGGCCTTGATGAATTTTTCTATGATTTCCAGGCTATATCGAGAGTGATGCGATGAGCAACAGCGTCTATTTTTTGCTCATTCTCGCCAAGTTCAGCCAGGTCAATTTTTCAGTTTTGATTTTAATTTTTTTTATTCTTTCGTTTATTAAACTTTTTATTTTTTAATCATATGATTATTTTTGTAGTTTGTCGTCGCGCACGGAGGAGGAGCAGGAGGAGGAGCTCTCGTCTATCCCTCGATAATCCCCCTCAGCCCGTCACCACTAAAAGTTGGTTCTTCCTGCGGACAGGCCTCGCCCGGTTTTGCCTTCAATGGCCCTTTAAAAGCCGCAAAAATCACTTAAAGAGACTGCGAAGTTAAATCCATAGGCCACGCCTATTTTTTTTGCCTTCAAGCGGCCTTTAAACGCGGAAAAATCGGCTTCTGGTACCAAAACGCCCAAAAAGGGGCGTGGCTTCCGGATTTTGCCTTCAGAGACCCTTTAAAGCGCGGAAAAATTGATTTCAAAAGGACTATCAAGTCAACTGGCTGGCAGGCTGGCCAAGATTCTTGAGGATCACGATCCCTTTCCAGTTTTCCCGTTTCCTCGACGTGCGCCGTTTCCCCAGCCGCCGTCGTGACCCGCCGGCTTTTCGTGAGTTTTTAAAGGCGTCATGACAGCGCGTGCTCACTTTTTTAGGGTTTAACACCTAAGCTGGCAGCCAGTTTACTGATTTGCGCTGGAAAATTCGCGCAGGCAAGCTAGCAGCGAACATTTGCCGGGGTACCCGAATTGATATTTTCTGGATTTTCATGTCGTAACCTGTTTTCCCGGCCATTTTCTTGCAAAAACTACAGTATGCCTTTAACTGGCAGCCAACAGACCCAGTATTGTCGAAAAATCCGCCTGGGCGTGCTAGCAGAGACCATTTGGCCGGGGGGTACCTGAATTGAGAATTTTGGACTTTTTCGGGTGGTAATCGACTCTAAATCTCAAAAAATGTAGTAGTAACTACAGTATGCCGCTAGCTGGCTAGCATTGCGCCGGAAAATGCAAAAAAACGCTACCTTAACCCAATCCGGTCCGTTACAGTACCCCCGAAGGCGGTGTGCGGGCGGGAGTACATCGGAATCGAGCTGGCCTCGCCCTTTTCGGGCCGGATCTTCGCCTCGCATCGCGAAGACCTGCCCCACTGCTCAAAGCTATTCCACGCGGTAGGCCACGCCCACTTTTTGCCTTCAATCGACATTTAAAACCCTCAAAAATCGGTTTAAAAGAGCCAGCAAGGCAAAATCCATCAGCCACGCCCACTTTTTTGACTTCAGGCGTCCTTTAAAGCTCGGAAGTTCGAGTTCAAGGACCCGGAAAGCCAAATCCTATAAGCCACGCCCACTTTTTTGCCTTCAAGCGACCTTTAAAAGCCACAAAAATCGGTTTCAAGGGCCCAGCAAGTCAAAATCTTGAGCCACGCCCACTTTTTTGCCTTCAAGCGACCTTTAAAAGCCTCAAAAATCGGTTTCAAGGGCCCAGCGAGTCAAAATCTAGAAGCCACGCCCCCTTTAGGCCCCGGCCGCCCGTCTGACGCTGATGCTGAACGACACGGAGTGTGGCGTACACCGCAATACTACGGTAGGCCCCGGATGTTGCACGTTTTAAAGGTAGCGTGACACCTAGGCGGGCTAGCGGAGAAAATTCAGGAAATTCCGACAGATTGCCTAGCAAAAAAAAATCGTAAAAATCGCGTTTAAAGGGAGTGTGCCAGCTAGAAATTCGTTTTAGGACCCGGCTACCGTAGCCTCCGACGTATATACCGTACGCCTGGTCGTCTCGTTCTCGTTTTCCGCCCTCACCGAAGACGATCGAATATTCCAACTGCGATGCGTCCATCATCGTGGAGGAGAGCGAAAAGATGTGCGATCGATGCAGGCATTCTACGATGCACAGTGAGGCATTTTTCGCATTTTAAAGGCCCGTTGAGGTCACGGATTTTGGCGAAAACGTTGGAATATGGAAATTCTGAGCTCAGATTCGGATTCCGCACCCAATTTTAGATACGAGTTGACTTTTAAAAGACGAAAATTGATTCTGAGATCGCGAGAATTCGATATTTTCGAATCGATTACGCCATGTAAACTTAGAGCTTCAAAATTCGGGTTTTTCGATGTTTTCTTATTTGTTGCTAGTCAGTTAGCCGAATGGCAAGCTAGCAGGGGCAATTTGACCATTTAGAGGCGAGTTAGCAGAGATTCTTTGACGCAAAAAATCAGCTGCTATCCAATTGTCGCTGCCAGCTTGCCCAGGCGAATTTTTAGTACTTCGTGGGGCTGTAATCGGATAGTATGGCTGCCAGTTTAGCCTCAGCCATCTTAAAACCGAGGCCCCGCCTCTTTTAAAGGGCCGCTGAAGGGAAAATCGTGAAACTTAGAGACGTCGTGCGGCATCAGCTGCTCACCTCTTCTGATGCCCCAAAATGCCACTACTCGCTACACCTCAATACGCTCGATGGCGGGGCGGTGAATAACGCGAAAGTTGGCGATATGGTGGGTACGGAATTCCGCAAATCGACTCTGCTAGTTGCCGAGTTGTGGAGAGGCTAGATTTTGGCGCAAATAATCGCTGCTAGCTCGCCTGGGGAGGGCCAATGGCCTCTGCTAGCCTGCCATTCTGCAAACTGGCAGCCAACCTATCGATTCACCTCTTTCAAACATTCTTTGCATGCTAGCAGAGACAATTTGCCGAGGGGTACCTGATTTGGGGCAAAGAACCGCTGCTAGCTCGTCCGGAAAACGTCAAACTTTCTATGCTAGCTTGCCAATGGCCTAACTGGCATCCAGCTAAACTATTCGCAACTCCAAAATGGCCTCTGCTAGCCTGCCCGCACTCTTCGGGGGGTCAATTACGCTTTCAATTCCCAGTCAAACTGTCAAAAACTAAGAACCCTATTCGATTACGGCAGCAAATTTTCTCTGCTAGCTTGCCATTAACTTAGCTGACTGCCAATTGATGCTGCCGAAATTCCAAAATGGTCTCTGCTAGCCTGCCCATGTGTCACTCCACCTTTAACTCAAAATTTCAGATATTCCACCGTTGGGAGTGCGGGAAAAGCGGCGATTTCCGGTTCCGCGTCTACCGCTGCTTCGTCCACAATGGCCATCGGCAGTCATTTATGCTCGTCGACGACAATGGGTACGGTAGATCGTTAAAAAGCGATTATTTCATCGCGTAATCGGCTAAAATCCCCGAATTTCGCAGAATTTCAACGCTTAAGGGTTTCTGGAAAAGGGGGCAGGCTGGCAGAGACCATTTGGGAAGTGTGGATCGATGAACTGGTTGCCAGTTTAGCGAATGGGCAAGCTAGCAGAGGAAATTTAGATGTCGTAACCGGATAGGAGCCCTTGTCGTTTTGGCCTTTTCTTGGAATTTCAACGCGTAACCTATCCCAAAATCGCGGACAGGCTAGCAGAGACCATTTGGGAAGAAGGGAATCGATGAACTGGCTGCCAATTTAGCGAATGGGCAAGCTAGCAGGCACAATTTGATCTTGGAACGGAGTGCTAGCAGCGATTCTTTGACCGAAAATCAGGTACCCCTTTAAATGTTCTCTGCTTGCCTGCCCAGCTAAGTTTTTGAAGCGCTGCAGCGCCAGACTGGCTGCCAGATTAGCGATTGGCAAACTAGCAGAGAAAATTTGCATGTCGTAACTGCTTTTTCAGGTGTTCTCTGGACGAGACGATCCTCCCCCACCCAAAATACGACGAGACCAATGGTGTCATCTACGCGCCGGCAAAGGCGTTTCGATTTTCCCGGTAGGCCACGCCCCCCGTTTTCGCCTTCAATCGGCCTTTAAACGAGAAACTTTTGCTTTTAAAGGGACCAGGAAGGCAAACACCATAGAAAGAGCGTCTCTTTTCGGCTTCAATGGGCCTTAATGTAGAAAATTACGATTTAAAGGAACCGGAAGACAGAATCCATAGCGGCCACGCCCCCTTTTTCGCTTCAATGTGCCTTTAAAAGCCAAATTTTCGTTTTAAAGGGACCGGGAAGGCAAAATCCATAGCGGCCACGCCCCCTTTTTGGCTTCAATGTGCCTTTAGAAGCATAAATTTTGTATTAAAGGTAGCTGCAAGTCATGGAGTTTTTTTTGCAGCACGAAACGCGTCCACTTCAACTGTCTGCTGCAGGTGTGCGCGCGAGCCGACGCGGAATGCGCAAAGAGTATCGTACGTACTACACGGATATACGTACCGTAATGTGTTATACACCATTTTAAAGCCCTCGAAAAGGGCTACAAAACTAGCTATTATCCATCGGAATTCCACATTTCTAGGCCGAGATTTGATCGAGTGAAGTTTGTAGCCCAAGGGCACAAACTTTAACCCATTATAACTTTTCCCAGGAATTACATAGCGTAATGATATATACACCATTCGAAAGCCCTTGAAAAACTCTACAAAACCTATACGTTTTACAGCCGCCCCATTGCCCGCGCAGCCAGCAGAAGCGGGATTTGCCGAAGAATCTGACGATCGAGGAGCGACTGATGCGAATCGGTCAGCCGATAGGTAACCGCAGACTTCCACAATGCTCTTTGCTAGCTTGCCTAGCTATTTGCAATTGACTAAACTGGCTGTCAGTCTAATGATAACCACTGAAAAAAAATTGAAAATTGGTCTTGGCAAACTAGCAGAGACCATTTACGCTGGGTACCTGAATTTCGCGCCAAGAATCGCTGCTGGCTGGCCTTGAAAAAGCTAAATTTCTTTGCTAGCCTGCCAATAGGTAAACTGACTGATAGCTTCTCAACTAGCACGTTAAAAAAATTTCTAGGCAAGCTAGCAGAGACCATTTGCCCCCAGGTGCCTGAATTTTGGCCGCCAAGAATTGTTGCTAGCTCGCCGTGGCGGGACGAAATTGTCTTGGCTAGCCGGCCAATTGCTAGACTGGCTGCCAGTTTTTCGATTTCCGATTTCAAAATGGCCTCTGCTAGCTTCCCCGCAATTTTCGAGGCCGATTACGCGCGGCAATTCCAAAAAATTGACCAAAGCCGAAAATCCCATTCGATTACGGCATCAAATTGTCTCTGCCAGCTAGCCATTGGCTATACTGCCAGCCAGTCTACCTATTTTCGAGTCCTCTGCTCGCCTGCCCCCGGGAAAAATTCGTTTTAGATGGAAAATTGGCGGCGATGGACGCGACGAGGGATTTCGATGGATTGAGCAGCGAAATTCAGCCGAAAAGGGGTGATCAAAAGGTTTTAAAATAATTTTTAAAGCTTTAGAAAAGGATAGCGGCTCTTGCCTATCCACTTCGGGGCCCTGGATTATGGCCCTGGCCATCACGAACTGCTTCACGCTGACGGTGGCTGTGGTCGGTGTTATTTGGAGGGGCAGGCTAGCAGAGAGCATTTGGGAAGTGGGAATCGCTTACCTGACAGGCAGATCGGACAATGGCAAGCTAGCAGAGAGCATTCGATGCCGTAATCGGAAAGCAGCCCTCCTTTTTTCTTTTTTTTTGGGGATTCTAACGTGCAATTGGCTCAGAAAATCGCGGGCAAGCTAGCAGAGAGCATTTGGGTAGTGGGAATCAAAGAACTGCCTGCTATTTTGGCCAATGGCGAGCTGGCGGAGATTATCTGGCCGTTGGAAAGGCTAGCTTGCAGTGATTCTGTGACCCGAAAAATCAGGTACCCGGGCAAATGGTCGCTGCTAGTTTTCCCGAAAGTTTTTTAAGAAGAGTAATCGATAGATTGGCAGCCTCGTCCTCGCTTTAAAATGGAAATTGTCGATTTTGTTTTCAGGTGGCTTGGCTGCGAATTCAGAGGAATCGGCGGGCAATAAATATCATTCAGCCGCTGCCCGAGAGAGGCCTCAAACGGACGCCGTTTTATTAAATATATTGAAAACCGGATAAATTATTTTATTGCAACATTATGGCCCTACAAACAATGCGAGAGAGAGCGAGAGAGAGAGAAAGTGAGAGACAGAGAGAGACAGAGAGTCAGAGAGAGCAAGAGGGAGAGAGAGAGACAGACAGAGAGAGACAGAGAGAGAAAGAGAGGATTTTTTTGCCCAGGATTCGGGGGATTTGCCGGAAAAACTAGCTTATTTAATGTCGACATTCTGAAAGAAACGGCAAAAAGTATGATAGGACGCGGGTGGGAATGCCCCAGGTGGGCGTGTCCCTCTTCCACCGCGTTTCCGACCAATGGGAACGCGTGCACGAGACGCCGCTTCGAGTGTTTCCCCCAGCTTTTGCTCGTCCATTTTCCCGCGACCGTATTCGCAAAATCCCCCCCCCCCACGCTAGTCCGAACGAGAAACCAAAATTACGCACATTTTTGTACAAAAACCTTCGATAAATGTCAAAAAAATACGGGTCTGTCAGAAAATCAAAAGTAAACAGCCGAAGTATCTCAAAGTTTTCGGTATTTTCGCTTATTTTGTCGGGATTTTTGCAACGCCATTCGATAGAGCGTCGAAAAATATGCTAAGAGTTTTAATTTGAGCCTACAACAATGTAAAATAAAAAAGTTGTAGCCAAAAACTTGCGGTGGGAGGGGCGGGGGGAGGTAAAGTAATGTGTAGCCAAAATAAGACCAAGCCGCGTAGCGGTTTTTCAACGCTGGTTGATTGATGATGATGATTCCTTAATTCTACCCAATATGGGCTCGGATTGCACGAAAAATAGAGCCCTGGGAAGTTGACAAGAAACCGGCAAACCAACGAGAAAAACTTCAACGCCTAACCACAGAAAATCGCCAGAACTACTGTTCGGTCCCTTGGTCGCAAAAGATGCGCAATTCTTCGTAGAACTTGTAACCCATTTTTTGTTTCAATTTTTCGACGAAACTTTCAAGATAACCCGTGAATTATTGCAATTTGGGCGTTTTCCGTTTGGAGTGTACGAATTACACCGCGGACGGTTCCGCGTACAGAGGAGCGCCGCGTACCGAGAATTTTTTCCGTGCCCTTTGCTTGGGAAATGGAATTTCGTGTGTCGCCTCGGTCCGCTGGCGGTAATTGGCGCGGAGCCGAGGTATAAATAAACTTTATTAAAATAGAAAAGTTTCTAAGCTTATTCGAGGGAGTTTTCAAGCATTTTTAGGCCCTTAGCCTATACAAAATCCTTTGCATAACTTTCCAGCCTTTTTGAAAACTCAGTTTCGAATTTTTCGCCAACCGAAAACGCTTTCTCTTTGTTTTGGGCTGGTTTCTGGGCTTTTTCTAGAGCATTTCGAGGCGCAGCGCGGGTTTCTTGCTTTTTTTTGACGTTTTGAGGTGTTTATAGGCTCCAACGAACTTTATCATTTGCTTTTTAGTTGCCCGATAAAAGCGAACCTCGCCTGCTTCGGCGATTCTAGAGCTTTTTCAGGCCGTTGCACGCGTTTTTTACAAAACTTAGGGAATTTCGAAGCTTTGTCGAGGTTGTTGAGCCAGTGTGGCGTTTTCCTGCCCTTGCAGCACTTAATTTTGTCTTTTCGGCCTTGCTAGGGTCGCCTGTTTTCTCGTTGCCGCTGACTTTGTGCGCTTTGTAGCTTGGAAAAACCCTAAATTGCACTTTTAAAGCTTATTTTTGAAAAGAAAAGGGCGGCTGTGCACCTTTGCGAAACAGGAAACGGGGGAAATCGGTGAATTCGTGACAAAAAACGTTCAAAAACAGAGAAATTCAAATTATAGATGTAATTTGAGTGAAAATGCGACAAATAACCCGTTTTTAGGTGGGCCGCTGGGCCGCGCGCCGAAGGAGACGGTCGAGACGGGGACCCCGGTCAGCGACGACACGGTGTGCGAGCTGTTGGAGACGAATCTCGACAAGTCCGCCTGCGCCAAGGGCTTTATTCGTGACGGGTTCCCCAGAACCACCGTTGAGGTACTGGCTTTTTTTGCAGCTTCGTCTCTTTCCTTCAAAAGCAGTTCAAAAAATCGTTTTTATAGCTTTTTTCGACCAAAAAATCGACTCTTTGCGAATAAGAATTTGTAACTTTTTGTAGCTTTTGAACAGGTTTTTGTTGATGTTTTTGACGCACAAAATTTGAAAATTTTGAAACTACTTGTGAAGGAAAGAGCCGATGTTGTTTGTCTAAGAACCGCAAAAAATAAAATGCTTTTAAACCTGAAAAATCTAGGCTTTAAACTTTAAAAAAACTAAAAAAGGTCAAAAATATAGTTTCGATCAAAATTCCCACTTTTTAAAACATTTTTTAAGGTTTTTAGATAGTTTTGCTGGTTTAAATATATTTAGATATTCAGTCTGCTTTTTTTCGGCGCATCAAACGGTACAAATTTTCCTAAAAAACTGAATTTTAGGTCGAAAAAGCGTCTTTCCGCCCGAAATGATGCTACTTTCGACTTTTCCAACATTCTCTGCCTGCTTTGAAAGTTTTTCTACCGCTAAATATGCTTTAAAAAGGCACAAAACATGGCAAAAACACGTTGGATTCGATTGCTGGGCTAGCCCGGCAAAAAAAACTGCCCCACTGGCCCGCAAATTCCAAATTTATCAGAATTTTGGAAAGAAAGTCGAAAATAGAAAGGTTTTTAGGTCTAAACACCCCGGAAATATTCATAAAAGTTAGTTTTAAGCCACTTTTCACGGGATGAATTACGTTTTTTCCAAGAACAGCAGAAAATATTGTAAAAACTATTTTTTAGACACTCTGCAAGGACAAGAGAAGCTTTTTCTGTCTATCGCCGCGGAAAAGGCTGCAAAAATTGTTTTTTTTTTTGCAAATTTTCGAAGTAAACGTCGCATTTTTCACGAGAAACCGCGGGAAACGCTTTACTAAAATGATAAGCACCTTTTTAGGGGGAATTTTGTTGTATAAACATCTCGGATTATGTGGTTAAAAGTATTTTCCTACGAATTCTGAAGGGAAAAGTCGCTTTTTGTTGGTCTAAAGACCCGGAAAATGCTAGAAAAACTATTTTCGCTACCCAAACTTCGTCAAAAAAAAATGGTAAAATTCCAGCAGATTGCGTAGAATCACATTTCATTTCATTTTAATATCGATAAACGGAGGTTTTCGGGTTTTCAGACGGTGTAAAAAAGATGCAGCGGTTGAGCTTCCCCTGCCGCGCGATATTTTGACCTTTTCGGCATGAAAAATATTCCAATTTTTAGGCGGAAGGGCTGGACACGATGGTGGAGAAGCGGAACACGCCGATGGACGGCGTCGTCGCCATCGAGGACAATCTACTCGCCACCGGGCCAGTGGGAGGTCGTACCACGTCGACTTCAACCCCCCAAAGGTATCGCATTTTTTGAAAATTGAAAAATAGGAATAGAAAAGATGCATTTATATAGCCTTTTCCAGTATTTTCCGCTTATTAAAAAGCAGACAAAATATGTTAGCATCCTTACAAATTTTAAATTGTTGAAACAGTCACATTTTTGCCTGGGCTCAGCGGAAAACACGGCGAAAATGATGCAAAAATTACCTATTTTTGGTAATTTTTGAGGTACAAGTCGAATTTTTTGGTCCAAGCGCTTCGGAATTGTTATCAAAATCATTTTCTAGGTTATAAAAACTATTGTTCAACCTAAAAACTGTTTTTTGCAGTGTTTTGTAGGATTTTCCGCTTATTAGAAGACATAAAAATTTTCTAAATTTGATTTTTCAAAATTTTGTAAAGAATTTTTATCTAAAAATTTCGGAAATAGAAATAGAACCAATTTTTTAAAGCTATTCTTGCAGGAAATGGCCGACTTTTTAGCATGGACAACAGCAGAAAACGCGATTAAAATCATTCTGAAGCTACTTTTCATGGAAAAAGCAACTTTTCGTTGCTGATCCGTACTATAAAACCTTTCTTATAGCATTTTCAAATCGAAAAATCCCATTTTTTAGCATAAGAACCTCCAAAGTATTTTAAAAACTATTTCTAAACGATTTATAAAGGAAATAAAAATCGATTTTCGTCTAAAAACTCGTAAAATGCTTTATAACGTATTTTTTAGCCAAAAAAAATAATTTTTAACGAGTTTTCGAGTTTCTCTTTTCAGGTGACCGGCAACGACGGCGTCACGGCCAAGCGGCTGACCAACGGGCCGACGACGGCGAAGAGACGCTGCCCAAGCGAAACCTACGACCGCCCCCCACACCACATCTCGACCGCCCCGCGAAGGCCCATCAAGGTAATTGCATACAACGCATTTTGGGAGTGTTTTTGCAAGTGTAGGATTGATAACGAGTCATAGAAGAACGTGCAAAATGTTGTGAATTTTTTTTGGTGCTGACAGGTAGCGGTTTTGAGGCCACAGCGTCCAAATCGGCTCAAAATTCGCGGAAAAATCACCGAAAAAATACGGGGAAGACGTTGCGATAAAAATTTTGTTAACGCTCGCCTTTTTTAACCCTTTTCTTTTTGCTGTTTTCGCTCTTATTTTGGCAGGGAAATTCCCTCGAAAGTTTTTTTCAAGCTGGAACGCCAAATTTGGTCAAAGTTAAAGATAAATTACCACACTATCAATTCCAGGAATCGTGGAGGACAACTGACGGCCGAGACCGATGGAAAGATGCTGGCGTTGAGGGCGCGTGAGACCCACATCATTCTGCAGGCCCCCGGCGCGGAGATGTTCTTCTTGAATGGCATCAACGGAGGCGGCCATTTTGTCGCTCCCGATTTCTGAATGGAAATGCCCATTTATCGCTCGTTTCAAGTTGTTTTCACTATTACTTTGCAAGTTTTGATTTGTCGCCCTTTTTCATGGGAATTGCATGGTTTCTCTTCTGCTTTTTGAATCGTTGATTTACCGCTCGTGTCTAGCGAATTGTTTTCACGTTGCTTTTACTGCTTGATAAATGGTTATTTACAGAAATGTGGAAAAAGCTACAAAAAAAACTGGTTATATGCCCAATTTACGTTCTTATTCTTGTTTTTAGCTGCCCACGATCGAAAAATACGTTTTTTTTTGCAGGTGATGCCGTCGCGGGAGCGCCAACAATCGCCCATCCGCTGGAAGGAGCGCCCGGAACAGCTAGCCAAGCTCGACGTGCCGTTGCTGCAGCTCCCGGCCTACACCGTCAAGAACATTGTGCGATTCCTCGATCCGCCATCCCTCGTTCAACTCGCCAAATCCCACGCCATCCTCAAGAACATGGTGCGCGGCGCCGAGAAGCACTGGAGCGTGGTGTATCTGGCCAGCAGATCTTCTTCTTTGATGTGCATCGACCACAACTGCTTCGACGACCCGGCCGACACCGAGCTCCTCTTCTCCAACGCCAAGATCGACAAATTGAAGCGGGACGAGCTGGCGCGCCATCTTCGCCCACTACGCGGCGAACCGTTGTTGCCACAGGTGGGAAAAGTTGATTTTTAGGGTTCGTCCTAACTAACTTTTTTGTACAAGTCTAGAAATGCCTATTAAGTTAATAGAAAATGTTTTAATCGTGTTTTTGGCAATTTATAGCTATTTTCAACCAGACAAACTATCGAAAAACTTTAAAAAATTTAAAAAACTTCAAAACAGGGGGGTTTTGTCGAATAATGCCAATTTTTCTCATAGTTGTAAATTTTTTTTCCAGGGTGAAAAACAGTTCAGAGACAATTTTGCTATTTATTTTTGCAAAATTGGGTCCTGGGAAAAAAGTGGAAACAGGGGGTTACGGCCCTATAGCAGAATATAAACAATTTTTCTGGAATTTTGTAAAAACAATATGAAAATAATCAAAATTTTCGAAAATTTGTGTTTTTTTTTTGGTGAAAATGTATGAAAAATGGCCATAACAGGTCAAATTTCCCATTTTTAAGAATTATTTTGACTTTCTAGCACTAGAAAACTATTGGTGTTTGAAATTCAAATTAAAAGTCATTGTGGGCTTCTAGCAACCTTATCAAACCCTTTTTTTTCAGACCAACTTCTCGTGGCCGCCCTTTCGACCGTGCTGGCTGCTTCGTTGGCCGAATGTGACGATCATGCTCGACTGTGCGCTCGACTACCCGTCCCTCGGCAATGTTTTTCACCACGTCCACGGCGAGAGGTAGTTTAATTCAGTGATTTAAACCTGAGAAGATAGAGCGGAAAATTCTGCACAAGATACGCGGTTTTAGAAGGCGATAAAAAGCAGCAGCGTCTAGGAAAATTAGATTTTTATGCAAAAAACTTTGATGGTTTGAGAATTTCGCATGAAAATCGAGTTTTCTAAGATTTCTTATTGTTTGTAACGTTTGAAAAACAGCGTATTTTGTGCAGAATTTTTTTCTCTATCGATTAATGTATAAATTAGATTTTCTCGATTTACCCATCGTAATGGTTTATTTGCAGGGTGTTCCCGCTGAGCCCGTATCGACACGGCAACAACAATCAGATCCACCGCAACAACCCGATCGAGTGGACGAAGTTCTACACGACTGAGCATCTCGAGAAGGCCATCGACCTTGTCACCGTCGTGTTCTTCAGGGAGACCATCGTACGTTTTATCGATTTTCGGCATTTCCGCAAAAATCTCGGCTAGCTGGCACTCCAAAAATCGATTTTTGCGCTCCGAAATGGTCTCTGCTAGCTTGCCTGACCATGAAAAAATTGGGCAATCGAGCAGAGACGATTGGGGGAGGAATTTTCTATTTTTGGCGGGCTAGCAAAGCTCGTTGGATAAAATTCAGCAAAGTTTTCTGCTAGCTGGCCCGCGAATAAATGAAAATGAAAACGAATAAATGAATGAATAAAGCTTTTTTGGGCAATTTTAACCATATCTTTGCAGTTCGACATCACGGGCCGGCGCTTCGGCCCCTTCTGCCCCATCCCAGACTCGGACGTGACACTGCTGCTCGACCCCTCATCCCTCGCCAATATTTTGCCCGAAAGCAGCCGAGAAAGGTATCTTAATTCCGTGATATATGGCTAAGAAGGTAGAGCGAAAAATTCTGCACAGGATACACAATTTTTGAAACGCCGCAAATTTAATTAATTTCGTTCTTTTTTTTGGAAAAATGAAATTTTTCAAAAATTTTGTGTAATACCCGATTTTCTCCGACTTGTTTATTTTTTGTAAGTTTGAAAAGCTGAGTATTTGATGTAGATGTTTATTTTTTAGTGAATGAGGCTTATTTTAGGCCTCGAGAAATACTTTATCACTTAGAAAATGCGAAGTTTGAAGAATTTTCTAAAAATTTTGGAGATTTCAGGCGAAAATCAAATTTTCTCGTTTCTGGTATTTTTTATAGGTTTTTTAAAGCCCGAATTCTGTGCAGAATTTTATGCTCTATCGATTGATGTGTGTATTAGGTTTCTAAAGCATACTTTGCTAGTGAAAAAAATAGATTTTTAGGCACTTTTTTGAAATTACATACAAAAATCGAATTTTTCTTAATTTTCGCAATTTATTTTTTTGATTAATAATCTTGAATTTAATAATTGAGTCTTCGTAGTTTGTACATTTTCAAAAATTTCATGTAAAAATCGAATTTATGAAGATTTCGAAAAGTTTTTCGGGTTGTAAAAAAGCCGCGTTTTGTGTAGAATTTAATTCTCTATCGCTTGAGGCTAGATTTGATTCTAAAAGTGCTTTATTAATTCGAAAATTTTATTTTTTTGGAAATTTTATATAAAAAATACTTTTTCTTAATTTTCGTAATTTTTATTGTCTATTTTTCAGCCTCCACCTGAAGAAGCTGGGCAACTACTGCGAAGACGTGCCATGTCTGAAGGCGGTCCCCGGTCGGTCTGGCTCATTCGTCGATGTGCCGCGGAAATTACACCCCTCCTCGGTGAGTTTTTCAAGACTCAAATGCTCTCTGCTCGTTACCCTCGATTTTTTTCTCCGTTCCGCAAAGCGTCTCTGCTCGTTGCCCTTGTTTTTTCGAGGTGTTTGTGGTAAAAAAAAGTTTGAAAACCAAGTTTCTTGAATTTTAAAATTTGAAACGCATTTTTTGCTTAATTTAAGTAGGGCAACCAGCGGAGATCATTGCGGAAAAACACGGCCGCTTGCAGAGGTTATCTTTGCGCTTTTTCGGCGTAAAATTTGTGCCGAAAAATGTGAAAAAAAATAGTTTTTCGAGATTTTGTTATTTTCTAAAGCTAAAATGCTCTCTGCTGGTTGCCCTTTTGTTTTGCTGCGTTCCGCAAAGCGTCTCTGCTCGTTGCCTCGGGGTTTTTTTTCAAATTTTGGGCTTCAGAGGTGCGAAAAGCGGGAATTTACGCGTGATTTTTTTAGGCAGCCTGCAGCGATCATTGCAGAAAGATCTTTTTAGCATGTTTTTGGATGCTTTAGACCATCAAACTAGGGCCCTTTTGCTATGGAAAACTTTTGAAGAGCTCAAAACCGCTTGCGAAATCGGGATTTGGGGTACCAAAAGTTTCGAAAACGTAGAAAATTATTTTTTTGACGCTTTTAGAGGCCAAAAAAAGTTAAAAATCCGATTTTGCTACTTCAAAATTTACAATAACTTATTTTTTTGCTTGATTTTAGCGGGGTAACCGGCAGAGATCATTGCGAAAAAAATGCGAGCTAGCAGCGATTATTTGAGCGATTTTCAGCCTCAAAATTTGGGTCAAAAATGTCGAAAAATACATTTTCCTAGGCTTTTACTTCTTCTGGGCGTCAAAGGATCTCTGCCCCGTTGCCCTTTTCGGGTTTTTTAGGTTTCCGCAAAGTGTCTCTGCTCGTTGCCCCGGGGTTTTTTATACGGTTTAGGCTCGTAAAAATTCGAACATATCGATTTTGGGTGAAATTTTGGGCCAAAAATGTGAAAAATTCGATTTTTTGCGGGTTTTTCGATTTGTTTTTTAGCTCAAATGGTCTCTGCTAGCTCGCCTGGCCATTAAAAAAATGGGGCAATCTAGCAGAGACGATTGGGGGAGGAATTTTCTATTTTTGGCGGGCTAGCAAAGGTTGTTAGATAAAATTCAGCAACGATCTCTGCTAGCTGGCCCGCGAATAAATGAAAATGAAACGAATAGATGAAGGAATGAATGAATAAAGCTTTTTTGGGCAATTTTAACCATATCTTTGCAGTTCGACGTCACGGGCCAGCGCTTGGGCCCCTTCTGCCCCCTCCCAGACTCGGACGTGACACTGCTGCTCGACCCCTCATCCCTCGCCAACATTTCGCCCGAAAGCAACCGAGAAAGGTATCTTAATTCAGTGATATATGGCTAAGAAGGTAGAGCGGAAAATTCTGCACAGCATACACAATTTTTGAAACGCCGCAAATTTAATTAATTTCGTTCTTTTTTTGGAAAAATGAAATTTTTCAAAAATTTTGTGTAATACCCGATTTTCTCCGACTTGTTTATTTTTTGTAAGTTTGAAAAGCTGAGTATTTGATGTAGATTTTTATTTTCTAGCGAATGAGGCTTATTTTAGGCCTTGAGAAATACTTTATCACCTAGAAAATCCGAAGTTCTAAAAATTTTGGAGATTTCAGGCGAAAATCAAATTTTCTCGTTTCTGGTCTTTTTTATAGGTTTTTTAAAGCCCGAATTCTGTGCAGAATTTTATGCTCTATCGATTGATATATGTATTAGGTTTCTAAAGCATACTTTGCTAGTGAAAAAAAAGAGATTTCTAGGAAATTTTTTGAAATTACATACAAAAATCGAATTTTTCTTAATTTTCGCAATTTATTTTTTTTGAATTAATAATCTTGAATTTAATAATTTAGTTTTCGTAGTCTTTTTATGCTGTACTTTTGCAGCGGCGCACTGAAGCAGTTGGGCAACAAGGACGACAGTGCGCTGTCGTTGGACGCCGTCTTCAGTCAGTTGGGCGCAACCGTCGATGTGCTACGGAACGGGCACCCCTTCTCGGTGAGTTTTTCACGACTCAAATGCTCTCTGCTCGTTGCCCTCGATTTTTTCTCCGTTCCGCAAAGCGTCTCTGCTCGTTGCCCCGGGGTTTTTTTTCAAATTTTGGACTTTATTGGTGCGAAAAGCGGGAATTTCCGCGTGATTTTTTAGGCAGCCAGCAGAGATCATTGAGGAAAGATCTTTTTAGCATGTTTTTGGATGCTTTAGACCATCAAACTAGGGCCCTTTTGCTATGGAAAACTTTTGAAGAGCTCAAAACCGCTTGCGAAATCGGGATTTGGGGTACCAAAAGTTTCGAAAACGTAGAAAATTATTTTTTGACGCTTTTAGAGGCCAAAAAAGTTAAAAATCCGATTTTGCTACTTCAAAATTTACAAAAACTGATTTTTTTGCTTGATTTTAGCGGGGTAACCGGCAGAGATCATTGAGGAACAAATGCGAGCTAGCAGCGATTATTTGAGCGATTTTCAGCCTCAAAATTTGGGTCAAAAATGTCGAAAAATACATTTTCCTAGGCTTTTACTTCTTCCGGGCGTCAAAGGATCTCTGCCCCGTTGCCCTTTTCGGGTTGTTTAGGTTTCCGCAAAGTGTCTCTGCTCGTTGCCCCAGGTTTTTTATAGGGTTTAGGCTCGTAAAAATTCGAAAATATCGATTTTGGGTGAAATTTTGGGCCAAAAGTGTGAAAAATTCGTTTTTTTTGCTGATTTTTGCGATTTGTTTTCTAGCTCAAATGGTCTCTGCTAGCTTGTTGAATGCGGAATTTTTGGTAAAGGTGATAAATGATCTCTCTAGGCTGTTTGTTGGCAAACTACCAACTATAAACTCTATTTTTCAGGTAGCCGGCGTCCGAATCGACACGGAGAAGCTGATGGAGCCCCCGACCGAAGATCCAGGTCGGTATTTTCCGCAAATTTTCTCTGCCAGCTAGGCTTAGGCTTAGGCTTAGCTTGCCGTGTATGCTTTCAATAAAATTTCATTTTCAGACCTGCCCGCTCTTTCGTGGCCCGCGTGCGTTGAAGGAACGGATCAAGGACGGCTCGATTGCGCGATCCCCCTCTACCTGACCCTAATGGCGACGAATGGAAGAGAGGGAATTGAATGGGAATGGAAGATTGCCATGGCAATGGGACCGTACAACAAGAAGTCGTCGAAGATGGGAAAGACTGATAACCTCCGCGTATTTGATGGGCAACGCTATGCAGCGATTCGCGTTTCCTCGGAGGATCTCATAATCGACATCGACGATTTCGAGCTGTTCGCGAAGACGGACGTGCTCATTTGGGAGCTGCTCAGCCCGCTGCCCACCGACCTGCCCGAACGTCTCGGCATTACCAAAATTTCGCTGGCGCAATTTCAAGATCTGCCTGCATATGTGATCCACCTCCCCGTCTTCATCCGAGGGGTGGCCTCTGGGATATTGCCTCGTCTACTCAGCTCACAGCTCGAAAATGTCGCCTTCGGGGCCGTCTGGGCAACATCGAAAGAATTTTTGAGCAACCTCATCGCACTTTGGCGCGGCGGACGCCGCCCCTTCGAACGCTTTGTCATCATAGTGCGCGACGCACCGGATCTCGGCCAGCTTCAAGAGTTTTTGCGCGATGACTGCAGAGCCGTCCGCCTCGTCGCAGCCACCCCAATTTGGTGGGTTCCACCAGAAGCCGGCCCCTTCGATTCCCCGTTGCTCATGACTTTCCATTCGCCCATAATTCGACTCTTTTTTCTCTCGGCCCCGCAGCCCTTCTATTATCGCCATACCACCCCCCAACGCCCACATTTTCGTTGAAGTGTTTTTGTCGTAAACTTTGTCCTCCCCCAGTTCTTCGGTGAAAATCCCGGATTTTGCTGTGATTAATATCTGAATATTACCCGTTGTGTGGTTGCCTGATTTAAAGCGTGTCATTGGAATAAAGGCGTGCCAGCGGATCTGGCTACATTAGAATTGCGTAATCAGTTACTGTCCCGGGGTTGCTGACCATCGAAGCTTCAGATCGTTAGCGCCGATCCTGCGGTGGCGCTGATAGTAGTGGCCCTGGAAATAGGAGGGTTAGCAGAGATTATTTGAGGGATCGAGGGGGCAATCTAGCAGAGATTCTTTGAGGGATGGAGGGGGCAATCTAGCAGAGATTCTTTGAGGGATGGAGGGGGCAATCTAGCAGAGATTCTTTGAGGGATGGAGGGGGCAATCTAGCAGAGATTATTTGAGGGATGGAGGGGGCAATCTAGCAGAGATTCTTTGAGGGATGGAGGGGGCAATCTAGCAGAGATTCTTTGAGGGATGGAGGGGGCAATCTAGCAGAGATTCTTTGAGGGATGGAGGGGGCAATCTAGCAGAGATTCTTTGAGGGATGGAGGGGGCAATCTAGCAGAGATTATTTGAGGGATGGAGGGGGCAATCTAGCAGAGATTATTTGAGGGATCGAGGGGGCAATCTAGCAGAGATTCTTTGAGGGATGGAGGGGGCAATCTAGCAGAGATTCTTTGAGGAAGATACCTCGTGTATAAGCTGCTTCTTGGAAGTATAATTCTGTGCAATAATTGCGTGTATTCCAGTTGGTTGACATATTTCGTTCGATTCATCTCCCAGTGGATACATCAATTGATATAATTGGGTTGTGAAGGGAATGTCCATCCTATTCATCATCTCCCCCAATTTCGCCATCATCTCTTCTTCAGCGTCTGCGAATCGTTTCATGGCAACCTGGAATTAAAAAATTTAGAAAATAGAAAAATCAGGGTCGAACGCGGTGGTCAAGTGATTAGTAGCCGTGCCTACCAATCTGACGGCGCGGGTTCGACTCCCGGCGGCGGCAGAAGTTTTGCTTTTTGCTTGAAAATATCAGAATGGGGTTTTTACCTGTCGAGATGCCGGCCGTTGTGCGAATTCTGGCCATTGCAGCTCGACGTCAATAATGACGAGACGACGACGTTCAGGGGTTGATGGGAGAGGCTGAAAGAAAGAAAGAGACGTTGGGAATACTGTAGAATACCGGCAATCGATCGATTTGTCGACTTACAGATTGAAGAATATGATGGACGAGTTGTGGAATAATTGAAACGGATTCGAGACAATCTTTCACTTTCCAATAACTCTGCGTCAAACGGAGGAATGGAGTGTTGATCAGCTGAAAATTGAATTTAGACTGTGTGGAGGGCAGACAAATTGATTTCGCGAAAAAAAGACAAAAAGAACCGTGGCTTAGTGGTTAGTGGCCTCGCCTACCAATCTGACGGCCCGGGTTCGAATCCCCGCCGCCGCAGGGTTTTTGTTTTTTCATTAGGACTTTCGGAATCGGTTATCTGACAGCCAGTAAGGCGAATGTTGGAGATAGAAAGAGAGAGCGAGAGAGAGATAGAAAGAGAGAGCGAGAGAGAGATAGAAAGAGAGAGATAGAAAGAGAGAGGGAGATAGAAAGAGAGAGAGAGAGAGAGAGAGAGAGAGTGATAAAAACAGCTTACCTGATCCACTGCATCTTTAAAATTTTCCAGGAATGCAGCAAGTGGCCACCCGAGAAAAACCCCGCTGATTGTCGCCTGATCCGGGCACGTATCCTTCGGCATCCAATAAGCCGAACTGATCTCGCTGAAAGGGCCTTTAAACGTTAGAACGAAAGCCAATAGGGCGGATGGCGACACCTCTCTCACTCTTTCTCTCTCCCTCTATCTCCCTCCCTCACTCTCTGTCTCTCACTCTCTCTATCTCTCTGTCTCTCGCGCTCTCTCGCTCTCTCTCACATTCCCTCTCTCTCTCTCTCGCTCTGTCTCTCTCTCGCTCTCTCACTCACCGCGAATCGCCCGAAATTTCCCCCTCGAATTCTGCGCTGATCGCAAAATTGTGTCGCCAGAAGATGTTCAGCTCCCCAAATCCATCGGGCAGCATCTGAAGCGCTCAATAAACGATTGATCCTCCTCCCCTTCATTTCCCTTTTCGCCGAACCCTTTCGGCGAAAAGATTTTCGGTGAAGTGGCTTTCCGTGGGATGGCTATTCGGTGAAAAGTCTTTCTTTGTCTCCCTTCTAAAAAAGTCCGGATTTTCCGAATGCTCCTATTGACGGCTAGTTAACCCGATCGAGATGGTTTAGCATGCGTTTGATAGCGCGTCCCGAGAGCGGCATTTTGATAGCTTGTGCTAGGAATACTAACATTGAAAAAAAATCGCAATTTGTAGGCGAAAAACGCGGAAAAATGGCCGATAAAAATAGAATTTTGCTAATTTTGTTATACTGAGGTATCAACACGCATCTAGAAGCCGAGCTGAATCGATTGCAAAAAAAAGAGCAAAAAGAAATTTCGTTTCTTTCGATGTCGCGGAATCGAACCCGGACCCTCCGCCGGGAAGCCCTGTGGCGCAATGAGTAGAGCATCGGCCTCTCAGGCTATCCAGAGCTGCCGCTAGTTCAATCCCGGCCCCCCTCTTAGAAGACTAATTTAGAAATAAAAATAAAATATAGGACAAAACCTGGATTGGATGACAAAGTGACCGATCGATCGAGACGCTCACTTGGCGCATCTTCATCCACCTGGTCAGCTTGTCGACGATGCGAAAGTTTTTCGAATACGGATAGGCCGTCACGCCCGCTGAGGTCTCCCTAGACAAAACCAATGGTTGTAGTCTGTAGTCTGGCTGTCAGTTTAGCCAATCACGCCGAGATCCAGCCCAAAATTCAAAACACGAAAGGATACGCCCGGGACGGGGGCCGAACCCGGGCAGCGTGCCTGGGGGCCCCTCTGTAGCCTATGGTCTCTAGGTAAGCGCTGTAGTTTGTAGTCTGGATGTCAATTTAGGGGTTCCGACAAAAAATGGGGCCCAAAACTCAAAAAGCAAAAAGTTTGCCGCGGGCAAGAGTCGAACCCCGGGCAGCGTGCCTGGGAGCCCCTTTCGTAGTCTGGATGTTGTAGTCTATATTTTCTCTCTGCCGGCGATAATCTGTTGTCTCGTTGCCAGCGTGGGGAATTCGAATTGCTATCATAATGTCGAAATTTCATCATGTCGAAATTTACATAGGCTAATATTACCGGTGAAACCGCCAAATCCGAGCCAAAAAATTTTTTCCACATTCTATTTTTTTATCTTATCTCACGACAACATTATTTTGCCTAGAAATCGGGGACTTTACCGGCAATTTTAGCCTATGTAAATTTCGACATTCTGAATTTCGACATTATCAAATTTCGACATTGTGAAAATAAGCCGGGGAATTCGAATCGTAAGCTAGTACCACCTTACCTTGTTGGGAGCAGCGTTAACGGGTCGCGCGTCGTGTAGTCGTTCCTGCAACAAAATGCCGTGTGTCTGAGTGAGGGTTCGAGAGAGAGAGAGAGAGAGAGAGAGAGAGGGAAAAAGAGAGCGAGAGAGAGTAAGAGAGAGAGAGAGAGACCTACCGATCGGACAATTCGATGCCGGAACAGAATCGATTTGGTTGAAGGCGAATATGAAAGGTAATGCTGACATGGTCCAATTCTGGGGAGTTGTCCCACCATCGTGACGAATTCGCGACACTGATCTGGACATCAGACCACGGAAATCCGTCCACAGTCACTGGCTGAAGCAACGTCGGTTTTTTTCGCAGTAATTTCAATAGCAGTAATGATTTGGCTCCAAAGAGTTGACGCCGAAACCCGTGGCCAAGTGGTTAAGGGGGGGCGCCAATCTAACGACCCGGGTTCGACTCCCCGCCGCGGTAAGTTTCTTGCTTTTTGACTGCCATTCGAAAATCGTCTCTGCTAGGTGCTTTTTCAGTCGGACGACGTAGCAGAAATCATTTAGGAAGCTTAGGAACTAACTAGGCAGAAATTGGCGCGGAAATCCGTGGCCAAGTGGTTAGCAGTCCCGCCTGCCAATCTGACGACCCGGGTTCGACGCCCCGTCGCGGCGGGGCTTTTTGCTTTTTGGTTGAAGCTCTCAGAATCATTTGACTGGCTACCAAAAAGCGCATTTCAGCTTTTAAAATAGTATTTCAAATCGATTACGCGACGTTATTAGGACTACCAATCTGACGCCTCGGGTTCGACTCCCCCGCCGCGGGAAATGGTTTGCTTTCTGGATAAAACTCTTAGAATCGACTAACTGGCAACCAGGCAGCACGTTGCAGCCCATCAACATCTGATCCCACATAAAACCCCTTACCAGGAACGTCAGGCTGTCGACGCGAACGTCAATTTCGCCGTAGTAGCCGTCGAGAAGGAATTGCGGGGCCGGGTGGGCGGCAGATGAAAAGTGCTGCAAATCCTCATCCCTTTTGCCATTTTAGATGATGCAATAATCACACCTTATATAATCTTGGGGTGTATCTCTGTCTGTCTGTGTGTGGATGTCACTTTCGAGGCCCGATTCGAGGGCCTTCCCCTGGATAAAATGCCCTAATTCGCCGTCACTCAGGGGAATCGTCCCTTCTGTTTCCGATGACGTTCTCAGAATTCCGGAAAAGTACAAGTTTCCAAAGTTAAATCCGGTTCTGTGGATTTTTGGGGGTCTTGGAGGGCTAATTTGCATAATGTGAAAAAAATACAAATAAATAGCAAAGCAAAGTCGCTGTAGGCGGCTGGTCTGATTACGGCCGCTCTAGTGTAGTGCGGGTTATGGAGATATCGGAAAAATCAGCTTTGAAACCGGTGGCCAAGTGGCTAGCGACCTTGCATGCCAACCTAACGACCCGGGTTCGACTCCCGGCCGCGGCAGAGTTTTTGCTTTTTGCTTCAAACGCTCAGACCCTGCTCACTGTCAGCCAGGAAGCGAGAGAACGAGAGGGACAAACCTTGGCGATGTACCGCAGAGCAGCTTTG